TCGTGCATCCATGCGTTGCAATACCTTCATGCATGCGCCCCTGATTCTCGGATGCTAAACTTGACCTGCCCAAATTTATGCGCATAGTTCTCTTAATGACTTTTTCTCATTTATCTCTCTCTTTCTCTTCATCCACTCCACACTGAGAGATATCTTTTTATTATTATTATTATTATTATTATTATTATTATACAAAAGAAGCGCTCGTTTAATATGAAGGTAAAAAGTAGATGTTTCAGTGCCGGACAGGATAATTATTGAGTCCTTCGTAGTCTGTTGACTGTATCAAGAACTCAATACTTAATAACACCAATCATGGATGGGTTTAAAAGCCTGCTCTGTTGAGAGTAACATTAGTTACATGGGCTAGAAACATCTGTCGGAACCTTTTTTCAATCCTCCTGAAAATTAACGGGTGTTAGCTAATTGCCGTTGCGCGCGAAAATACGAATCATAATGTATATAAATACAGGTGTTTGTCCAAGATTCCCTTTTTCTTTTCTTAAATAGAAATAACAAGGATAAAATTGAAATGAAAAAAAAAACGTTCCTTTCTCACTCTCTTTTGACTATTAAACCTTGGGATTGGTTACAAAGCAAGAGCTTATGGTGTTTATTTATTTATTATTGAAGAGGACTTTTTTTTTTTTTTTTTTTTTTTTACAAGGGCTAGAATGCGCTCCTGTTACCTATTATCAATAATCAGCAAGGCATGTATGTATATTGTGTTTGTCTTTTTTTTTTTAAAAAAAACTTTTTTTTAACCCTTATTGTCATTTTGCTTCATGATATAATAATATCGTAGGAAATATAAAGATATATAGTATATATAAAAAAAGTCAAGCAATATTCACGTCGCGTGGAAAGAAAATAAAACACTGATACTGATATCTTAAAGTTCATGAACCACACTCTCTACGCCTTCTTCAAAACTGATGGTGAGTTTGTTGAGGAGAATCCAGGGATGTAGGCGTTCAATCCTGCAGTGGCTGTAGGTGCTGATGCAGACCCTGATCCTGGACCTGGGTGCTGTACTGGGTTCTCTGACCATAGTCCATCCCGTTTCCAGCCACTAACCAACACTTTAATCTAAATAATAGCAATAGAAAAAAAAAAAAAAAAAACTCGTGTTAAGAGTGGCTTTTTTTTTTTTAAAAAAAAAAAAAAAAAAAAAAAAAAAAAAAGATTGTATACATACGACCAATGGTAATGGAATAGGTTTCGATAGCCGTTTACGATCATAAACTAGACTGTCATAGATTGCGTCGTGATTCTTGGGGTTGATGGCACTTAGTGCTGGGTTGTCGCTGTTCGCGCTCGGCACTATATGCCAACGTCCCTTCGTCCATTGTTCGCGCGTCTTGTTCCAATGCTCTAGACCCGTATTTGAATAGGATGGTTTTGATAAAGTCGATGATGAAGATTCCGTCATCGGAGTACTTGGCACTATCATCGCTTCTGTTGTGGATGGTGTCGTGAGATCGTCATTGCCAGGGTTATGATTGGATGATATCTCTGAACAAGTCGCCACCGTTGCCAAGATTTGATCCTGATATGATCCCTCACCATAGTACCTTCGGTATTCCGGTGATGCCATCCCTGCCATCGTATCAAAAAATGGATCGCCTGTGGCCCATTCAGGTTTCTCTGTCGGTGGAGTCGGCCTTACTATTGTTGTTGTTGTTGTTGTTGTTGTTGTTGCTGCTGCTGCTGTTGCCTCATCATCTTCTTCAGAGTCAGTAACTTCCTTTTCTGCTTCTTTAGAAGTTTCTTCTTTTTTTACAGCAGCAATGACTGGTGCAGTTTCGATGGACCTTGCCGACATTTCTTCATTTGGACTCCCTGTCTTAGATAATGATGTACAGTCATTTTCCATTGCAGACTCTGTTCGCTTTTGCTCTATACAATCCGCCATAGTTTAATCTGACCAAGGTATCTGCTGAATATGGAGAATGTTGAATATAGAAAACAAAAGTAAACGCAAAAGAATATGTCGAAAGTGAAGGTTCCAAAAGAAAAAAAAAAAAAAAAAAAAAAAAGGTCTTCTTCCTGATATCCTGTCTCGTTTGTAATTCTTGTTGATTCCTGGTTTAGCAATGTGTTTTTTTTTTTTTTTTTTTTTTGCAATGAACAACAAAATGGCTCTTCAAGTTCTTCAAGTTCGTTTATTTTATTTTATTTATTTTATTTTTTTAATTCATCTTTTGGAGCTAAAGCCACATGAACAAAGTGAGCTGGACTCCTGGTGAGTTTTTTTTTTTTTTTTTTTTTTTTTTTTTCCTCCATTTTGTCAACGAAATGCATGCCTGGCAAATCTGTCGATCTTTTGCCAGTCTACAAAGAAGTTTTATATTTCTTCTATATTTGAACAGACATGTAAACAATTATATACTTATATTTTATCTGCATATCTGCATACTGTTTGCAAATATACATCTATATGAGAAAGCATAAATAATCATCATGTCATTAAAATAATATAAAACAACATGTGTAAAATAAAATGTGTGACTTTTTCCTCCAAAACCCAAGAGACCAAGAGACCGAATAAAAAATAATGTCATGCAACAATCTTGTCATGCAACAATCTTGCCATGCCAAAAACATTACAACTTCTTGATCATATTCGTCTGGTGAGAAGTGCGTGCATTTGCCCGGAATGGACGGAAAATAAAAATTAAAAAATTAAAAAATAAAAAATAAAAAAAATGTTTGCAAAGTGCACGAAGCTTAATATCGGCGCTTTTTTTTTTTTTTTTTTTTTACGTTTCTGACCTTTTAGTTGGTTCTAAAAGAGGATAATTCAGCCGAATTGTTGGCTGCACTCTCTGATACACAATGGCTTTCCAATATTGACCTGCAGCTTGCTTTGCTACATGACACGGACATTATTGTAAGTTGCTTTTTTTTTTTTTTTTTTTTTTTTTTTTTTTTTTTTTTTTTTTAAAAAAAAAAAATTTGCCGAGACCATCTTCACTAATTATTTAAAGGTATCAAACAATAAAAAAAAAAAAAAAAAAAAAAAAAATGTGAATAGATCTACCTTTCGAATATCTCTGATCTATACATTCAGTTTGTTGTATATAGAATAATCAAGACATTGCTCTTGCTCTCGAATCTACCGATGGAGTTTGATCAACTTTGTGTGAATCAACTGCAGCATCAGCTTATTCGTAAGCTTTCCCAAAGATTTGTCGATAGCCATACTTTTCCCTCTATTTCGTATGAACAACAACAACAACTACTACTACTACTACAACAGCAACGACAGCAGCAGCGGAACGTTCTTGAATTGTTCCACCTGCTGTTCAAGCATCATCGACATTTGATCCGCCACCTGAAAACCGGTTCAAGTGACCATTCCAGTCAAGAGAAGGAGATTCACAACCATGCTGCATTGATTACTTTAAGGGAATTGACTCTGCTCTCACCGTTCTGGGATCTTGTGTTGCCACAAATCCTTCGTTCGGAAGAGACACAGTACGCGATGTTGAGACTGTTGATTGATCTTGAAAAATATCGCACCATACACAGCATCAAAGAATCATGGTATCGATATGTTGTTCTTTGCCATGAAAATATAAGCCGCTGTACAGATCAGGTAACGATATAAATCGCTGTAAGCAACTATTATAGATATTTATTTATTTATTTATTTATTTACATCTTCAAGCTCATAGACGTCTCTTTATTCAAGCCATCATCACTCCGAAAACTGTTTGAGCTCTTGGGATTATTGGTAAAGGATGCTCCACCAGCTACTGCTGGACCAAGCCCGGATTCTTCCCACAATTTGTCTAACGCTCTGGAATTATCGGTTTACGTTCTCAAGGGACTGGCTCCTTTATTGCTTAAAATCATGACTGCCTTGAGTGAGCATGACCCTGAACTCGATTACTTTTCAACCGAGGCTACTGTTTTTATTTTCTCCAACAACCCTGCCTACACCCAGATCCACAAAGCTCTGCAGCCCCTTGTGTCAAATCCAGAGGCGATCCGTCAGCTAGGCCGCGTGTTTTTGACTGCTGTGCTCTCTATCCTCAGCTCTCTAACGAATCCAAAAGCCCATAGTCAACAGGCTACTGATCTTACAAAGGAAACAGTCATGTTGGACCAGATAGCATCCCAGCTACCGTCCCTTTCTACGTTTCTTCAATCCTGGGTTGGGCCAAAGACCTTGAAAATCCTCTTGAGGATCTATGCCGAAGATGATGCCGGTATCTCATGGTTACTGCTGACCATAGCTCAGATCCATCAGAAACTTGATCAGATATGCTCACATGATGACCATTATTATTTTTCTTCTTCTGTCATCCCATCGCCATCATTGCTGTTATCGGTCAAGGAACTATACATCCATCTTCATCGCCATGTTCATCCACTAGAGGCACTATTCCTGTTTCTGGAAACGATCGGATATGACCACCAGACTTTACTTGATTTACTTTTAACACTGGATGACCAAAGGACAGGAGGGATGCTTAGTGCAATGATGATGGTCTTACGGACCTTTACAGAGCATGAATCAGATCAAAAAACTCTAATCGCACGTTGGCACCACCAGATCATATTGGAAGAAGAAAGCAAGATCATATATGAAGATGATGATGATAATAATGAGCAAATCAGCCCAACAAGAACACAATTGTGTAACATGGAGCTCTGTCTTTCACAGCTGGTTGATCAAATTCGAAAGTTAAATGATAAAAATCTATTCCCTTACAACCCACGGGCCCTCTTGGTAGTACTGGATCACAGTAGAGACATTTTGTCATCCGTCATCGCTACGATACCATATCCTCATTGAGACAATAAACCATTCACATGTGATAGCAAAAAAAAAAAAGGTTAAATTGTGAATAGTTCCCTGCTGGATGCTCATAACCCCCATAAAGGTGGAAAAAAAAAAAAAAATACACAGGAAAGGGTCCTACAGATGCAAGGGAGAGAGAATGGATAGGAGAGGGGAAAAAAAAAAAAAAAAAAAAAAAAAAAACTAATGAAGGAAGCAATTATTAGAAAATAATAAACATTAAACATTTAACCTTCAAGAAAACAAATCAAGCAAACCAGGCACATGAATAAGGGCGAGATTATAATATTAAAGCATATTTTATGCTAGCAAGTATGAAAGAGCTAGCTTGCGCCCACCAGCAGGTATATCCTTTTCTTGATTCTCCTTCTCTGCAGCAGATCGCATTTCCTGTTCACAGGGACCATATGATGCAGTGTCCACATTATGATTCGTCGGTGGAGGATCATGAAGTGGCTCTTGTGCGGATAATTTCTGATGCATTTGTTGCACCTCCTGCGTTGATTCTTCAATCACCTTTCTATCCTCGTCTCTTGCGAGCGACTCTTCTTCATCTTCATCCTGAGACGAAGCCAAATCACGACCTCGCTTGCGAGTCCCCTCATTTGGTGCAGATGATTCTACTATTGTTGAGGATCCTAGACTGCCGATATCGGAACCCGCTGTAGCATCTGTCATTTGAGTATCTCCAATAGCAGCATCAGTGATAGATGAATCCGCTTTAGAAGCCGCCTCCAGTTTGTTTTTTGCCAGCGCTGCTTTGCTTCTTGACATCTTGCCCCAAACTATCATTTTTAAAGAAGACAGAAAAGAAGAAAAATGTTTCATGGTTAAGAACATAAAGCGATACATGGAGGATTGATTAGTTGCAGCTTTGATTGACTTACTGAGGCCACATGCGTTGCAGAGCGTTCTAGGTCCTATTTTTTTTTTTTTTTTTTTTAAAAGAAAAAAATGAGTAAAAAAAAATTTTGTAAACAAATCCTATTGGGCCAGTCTATTGTTTGGATACTTACCCAAAGGTCCTTTGCGCCACTCTGGCGTCTTGACGCTATTACATGAGGTACAACGTAATTGGTGTGGACTAACGGTCTGTCATTCGACAAAAGTGAATCATTAGGATGAATGAGTATAACGGGAGTTATATACCATGATACGAAATAACGATGCAATGCTCTCGTCGCTTCTCTTTGAGCTCCATTATCCTCTATCAACATTATATACTCTTCTCTTCATTATGCCTCAAGTGCCTTACCGCCTCATCCTCGGTTGGTGCATTCGGGTCAATGTCCACACGACATCCCTAAATAAAAAAGGAAAAAAAAAAAAAAAAAAAAAAAAAGTGTTCAATACAAAAGGTATACTATTTATAGGATTGCAGTTAATACGAAATAGATCCTCATCATTGATTTACCATGAAAACCTTGCTTAAAATTTCAGCATTGTAAAGAAGTCGATCTGTTGATCCAGCTTTTCCTTTAATCAAACACTCCCGAATTTCACTTGCATATTCAAATATCTGAAGAAAAAAAAAAAAAAAAAAAAGATCGTCCAGGTTAGCCCATTGAACATCCCTTTAAATAATATGCACTTTCATAGACATCGTTATCCTTAAATATACCATCCGATAATTAATCCGCGATAATGCATAACGTGGTCCCGTCGAACGTTGACTATAAGGTCCACGAAAGCCAGGCCCTTCAGCTGGGATATCGGGGCCTCCTTGATGTCCTGCGGGCATACGATGTTGACGCGAATGATCACGCATGTTCGAATCCATAGAATCGTGTGAATCGAATGTGTTTGGATAATTAGTGGAGCTGCGATTCCGCGGTTGTGGAATGTCTATTGCAGCAGTTGAACGAGGTAATCTAGACTCCGTAGAGGGATCCCATGGTTCTCTGGCGGAACTTGACTGTGGTATTGAAGGTCCAGGAGGAGGATGAGGGCTATTGTTCTCATAGGGTTGACGAGGACCATGATGATCACTATCTGGTCGCTTCCAATGTGATGGTCCAGACATTGAACGGTGCGTTGGCGGTATAGTATGTGCTTCATCCGGTGGAAAGTGTTGAGTTGGTGGTGGTGGTGGTGGTGGTGGTGGTGGTGGCACCTGTTGTGGTGCTTGTGGTGGATAATGGTCGCGTGGCGGATGAGGATGATCGTGATAATCTGAAGGTCTTCCTCGGTCATCGCGGCTTTGATCCATCGTTGGCATTGACACAGCTGAAGACATCCCAGGCGATCGCTCATAGTCTCGTGGATCACAGTTTTCACGTGGATCTCTGGAGGCGCGATAGTCTCGATAGTCTCTTGAGGCTCTAGAGACGCCATTGACTGCATAAGAATGTGGTTGGCTCTCATGAGGCGGGCGGTAAGGTGAAGACTGTTCATCTGGCCCAGAATGAGGATAGGATGGATGACTATCTGATTCATGGGAAGGATAAGTCACCCGCTGTCGAGGGTGTTCCAAGTGAGCACCCTGCGAAAGATAGTTTCGGGCTCCATGTTGAATCATCCTCCCATGTGCATAATTGTCAATATCCTCTGGACTCGACATATTAGGGTGCGTCAAGAGTGCAGAGTGCCCACGATAGGCGTTGAATATCAGGCTGGTTCCCGGACTGAAGTTTTGGACAGAGGCCTGAGGGTAGTCATATCTGAGCTTAGGAAGCTTTGTAGGAAGCCTTGCTTTCGACGGGAGGGGCTCATAAGACCCAGCAATGCCACTTCCAATAACTTCCAAATCCTCTTCCTCCCCTTCAATCCTGGCCACTAGCTTTTTACTATGCGATATCTCCAACATACTTCGTTGTGAGTTGGGGTGATGGTGCAAATGTTGCTGAGGCTGTTGCTGAGTTGGATGGGGATATGAGTAATGAGAGTGTGAAGGAGACAGCTTTTGATGCCAGTGTTCAGTACTGTCAGCTGGTGTATTATTAATATAGCTCGTAGGGTTGTAAGAGGACATTGAGTGCAGGCATGCAAAAACGTTCTAATGAACCAATCTTGATTATATGTGGCTCAACAAAAAAATAGGAGAGGAGAAGAGAAAGTGTGCGTTTGAGCAATGAGATTTTGAGGGTGAGGGTTTTGGGGGGGGTTTGAAGGAAAGGGACGAATGTAATGAACGATGTTTTGAAAATAGTCTTTGACACCTGGGCAAGTAAACTGAAATATATATTGGCCTAAAAGACAAGAGCAAGTGAGACAGACCCTCTGTGTCTAGAATCAGTTGGTTTCAATAGGCTTAATGAGGAAAAAAAAAAAAAAAAAAAAAAAAAAAAGCCAAAGAACTATATAAACGAATGAACGTTTTTTTTTTTATGAATGAGACTCGGCGTGGAAAGGAGACGAGGAAAAATAAGAGTAAATAACGAAAGGAGAGAAAAGAGACAAGAGGAATGAAGAATAATGAACAATGAATGATGGAATATAATGTAGGAAAAAAGAGTGAGAGCGAGTGAGTGAGAGAACGAGAAGGAGGAGGAGTCGTTGTAAGAGAAACAGGTCAAATGTCCTTGATTCAGAGAACCTGGTCGAGTATCCGGATTCAAAAAGCAACAAAATCGCAAAAGAAAGGATAGCCAGGGGAAAAAGAGAAAGAGGAGAAGGGATAGAACACAAGGCTACATCCACATACGCAAAGTAGTGAAGTTGAATACGCAAAGTAGTGAAAGAAAAAAAAAAAAAAAAAAAAAAAAAAAAAGAAAAGAAAAGAAAAGAAAAGACTTCAGAGCATTCAATGCCGATGCCTTTGTTGTGTTTGTTGTTGGATCTGGAAATCTGAGAGCAAGGCAGGAGAGAAATGCTGGGGGGACAGAGGAGCAGGGAAATGGTATGGTATGAGGGAGGAGTGATCTTTGTCAAGACTAAAACTAAAACTAAAACTAAAAACTAAAAAAACTATAAAGCTAATCTGACTCTTTGTTTAGTGCATCGATTTATTCCTGTTTACATCTCCTATTGACATGTATTATTTATTATTTATATATTATTTATTATTTATTATTTATTATTCGTAGTTCTAGGCTTGGTCGTACTTTATTCCTTTGTTTATTTATTGATCGATATGGCCATTTGTTGTCGATGTCTTTCCTGTCCCATCTGTATTGGATCTTTTATTATGCAAACATCTGTGTGCAAGCCTCCTTCTTCTGGCTTTTTTGGATCCTTAATTGCCCGATCCGATCTGTGTTTCCAGCACTCAATTGCAACCTTCAGATTATTCATCGTCACCACTTGCAAGGCAGGAATGTCATGTTATAAATATATATACTTATTAGTGTAAACTCTACAAAGCGTTATTATGCACTTGTAAAGGGAAATTATTAATATTTATATACCTATTTCAATTCCGACCTCATTACAGGTACATGCATCTGTGTATGCTCACTAAAAAAAAAAAAAAAAAAAAAAGTCTCTTTAGTGTTCCCTAACATCGTGGATCTCCAATTTTGTAATGATCGAGATCTGTGTCGATCCCGATATTTTTATTATTTATTTATTTATTTATTTATTTATTTTTCTTCCGAACAACAGAACTGATGTTATTAGACTTTCTGTTAAAAATAAAAAATAAAAAAAAAAAATTCTCTCGCATTATGACTATCTCAAGAGATAGAACGATCAGTGGCCGAGTTTAGTCGGAGACTTAACATGATCCAGAACTATCATGCAATAGCGTGTCGACGTCCTCGTTTCTAAAAACGGATTATGTCAAGCATGAAAGATCAGCTCAGCAATGAGTGAAACCACTATACTAAGAAACAGATGTTTCTATTCAATGATGTTCTGCTTTGCTCGTCTGTTCTTGTTCTCAGTTCATCCCTTCAAATGCATGGACTGTGACTAAAAGACAAAGACGAACAATGATTTCTAATAGTCAATCAGTGCATTCCAAAACTCAAACAATCCAGGATCAAGTCACTGTTTCTCATCACGCTTGCATGCTTTGCAATAATTCTTTAATCCTTGTTCCACTTTCTTTTTACGTTCTGGGGATTCTCATTACTAATAACATAGCCATTTGTACTAGACTAAGCCCAAACAACCTCATCTCGTTCCTAGTCTCCTGATATGGTCTAGGACGATGAAAAGGAAAACAGAATCAATTATGGCAATTGTGGCCCTTAACTGAGAAGAGATGCGCTCACGCACATGTCTGTCTCGCCATGACTGTTCGCCTATTCTTCCAAGGTTTGTGGCAAATGCGGTCTCGAATGCTGTGCCCAAAGACGTTGTTGGTCGCCACTCCGTGATAGCCGCTATGTTATATCTGATGATATTTTTGATAAAGCACAGCAGGATGTGTACTAAAGTGATTGGCGACCTGTTTTATCACTTGCATTGCTTTATTCTGGATGCGCGTCGATGTCGTAGTCCTCGTATTATGGACCTTGTTCTTTTGGATGATGGTAGGGCCATCAAAATGCAGTGTACCGGTTGGGCTGAATAAGCGACGCGGCTCTCGACTGAGGAGTCTCGAAGTGTGTCTACAAGACCATTCTGTATGTTCCCGCAAAAAGAATGTGAAGCCTGGGAGCCCTCCTGTTAGAGTGTTGCGAGGAACGACTTTGTCGTAGCAGTCGAGTAGCGGAAGTAGATGAAAAAATACGCCTACTTGGATAACGAATGTATTAAAGGCGCCCTTTTGGCATCAGGCTTTGCAAGATGATCGAGTGCTCCTTGAGTGCCCATGGTAACAATTATCTGTGGACAATTCATACTTACTAATTCCTCATTTCATCATGTCGCTGCTGCTTATGGGATGGATCTAAAAGTCCAGATCCCTCTTGATCTGGCTCTGTTGCTTCTGGGCAGACAGTTAACCAAGATTAGTAGCTAAGACTCGCAAGATGCTTCATAATGGGTAAAAGAGAAGCTTTGTTCTCGTTACCATACTTCTCCCGGTTGTGTTTTTGAACACTTTCTTGGTCCTCTAGTTCAAAGAATACTCGCAAGAGCATTGTATGGACGGGGCTTTTCCCTTGCTTCCTCGAACCCCAGTTGAAGACCAGTGCCTGTGCTTTTTACTAGCCAATTTGGTAGTGTCCCACAGCCCATGGTTGACGCATCTTTGGATAAGGGCGAGGTTGCGGTCCTTAAGGCAAAGTGGACTCTGGATGGTTGAGTCTGGAAGATATGACTGTGATTTGGGTATGACAATCTGTTGAGCACAAAGAAATTATTGACGTGGAACATCTCACAAACATCGTTGTGGCGAATTGCCCCATGAACAGCCTCAAAGCCCCGTTGGGCCTATTGAGTTGGTAAAATAATAAAATAATGCAAAGAATTTCATTCTGGAATAGGATTTCTCGTTACCATTGCGTTAGATCAGGCAAAGGTTATTTTTTTAACATCTTTGTTGGACCACCTTTGGATTGAGGACACAAAAGACACGGACCTTTTCGCCCAAGGAATATTCAGCCTCGGATTCAGTAATTTTATTTATGGAATTATATACATTAGACCAGAATGAACGCCACTTCTTTTTTAACTTTAATTCCATTTACACACAATGCTGATCAATGGCTGTGATACTCTTGATATTTTTTCTTTTAGCAAATGGATATTTGATCTTGGGTAGTTAGAAATATAGGGAATTTGCTAGAGGAAAAAAAAAAAAAAAAAAAAAAAAAGATTTTTTTCTCGTCATAGATTGTAGGCGAAAGAAAAGAAAAAAAAAATGTTGGCAGTGCAAACATTCGAAGCATTGAAGATGGTCATGGTCATGGTCTGTACATACTTTGGAGCAACATCATTGTTAGTTGAGCAGAGCAATAGTCAGAGTTTGTAAACAGACATGTGTGTGTAAACATATTTTCTGTTGTCTTTCGCCCTCCCCATTCAAAAAAAAAAAAAAAAAAAAAAAAAATACCATCCTGTCTGTCTGTTCTCCCTCACTCCCATTCTTCCCTCCTTTCCCCCCCTCTCTCTCCTCTTCCATACACATCTTACTATTCCAAACTTCAATATTGGCTGACCCCATTGTCCTCGTCTTTTCTTTTACAGGACGTTCATTATTCCTTTGTTCCTTTTTTCCTTTATTCTTTTATTCCTTCCTTCTTTCGTTCATTCATTCATTCATTCCATGTCGAGTGCTACCAACGCCCCTCCGCTCAACCGGAGGGCTTCTATACATTCTGCTCCTCGTCCAGCTCAACAATCTCGACAATACTCAACCCTTGAGATCGAAGTTGAATACATTAGCACAGGACCATTGCCTGCTCCAAGACAGCCCTTACGTGTGAACGAACCCACTAGCCTTTCAGAGGCAAACATCAACAACAAGGCTCAGAAGAATGGAAAAGATGCAGCTCTCAACAGTGTCATGGAGGAGGACGAGGAAGGGGAAGAGACAGGTGCAGGAACAAGAGTAGGTGTCACACGCTATACACAATCCGCACAACCACCCTCAATACCGACATCCACACGACCCTACCCTGCGACACTCCCTCGTCAGCGTCCCTCACGACCCTTATCTGAACAGTACTATCCTTCACAACAACAATCTGCGCACCACCATCATCTGCCAGACGATCAATTTGCTCGAGCCTATCAGCCATCATTACAACCAAGATCCCAGGGAGTCACACCTCCTATTCATTCGAATCGTCCTGGTCCTGGCTTTAGAGGCTACAGTGCTGGCAGCAGTGTTAGTAGTAACGTGAGCGGATCCCAGGGTCAGGCTGCCATCCCACAGAGCGAATACTTACAATCATCACATGCGCAGCACGACGAGACACCCGTTCTTTCATCTGCTGGATCGCAATCTGACGACAATGACGAAGACGAAGTTCACTCACCAGTGGATTGTTTGCATCCAGTCGGAGATGACGATGATGATTATGGTGAGCTAGGAGAGCATTCTGCAGCGGAATTAGGGGCCGAAAGCTTTGGCGGAGCAGACGGTCACAGAGTCCCTAGCAACATTGATCAGAGCGAACACAGAAAGGATGCAAGTTATCATGATGTGCAAGAGGCAGTACCTGAGCTGGAAACGCAGGAGACCCTCAAGAGAGAGCGAACTAGAATTTTAGAGCGGACTGTGGTTAATAATTGCCGTCAAATTGACTTTAAGGATATTACCAACATCCAGCCGTTGAAGCGGGGTGGCTATGGCGAGATTCATACAGCAGAGTGGTCTCGACTTCGAGTTGTCCTGAAACGTGCTCTACCCGAGAACAACGAGGGCGTCGAGCAATTTGATCAAGAGGTATGTCTAGAAATTGGAATACGCTTAGTATGCCTAGTTTATTGACTGTAATGACTATTCAGTTTAAAAATAGGTTGTTGTTTAACAAAAATAACAACATTTTCTCAAAATGTATCTCTTGTCTATGCATTTAAATAATAGCTCGAGATCCTAAAACGAGTGCATGACTATGATTTTATTGTCCCTTTTTACGGCGTAACAACAGATCCTAGCACAAATATTAAATGCATGGTTATGAAGCACTGCACAAATGGGAACCTGTGCGCATTCTTGGAGCTGCATCACGAAAACCTTACATGGTTCGAGCGATACCGCCTTTCAATTGAGATCACAAAGGGACTCGAGTTCCTTCACAAGTCAGGATTCCACCACAGAGACCTGCACAGTGGCAACATTCTGTTAGATGACAAAAGAACAGCCATGATTTGTGACTTTGGATTGAGTCGTTCATCCAATAAAGAACAGACCGCAGAGCTGGCAGCAACAGTTGGAGTTGCCTCTTTTCTGGCCCCCGAGCGCTTCCCACAACAAAGACCGGTTTATTCAGCAGCTTGTGATATCTACAGTCTGGGCGTTATTTTTTGGCATATCTCATCTGGCCGCATTCCCTTTGCTAAGCGATTGCGTGAGCCTATGTTGCTTAGAGAGCTCATGGACGGTTTACGGGAAGAAATTGTACCTGGGACACCAAGAGAATTCCGCGACCTTATCGTCAAATGCTGGGATGTCAAACCATCCAAGAGACTCAAAATCGATGTAGTGATCGCGATCCTCCAAACACTAATGGCCAAGCCCTCGGAACCGGTCCATCAGATCGCAACAGGGTTTGTTGTGCCTAGCGACACAACCTCTGCATCTCTTCCAGTCCCACCAGAGCTTGATGCTCGGATGGCTAGTCTGGAGAGAGCTTCCAATGCCCTTAATCGGATGGTATTTGATATTCAGGATCCTATGATGAGAGAAACCGTGAATTATATTGAACGTATGTTACTTTATCCGAGATCCATTGGTATATGCAACGCAAACTTTGAAGAAAAAAAAAAAAAAAAAAAAAAAATTAACATTCACACATATTATCGTTAATTATACTTTGATTCAGGCACTCGTGCATATTTCAGAGACCAAGGTGTACAATCTGAGCCATATTCACCTGCAAACCCACCCAAGACACCCATATACCTCTGTCCGCTTGTTGGAGACATTCCCGCACTTAAGTACTACCTTACCCACGGGGGACCTTATTACAATCCTATTAACGAGTCCAGCGTCCAGACTGGGGATACTGCGCTCCACCTGGCTTGTCTTTTCCTTGAGTCGCCGATGGATACCATCAAGGTTTTGGTAGAGCTTGGGGCCGATATTAATCTGGAAAATTTGCAAGGTTACACTCCTGTCATGATCTTAGTCTCCTCAAACACACAATATTGTTACGAAGCTCTCAAGTATTTTGTTATGCGCGGAGCCCGGATCCCGGCTTATATTCGCAATCCGATTACACCGCTCAATAGCGCTCAGATTTATGCGCTCAACCTCGTTAATGAGTCACGTCAGTTGTATGCAGGATCCGCGAGCAGCGGCGATGGGTCAGGAGGTACATTGTCTTATTCGAGACAGGAGCGGCGTCAATCTCGGATGCGGATATCACATGCCAATCAAAACGTGTATCAGGAGCGAGGCGGGAAGAAAGTTGAGCGTATGTTTGCACAAGGACGTCCTTTGATTCATGTTGTAGCAGCAATGCAGGAAGATTACCGTATCCTGGATTGCCTTTGTGAAGCTGGCTTGGATCCGGCCATGTCATTTGCGGGCGAAACAGCCTTGGTTGCAGCAGCGGCGCATCTGAGGATTAAAAATGTGGAGTGGTTATTAAACCACGACCTGGATATCAGTACCGAGAGCGGAATTCAAAGAGCAATTAAAGTGGTCAAACTGTTGCATCAGCATCCATATTCGAATGGAGGTGGGCATGGAAAGTCGCTCAGCGCTTCGTCAGCATCCTCGGGAAGACTGAACGATCATCATAAACCAAAAGAGTTTCCTGATGACATCCGTGACCTCGGAAAGTATAGCTGGGCTGGCGTAGCATATGGAGAGGCTGACCGCATGAGTAAGGATATGGTGGGACCTGTATTGAATTTACTTGAACAATGGACAGGTAGTCGACGAATTATAAATCGAAAAGAGGTTGCTACCAAACTTAAGGTCATGTACGGATCGTCTATGGACCCATTTACAAACTACCATGCTAATGGGCCTAGAGCCTCTGCGCTATCCGTTGCAAGCACGAATAGCGATAGTAGCACCAGTAGCCAAGGCAGTACTCATAATAACCACCCACCACATCATGTCCATCAACCATTCCGACAGAACCTAGCAAGGGGCGGATTGATTCATGGAGCACGGTCGCTACGAAAGAGTCAGCGCCATGTAATTGATCAAGTTCTTAATGAGAAGCCGTCCATGCGATTCTGGTGATTTTAGAATCATACTCTTTAACTATAGTTTTAAATACCCTTTCCTCTCTCCTTTTCTCTATTTTTTTTTTTTTTTTTTTTTTTTTTTTAGCATTTGCCAACATTTAATTTTATTTCTTTGTATTTATACACATAATATATAAACAAACGGAGATGATCCTGCCATAAATTGTATCAATGACCAATGAGTCCATTCATCACGTACTGTGCGCCTTGTCGTAGACTCTCATAGAGATCACTATCCTGCCTGTTTTTGGGTCTTGTAGATTTACCACTACGACCATTGCTAGGGCGCCCATGAGCCGACGATGGCGACTTCTTGCCAACAAACAAAGTTTGTTGATTTACCAAAGTCATATCCTCGTCATCCAGGCGCTTCCAGGTATCAACACGGTCGCCATTGTTGCGTATTTCAAAAACTCGTGAGCGTCTTGGAATCGTTGGGCTACCATAAGTACCATAGCCAAGACCACCACCATAGCAAAGATTGATGCCATGGTGGTTCAAGCACTAGTGCGCAATATCAGACAAAAAACAAATAAAGTCAAAAAGTCAAGCACATCATAAGGCCGATACAATAAGAGAATCAATCAAAGGAAGTAAAGCATTTCGCTAGTTACATACATAGTCGTTTAGATGGTCGTGTCCAGCCGTCGTCGCTCTAACATCTTTACTCTCTAAGAAAGCATCAAACATGCCTGAATTATAGGAAGGAGCACTGACACCTTCGGCTTTATCTCCAACCATGCGGACATTATTCTTTTCCTTCAAGTCATCATCATCGTTATCGTCATCCTCATTATCATCCCCAAGGTCATTATACTCTGGGATTGGGATGTGGAAGAACGCCAAAGCATTTGGAATATCATCTGTAGCGTATCGTGATGTGATAACGCGGGATGTCTGACGGAACCATTCAACCTGATCTTCCTTGATCCAGTCCCAGCCAGGGTACTTTAGGTTAAAGCTGTAGGCGCCCGAATCCAGAAAATAGAGATGAAATAAACCATTTCGGGATTGAATATCATTCTCATCACTATCATCAAGCCTTGTTTCCTCTTCGCCTTCATTCTGATTATTATCAAATCCCTGTCGATGAGCTCTCTTACGTCTGTGCTTATGGATACTGAGAACATAATTGCCGGTGCCCGAAATATGGAGAGGTCCACGTTGAGAGAGCGAATAGGGTAAATCCTGTACAGTGCTCATCATCTCTTCGCGCGACAGGTCACCTTCTTCATCATGGTTCCCGAAAATGATCGTCCACGGAATACCACGTTCGACCACAGGACGCGAGTATTTGACAATAGTCTAAGTGGTACAGAACAATATATTATAAAACGGGCAAAACAATAAAAAAAAACAGAAACCATGACATGTATGATCAGAAGAGAGGAGGATATATAGGATGAGCATAAATTCTAAGACTTACCGAGAATGCATCATTGGAAGTCAATCCATCAACGTTATCACCACTGTAAACAACCAGGTCCGGCTTCTCAGCGTCGAGCATGCGCTCCATCATATCCATAGTATTAGTATCACCAATGCATGTCATCTAAAGCGTTACAATGCGACATATTAGCACCACTTAAAAAAAAAAAAAATAGAAAAGAAAAATGCCAGACATCTTTTCTCCTTCTGGATAAAATATGATAGGCATACCGAGCCGGGGGTATTATAGCACGTGTGAGGACCTGTAGCCATATGAATGTCTGCGAATTGGACAATCTTGAATGAGCCATCCTCTTTGAACCGCAACGTTGGCTTCTTGGGTGAAGCGACGCCCGCTGTCCTATAGATGACGTGAGCGTCCCAGTCTGGCACATCCTGTTGAACATCATGCTCAAACAAGGTAGCATTCCAACTGCTGGGCACAGGATTAGGTCCAAGCTGGATGGCTATATTGTCAATGGCCTGGGGGTTGTCGTCTGTGACACCACGTTTGTATGAGATATAGACGTTACTGCCCTTGTAGCGGACACCCGTATCTATAGCACCTCCATCTACATCTTCTTTGTCGCCTTTATTTTGCTCCTTCAAACTCATCTTTATGCTAGTGATGGGCAATGTCCCTGGAACAGACTTATAAAATAGATAAAGGTATCGCTTCAGAGTGCCTGTGATGATGGGACGATTGACGCGTGTCCAAGAATCATCCAACGTGCAGAGCGGCAATATACATGCCTTAGTGGCAATGTGGGTGATTGGCTCTCGTGAACCTGCCTTTTTGTAATAGAGATACACCCATTGCCCACCTGAGGAAGTTGAAGTTAAAAAGGAAAAATTGTAAACATAAATGCATTCATTAGATCTACAACAAAGCATTGTCGCATAATAAAAAGCTCCTTCACCTGTGCCAGAGTTCAAATCCATAGGGAGACGGTCGTAACCGATCGCAGCATGACTATCGTAACCATACTTGATAACAATACTCTCTATCGGAGACTGTTTAGGATCTCGTTTTACAAACATGGTCAAGGTGGGGCCATGGGTCCCATCATTCAAATTGCCATGGATTCGCTCCCAGTCAGGACCCATGTCGGCGTCCTCGCCCTGTAAGACAGAAATATGTGTTATAGGAAGTTTGGGACGGCGATGAAAGCGAAGATTCTTTATGCTACTATCATCTGTGTTCTTGTTGTCAACCGTTTCATGAGAGCAACCGCTTCTTATATAACCAGAATATGGTTCATCCTGTTCAACGTCTGTGAAGTGTAGATGGACAAAACTACCACGAGAGAACTTGTTAATATCCTGCTGAATCTTTCGATACCCAGGAATGACGCAATTGTCTTCTGGGCAAGTCGTTACACGAATGTCGATGATTCCTCTCGCTTAAAATGGAACAAGAAAAAAGAAAATTTTTTCAGTAAGGGTCACCGTGCACAGATAAACTCAATACATCATGTGGACAGTAAAGAGATTCTAGTGCCAAGAAGCCAAGAGATGCTTCGGTTGCAGGATGCATAGGTGTGTATGAGCACGCTGGAGGGAAGGGATGGGGAAAAGTCGTTAATACCTTTGACCAGCTGAACAGAGTATGAGAGCCCGAGGGCCAATGATGACCAGGCAAGAAACCTCATAGCGACTGTTGTGGTTCGGAGGTTATGGAAAGAGAATGTGATGCAATTATAGTGAATGAGGAAATACGAATGAGAAGAAAGAAGAGAAAGAGGTTTGAGAGAGGGAGAGAAAGAGAGAGAGAGAAAGAGAGGGAGAGAGCGAGAAAGAGAGAAAGAGAGAAAGAGAGCGAGAAAGAGAGAAAGAGAGAGATTGATATGAAAGAAGCAACCGTTTAGTCATGATGCTGGATGATGGCACCTTATGATGTACTACTGTACGTGCTTAAAATTTGCTCTGATGAAATTAGCTACTTCGGCCAGCTGACGGCCAAAATTGTGATCATATCTCAAAACATCAAGGATGAATAGAGCTAGTCATGCATGCACACTCTGTCTTGATGGCTTGAATTGGTCCGTGTATTCTGAGAGGGCAACACTTTGGCGGAGTCCAGAATGTAGGTGCAATGCGAGGCGAACAATAGCTTTGGCCTCAGTCACGTACAGTACAGTAGTACATGTAGTTGTTTGTTTTTATTTATTGACTTTTTGGCACAGAGTCCTCTTTTTCGTTCTCCCTCACTACCCTCAATACGCGATGAATTCCCCTTGGGATGCCCCACCTTCAGGTGGTGGTTGGAACATGCCAGTAGCGGCAGCGTCTGACAACATGTCTACCGACTTTAATAACGATTGGACTCAAATGGCAAAAAAGATGGAGGCTTCCATGATTTCTGAAAATGTCAAGCATTCTCATTCAAATGGTATAGAATAATGCGACTTCATTATTTACTTTTTTTTATCTAGTTTTGGTTTGCTTTTGGCCCTTCATGATGGCATCTAAATAAGGCTCTCACCCACTCTATTTATGGTAGATGATGTACAAGAAAAGTCTTCATTTACCTCAGAAAAGGCTTCGTTTGCTCCAGAAAAGGCTTCGTTTGCTCCAGAAAACTCTTCGTTTGCTCCAGATCTTGATGGTGAGCTTCTGCTTCTTCCGATATGATTACTACTTGGATACATATTATACTGCTATTCATGATGCTTACCCAAATAAATCATGCTTCATTATCTCTTTAAAGAACCACCCGCAGAGAAGCTTGAGGATGTTTGGCCTTTGTTTCTAGAAGCTGATAAGACACGCGACTTGGACGATGTGAAACCAATGTTGGGACGAATATGTGATTTATATAGGGGAAGGAGCTGGAGAGACTTGGAAGAGAAGCTTCGAGCAGATAATTGCAACACCTATTTGGTAGCCACGGTAAATTGAATACTGATTGATGATCACACGATTGTATGAAGGATGTGAGCTATTCTAAGATGTATATTGACGGGAGCTAATTTGCACTATATCACTTTTAGAATGAGCCTGTTGGCTTTGGGTATACACTTGTTAATCTTAAAGGTGAGCCTAGACAGGAGTTTCGTGTTATTCCATCCTTTATCAAGCCTGGAACCGTAAAGAGAGGCCGCATGTCCATCGGGATGGCCACAAGTTATGAAGAGAACCTCATGAGGCTCGAGAGAGGCGGCATTGTGGTTCCAAGCCGTATTCCGAGATGTCATAACTGTAAACAGGAAGGCCATGTAGTCTCTGAATGCCCTGAAGATAAACGAGAATCTGATAGATCAGAATATTTTGGGAAATGTTACAACTGTGGCTCTGAAGAGCACCGTACGCGTACTTGCCCGGAACCTCGCAAAGTACAGGTCTGCAGGAACTGTAACAGGGAGGGTCACATCAGCAGAGAATGCACTGAACCGCCTGCATCCATTACTTGCAACCGATGCGGACGCGAGGGTCACAGGATACGCGAGTGTACCGAGCCCCGAAGAGACGTGACCTGTAACCGCTGTAACGAAGTTGGTCACATGGCACGCGATTGTACCGAGCCTCGGAGAGATATTAACTGTAACCGTTGTGGCCAGGTAGGCCACATGGTGCGGGATTGTACCGAGCCCCGGACAGATGTCACCTGTAACCGTTGCGGACAGCTTGGTCATATGGTGCGGGACTGTTCGGAGCCCCGAACAGACGTTACCTGTAATCGCTGTGGAAAATTTGGTCATATGGTACGGGACTGTACTGAGCCCCGAACAGACGTTACTTGTAATCGTTGTGGACAGTTTGGCCACATGGTGCGAGAATGTACCGAACCTCGAACAGATGTCACTTGCAACCGTTGTGGACAGTTTGGTCACATGGTGCGGGATTGTAGAGAACCTCGAACAGACATTACCTGTAATCGTTGTGGGCAACTTGGTCACATGTCGCGCGATTGCGAGCAACCCAGACACTCTTCGGCCACCAAATGTTATAATGTATGTTTACTTTTAAGTTATTTCAAGAACATCGTTAGCTTGTTGTATTTAATACAGATCTTAAGCTTACAAGACTTCCATTCCAACATTTCTTCGAAAACTTTAGTGCGGCCAGGTCGGTCATAGGGCTTCCGATTGTATCAACGAACGAGTTGAGGGTGCACGCGAACGCCGTCCTCCCCCTCAAAGATATCAACTCAACTTCTAGGGAGATATTCGCAATTGAGGAATCCGACTTGAAAATAAGGGAGTTTTAAAGTACCAATCTAAACATGCTTTTAAGGGATGCATTCTTGCTATGTCTCTCGAAATATAATTCCTCATTTTGTCAAAAATGTAATTACAAGTATCGAGGCGATGTTTTTGAAACAAATAAAAGAGAACTTTTTTTTGTTTTACTGCTTCGATCCTGGTAAATAGTCATTTTTGCCTTTTTATGAAATCGGGCCTATTTCTGGTTTGCAAAATAGCTTCAAGCGGAATGCATCGACACCATTGAGGTAATACCGGTAGAGTCTTTTATCTTTGATAAACCCCATCTGCTGGTATAGTGCTATCGCACTCTGATTTGTATACTCTGTCTCCAAGACGATCTTGTTAAAAAAAAAAAAAAAAAAAAAAAATTGAGAGTAAGAGGAAAGGCAACGAGAATGTATAAAAGCAAAGTTGCAAAAAAATAAAAGTAATACCTCGTCTGCGCCAGCTTGTTTCATGGCCTCAATGGCCATAAGGACCAAAGTCGATCCAATCCTCCGTTTCCGGTACTCTTTCGAGACAGCCAGCATGGCGATGTAACCACGGTTGGACCTAGCGCTCCCATGTATGTCTAATCTGCAGACAATTACCCCTACACATTTGTCCTTTTCCCTATCCATAGCCTAGAAAGAAAATATAAAATAAAATAAAATAAAACATGTGAGATGTAGTTTTCAACAAACAATAACCTTGGCACATCAATGTTCAGATGCATGGGACAGCAACATACAAGAAATGAGAGCTTGGGCCATTGATGTAAAAAGTATCGATAGGTATAAATGGAGTACGGTTCTGAAAGATCATTCTCAATCAGACTGATCATACCCTGAAGCTGATGTTCTGATTCATAACCAATGTAGTCAATCGGTGGAAGTCCTGTACTATCATTGGCAGTAGGGGCTGTTGCCTTATCCTTCTCTGACGAGCTCTTGGCACTTGTAGTAGTAGTAATGGTAGTAGTAGTGGCAATTGCTGTTGTATTGCCTTTGCCAGTACCTTTGCCCTTCAGATCATCAGATTTTGACTCCTCTGACTTTGATTTCTTTTTCGCTTTCGGCTTTGTCATCGATTACTTCTGATGAATTGGATAGTCAAGATTGTTAAACGAAATGAGCGATCAAGTGCATCTATCTAATCAAATTTCCATTTGAAGCGGTCACCACTCCAACTTTATTGCATAGTTAAGTCAATTAAAAACAGCAAACACAAATGGTATATTTATATACAAAGTAATAATTGTCGTCATGAAAGCATGTAGGTTGCTAGAAGAGCAACCCAGGAGAGTATCGATACCGACAGTTGATCCACCACTATTGTTGCCTCAGCAGAAGGAGATATGGTTTCCGATGATTTAGTTGGTGATTGGTCTTGCTTTGGAAGAGCACCAGGCATATCACTTACGCCCCTGATGATACTCACAACAGGCATAGAAATATTATTTGATCCTTGCTGATTCTTTCCTAACGAAGAGCTTGCTGCCCTATCTTCCGCGTTGAAATGAGTATGATCACGATTGCCTTCAAGTAACTCCAGTTCAGTAGAAAGTCGCATTAATTCCTCGTAATTGGAAAGAGACTTTTGAAATTCACTTTCGTATCCCGACAATCTTTCCACGAGACTTGACAATTGTGCTTCACGTTCCCGAAGATTTTGCTTCAACACACGCTCCCCATCTATTTCATAAATAGTTAACCATAGTAGTATATAAATGTATAAAGATTAGACACAGGCCATAAATTCTAATACAGAAGAATGATTGTTTCATGAAGGAGGAAAAAAAAAAAAAAAAAAAAAAAGTTTTCACATACCACACTTGCGTCGATACTTCTCCTCTGCCTGTTGGAATGCCGACTGCCACATCCTCAACGAGGCTGTCAGATCCTTGACCTGCACACAAAGTTCCCGTGTCGCTTCAGCCTCATATCTTGGGTGCGTGAGCTCCATATGGCTCGCATATGCCGCCTGCAACTGTCGATGCATCCAATCCACCTGTTGAACCAAAAACTCACACTCCTTGCGCCAACCATTAGTTTCCTCTTGCAGATCTTCACCATCATTGTTGGCGGTTATCCTGGCAAGATGGGCGTTGACTTTATCAAGCTCCAGATTTAATAGCATATTGGTTCGTTTAACATGCGAGATCTCCAGTTCCAATGCTTCCATTTTTGATTTCATATTGATCCAATCTTGGATAGGCATCTCTTGATATTTGTAAAGACTGGATATGTAGGATGACAATCCACGTTGAGCTGCGCTAACATGGTTGGACTCGAACATACTGTGCGATTTTGCTCGAATCATTGCTCCAGAGTGATAGGAAGTTGCGATCAGATCAGTATGTTCAATATCAGCACTGCCTTCAGAACTATGATCATCTAATACATTCAATGGATGAATAGATGGGATAGCGAGGTTGTCGATGAGTGACCTATTAACTCCTGGGTCGTCATTATCACTTGGTTCGATTATAAAAGGCTGTTTGACCTTTGCTTGCTGTTTCATGCTCTCATGACGTTTGCGAAGTTGGCTGGGTAACATTGGCTGGTTAGCATCCACTTCTTCGATAGTGCAGTCTCCATCTGTAAAAGTAGGTGATAAAGTATGAGGTGGTGTTGAGGTTCTTCGGGCTGTGCTATCGAGTTCGAAACTAGATGAATGAACCTGTTCCTCGGAAGAACAAATGGATGAAATTAAGGTTGATTGTTGAATGGTATCAGCTGTGGTGACAATAGTAGTAATGGGTATGAGTACGGTAGGTAAAGAGTTGGTGCGATGTGGATGATCTGGATGAGGGAATTGGTGGGGCGACAGGGGAGGAGAAGGTAGACTAGGCATTGCTGTGGTAGTGTTGCTGTTGTTGTTGTTCAAGGTCTTCTTGATAGTGTCGATCTCCTAATTGAGAAAAGTCAAGGCAAAAAAAAAAAATAATATCAGAAAAGCCCAACATCGATTGTTCTTCTGGTGGCGCTCTCAAGATCCAATGGCTTTTAGGTCCTTCTTCTTTCTTTATGGGAATAATGTCATGTGTATGTTATTAATTTGCTCAGTTGGTGGTAAAAAAAAAAAAAAAAAAAAAAAAAAAAAAGAAACTGATCTCCATTCATTGTCCATTTATTCATGTCCGTGTGAGAGAGAGCATGTGGGAGACAATAAGAATGATTCCAAAGTTGACCACTACCTAGCTCCTGTCATTATTTGATTAGATCGTATCTTCATTGCATGAGAACTGATGATTAAGGTGATAAAAGGAGGAATTAAAGAGAGAACTTACAGGACAAGAGACTGTAGGATGAACTGCTTCATGGTTTGATACATCAGCCGTCGAATGTGTGGTTGTGATGGGGATGATAGGGGGACGTTCCAAGGTCATGAGGGATATTCGTTCTGGAATTATAAATACTAAATAAAGAGTAAAAGGTCTGCTCTGCTGCTGATAGAAAATAGAGGACAGTGGGATGACGAGAAAGAGTGTATGAGTGAGCGTGAGTGAGTGTGAGTGAGTGAAAGAGGGTGTATGAGAGAAAGTGAGAGAAAGTGAGAGAAAGAGAAAGTGAGACACGAACAATGAACAAAGGCTGAAAAGAGGGTTTGAGTGTGATCCCTCGTGGCTGTTGAAATGCGATCATTCGATCAAGACCGGACATACAAAAATCCCATGTCCCATGCTCATTTGCATCCCATATTAGACCAGATCAAAACTTTTTTTTTTCCTTCTTGAGACACTTCTACAAAGAGGCAAAAAACTTTCTGCAGTTCTGCAATTTAATTACATGTGCAAGCCTAGTTTTATTTGTCTTTATCGGTTTAAATAGATGGGCTTTGGTCTTCGAGGAGAAGGACGATTGTTACTTAGGGAAAAAGCCAAGGATGGTGGACATTGAGCAGGTCAAGACCGACAGCTGAGAAACAAATGAAAGCGGCGAGCACTTTGTATGGAGGTGAAGCAAATGTGGTCCCTTTAATTGAATGAGCCCCCCTTTTTTTTTTCATTCGATGGCATGTGCATCCCCACATGAGACGAGTACCAGCATGCTTCAGATTTATAATTATTATTAAAATTATAATTAATATATAATATCACAATGATTTTTACTCTGGTTAATGGTAACATGTCTATCTGTCAACGACAGTGTTACTATTTGCTGTAACAAATATAGATATCCATCAAGTTGTGCAAAATGACAAATCAAACCACAATGACAAATAGTCTGCAGTGGAAAGTTATTCAGGCCAATATGTCGCTGTTCATGTTAACTACGCCTCAATCCTAGAGCTGTTCCAAAGTACCAAAAGGGCAAAAAAAAAAAAAAAAAAAAAAAAAAAAGAGAGAGAAAGTCAGGTGCGTTTAGGGTATCAGGCAATAATAAGGCTAATTAGACCAAAGTAAGGTTAATTCTATTTTTTTCTTTTGCTTTGAAGGAATTGTGCAGTCATTGACAATGTGTTAATGTTAATAGGTCATTTTTATATTTGACAACCATGCGATCATTAAAATAAGTCCAACCTTGGTTTTTAATAGGCTCAGGTTGGTTTAAATCATTAAATCCTTTCTTTGGATACGCTGGAAATACTGAAGCACATGTCAATATGAAATCATGACCCTGAGAATTTCTCCCGAAGCTATGGGAAAGAATGCTCAGGAACAAAGGGAGCTAATCGCGCATTATTATTGTTGGTGACATGGTGAGTTGGACAAGGAAAAATATTACCATTGATTTCATTTGATTGTAAGAATAAATTGATGTTGTAAAAATCCCTCAAATCAACAATGACATGGTCATTAAAGCATATAATCTTGGCAGGTTTTCATGCATTCAATAAAAAAGCATTTTGATATTAAGACGCGTAAATCGCAAGCTAACGCTCGACTAGCCTAGTAATAGAACGCCGATTGGTGTATATATCATCAATGTTCATAATTTTAAAGATGACGATGGTTTTTTTTGGTCTGGGTGCCTACTTCATCTTCTTACATACTCAGTTTGCTTCCACCCATTGGTATATATTGTCCTTTCGATGGGTGTACGAGTACCTAAAATGACATCGAGATGCGGTCATCATCATGAGAGAACTTCAACCTATTGGCAACATCACCTTGATTGTCCCTGACATGGTTATTGTCTCTTCCATGAACATTCACATCAATACTTTAGTCTATTTTTTTTTTTTTTTTTTTTTCAAATAAATACAGCGTCTTTTGCACTTTTTTTTTTTTTTTAAAATCTTTATCAACAATTGTCTCTCTTCGCAAACAACAGCACCACCACCGCCATTAAAAAAAAAACTCTCGTTCAACATGAAGTTCTCAGTTTCCACCGTTGCTGTCGCCTTCTTGGCCGTCGCTTCTGCTACCAAGACTACTTTAATGCCCTCAATCTCCGCCTCGGTCTCATCCGCTATCAATAAGCCTTCGCCTACGAGCACTGGCACTATTACGGTCACGGTCCCTATCACCGCCACAGTCACGGTCACTCTTCCTCCCTCCTCGACAGGTGGTCCTGCTCCCACCCAGCCCTCAAGTGGAAATGCCTTGAATGTCCCTGCCAAGGCTATCATGGCTTTCGGCGTTGGTGCCGTTGCTTTAGCCCAATACTTGTAAAAAAAAAAAAAAAATCTCTGGATATAATAGACCTTCCATCCTATTACGAATATAATTGTATATACAAATATCACTCAAGGCTTTATTCTTGGGAATGTAATAAAGTTACCCTCTTCATGTCTTCAAAAAAAGAAAACAGATCGACTACTATATATATTTTATCACCCTCTTCTACGTTGCAAATGATGCAAATGATGCAAATGATGCAAATGATGGTCCTCCAACTTACATAAACATAAACTTTATTCGCCTTGAGAAAGGGAGCCCATCTAGACAAGATCGTGTAAGATAATAAATGAAAGAATATTATATAACATAGGCTTTAATAAATGTTGTCTAAATTGTCCGTGCATTTACTATTCCACGACTTGAAATGCGTGATCCCTTTTTTTTGCATGAATAGGATTAGTTTGCTGTCCAATCTCCAGGCTTGATTTTATTTTTTATTTTTAATGAGGAGCTCTTTGCATTGCCCTTTGACTCCTCTCCAGAAGGATTCACTTTGGAGGCAAATTTGATGTCAAGTCGTTTGACTTTTTTTTTTGTAGCATTGTTTGACCAATAAACCACATTTTCGCATTTACATTTCATTTCATTTCATTTCAATTCATTTCATCATTCCATCCACTCAAGAAAAAAAAAAGGCAAAAGGAAAGAAAAAGGGCCGACTATTTTTCTTTGACTATCACAAATAGCGTTAGTAGCATCATGACGAGCCCTACTGTCGTTTGGAGTGTTCATGGTAATGAATTTAAATAGAACTGTTGGTGCGCGATACCTATTAAAATAGTCTGTATTACTGGTCTGTGCATGGCAGGAGATCCAGTCCTTGTTTTCAATCCTCAAACCATTAGAAACACTAATAACCGCCTGCTTTACCTATTGTATTGATGGTCATTACCAGTACTGATGCCATATGCGTTAATCAAGGACATCAACAAGGAGCGGGATGATCTTGATAATGACAACTCATACTTCGCTACCGCACTCTTGAATGGTGAAAGCGTAGTTACAGAGTGGAACCCTGAGTTACGACTGGTAATAACATTATGATAAATGTCACTTATTAAATTACAAAATTTGTGGACTAAAAGCATCATCATGTATATATTACTTCTCTTCTTTCTCTCTCTTCTTCCTCTATTGCAAGAATATCATCCTTGCCATTGATGCTATTCCACATGTGTATCGTCAACAATGTCATTACATTGGCCTCGAATCCGTAGACCAAGTTTTGGACGAAATTATTGCCTTTGAAAAGGACCATGACTTTGAAGGCCATCCTATTAATACCCATCCCAAAACTATCAAGAGCTCAAAAAGCAAGCAACTACGTCCATTTGACGACAACGAAAACATCTTGATCAAGACCGTAGTCCTTAATTTCACGGACGGAATGGAAGTTGATGGCTGGCCTGGAATCTCTGTGATCCAAGGTCTTGAAAAGCGATGTTTGGCCTTCACAGGTGCTAACTCAAAGCTCTACTACCTGGACAGCGACAAGGCCTTGATCAAGCGACATTTGGTCGAATCGGGCACTCCAACCCCTGGCTACTGTGACGTCTACTCAGGTCAGCAGATGGAAGCCCGAGCTCAAACTCAAGCTAAAGCCGAAACCGAGCCTGAGCTTAAATCTATCGATGAAGAAGAAATGGCAAACAAGCCCATCATCTTGGATAAACTTTTGAAATTAAAGTTTCCATTGCTGGTCAAGCCCGCCATTTCAAGCTCAAGTCGTGGTATTTCCATAAAGTCCGTTGTGGACACTCCAGAAGAAGCATATGAACGCGCCATGGAGATCAAGAAGATCTGGGGGCCTGTTTATGTTGAAGAGTATATCACTGGTAAGGAGCATGTCATTCTGCGAAGTGTTTCGATCGTATACTCAAACCATAATATCTAAAAACTAGTTTCTATTTTAATATGAAGGTCGTGAGTACACAGTCTTGGTATCCGGTTCTCAAGAAACAGGTATCAGAGTTTATAAAGTATTGGAGCGTATATTCCGAGCAGAACTTCCAGAACGAGAGCGCATGTTGACTTATGACATGAAGTGGGGTAACGATAATTATGGATCAGACGAAACAGTCGAAACAGCCTCATGGTGGATGCAGGTTTGTTCGGACCCTGATCAGGAACGATTGCAACCCCAAGCAATGTCCATGTATGCGAGCTTTGGGGGGAATGGATACTGCCGTATGGACCTTCGAGAGGACTATCGGACAGGCGAGGTGTTTGTTGTGGATGTGAATGGTAAGTCGTTACCCTCTTTAGTTTTTTTATTAAAAAAAAAAAAACAAAAAAAAAAAAAAAGTCGAAGCCTTGAAGTGCTAAACCCTCTTCTCCTTTACTTGTTCAAATAGCAAATTGTGCAATCGAGGATGATAATGATTGCGCCATGGGGAAGGTAAAGAAACAATATAAATGCATTAAGTTATACTTGGGCTTGCAATGATCAATACGTATACTCTTTGTTTACCTCGCTGATCTACTGTTATCTAAATTCCATCGGAGTGTCCTCTCATAGATCCTCAAGGCATCTGGGTTGAATCTTGGACAATTTTTCTCCATTCTAATGGAAGATGCCATCTGTATGAGAGATAATCTGTTGTCCAAAGAAGATGCTTACCCAGAACTGAAGTCACTTGCCGCTATAGCCATGACTGGAAACATTAAACATGCACTTGAGACAACCACAAACGAACAACTTAGGAAGGCCGTACGCGTCAGCGCATAGTAACCTTTATCAATTCTCTCTTTTTTTATTTTTTATATTTTTTTTATAGGCCTGGATCATGAAAACTCATTATGTAGTAATAAAAAAGTTTTTGTTTTTTTTTTTATTACTTTCTTCGCATTGAGTTACTCTTTCCTATCTACTCTTGTTCTTTGATGCATCATATAATAGTATTTTCAATATTGCTGAACAGTCTTAGTTGGTATAGGTAACACCTTCATAAGCATCATCGCTATTCTGTGGCTCATATAAACACAAGTGTTCTGGCTTTGTCAATGACTCTGCTCCAGTCTCTGTATACGCATAGTTGTAGCTTTGCTCATGTAGCTCCCAGCGTCCTCTCCGTCTACAGAATCGCAAATCGTCATACTCCTCCTGCACTTCCTGAACATCTACAACGTCATTTGTTCCCGTTGCTGATGCTGATGAGGTTTGTTGCTTCGCTTGTTTCTCCAATAGTGGTTCAAATGGTTGGGTAGGGTCTGACAAATCCCCATATTGTCCTACGATGACCTCAATATCGACCGTGTATGAGCGCATATCGTTTACAACACAGTGCATCCAGCCCCGGATCACTTGACCTGAATTCACAGCCAAAGGTTCCCTAAACAAGAACCGCACCTGCTGCCAATGTGTTCGCTCCGAGCTTGGCCCAGTAGACATTTGGACCGGCTGGCTAGCGACTGAGTCGGCATATCCAGAGAATACAAGATCGAACCATCCAGCGACCCCATGCATCAACCCTGTATACTGAGCCTTCCATGAAATCGGGACCACAAAATCACGCAGAGCCTTCATGGTGATAGTGTTGAAATCCATCTCAAACCCTCCATTTATTTCAGACGTTGGATTGGCTAGCAAAGATTTTGGATCAAAATGGCCAACTACAGGCATACCTAAAAGGGAGTGTTTGGAAAGTAATCGAGACGAATGATCATAATTTTGGTTAATTATAGTAGCAAGAGGCGGTTTTTTTTTTTTTTTTTTTTTTTTTTTTTTTGCTTACCAAACAGTTCAGCCTTGGCATCAGGGTAGAGAGGAGAGAGATCTATGCCATGAAAGGTTGCCTGCTCCCAGAAACGGGCTTTACCTATTGTCTCTGTAAATAATAACGCATCTGTGAAGGGCGCAAGGTACATAACACCTTTGTTAGGGAAAAGGTGCCCTCCTGGTTTTAAGTATGTGTCGCGAGCATAGATGAAGCTTTCAATCTAAAAAAAAAAAAAAAAAAAAAAAAAAAAAAGTAAGAGTGACCATATATCTGTTATAGCTTAGCGCTCTCTGGTTTCATTACTGACATATACTTTATAGTTGTATCACGACCTACCATTCGCTCATGAACAAGTAGTACACCTATGAAGACGTATGTAGTAAGTTAGGGCGACGATGATATTACAATCAGTGACAGATAATCATTTGGAGATGGATAGGAAAAAAATCATTACCAATGGGCTCTGAAATAATTGTGTCAACCTTGGGTGCCTTAATACTTGGGTCCTCAATCTTGGCTATTAAAAAATATTTTATGTAAAGTGTAAGTTTTTTTTTGGTCTTCGCTGTAATAATGATTCATTTAAATATCATACTTCAGATGGGATTAAGACCACCTGGAGTAGGTTCAACAAACTCACCTTGAATGACCTCGATTTTATCCTTCAGGAATTCATTTTTAGCTCTTCCACTGGGCAGGGACGCTGCCTCTACAAGCTTCTTCATTTTTCCCGCCATATCTGATGCCTCGACTGCGTATACCTTCTTAGCACCTGCTTGGACTGCAAAGTAACTTAAAATACCGGAACCTGATTGTAAATTATACGATTTTTTTTCATATTTTAGATATTTGATGATGCGAAAGACAAAAAAGAAGATATAGGACGAGTCATGCTTTAATAACGGTCGCCAAATCAGTAAAATAAAATGAACGAAATCAATAGAATAGAAAGCTATTTATACCTGCTCCAACATCCATGACAAGTTTATTCTTGAAACACTCGGTATTCAATAGGATTGCAGATCGGTAGGTGGATGTCCTTACTGTGTCTTGAAGCATGTTTTGCTACGAGACAGAGGAAACATGCAAAAAAACAATATGGCGTACGGGCGATTGGAGTAGGATGGGGTCAGCCTCAATTGCTGCTGACTTTTGCTGAGAAAAAGAGTGAACAAGGGTGGGGAGACTACTGGTCTAAATGTCTTCAGTCTCAAATTCCATGTCCATTCGTTCTTATCTTTTTTTTTTGCTTCCATTTCTTCCATGAAATCGAAACAGTTTCTTCATGTTCAATGTAAATCCTGAAAGCTTTTTTTTTTTTTTTTTTTTTTTTTGAAGCGAAGTATATACCTGATGCTGCAGCATGGCATAGTAACCAAAGTAGGCCGGATCCCTAGCCTCATTTGAAGGCTTGTCTACCATAGATGCCTCGGTTGACATGGCTGACAAAGTGATTAGGTTGTAGGACAAGGGAAGATTTTGACGATAATAAGCTCAGATCGTGAAATACGCGCATTTGGTACTCAGCCACCTGACTGACTGTTTTTTTTTGTAGTCAATGGTCCACTAGATCCTATAGCATATCCTCATGCAGTGATAGTTGAGAATATTGATCCAACATCAATGTATATACTAGGTGATGACAATTCCGCTATCATCTCTGTTATCCTTCATTTTCCTCTCCATTTTCCTTATCCATTTCATAGCGATGACATGGGCTCTGCTGCAGAGCCAGAAGAGAGAAAAAACCTTCAAAAGCGTTCCCGGAGCACATGGCTGGGCAGTCAATAATGAGTGAAGAACACAATAACTGTTTTCAAGTGGCACATGCCCATCAAAATGTTATCCAACAGAATGCCTTCTTGTTCTTGCCTGTGACAACAGCAGACCAGAGGGATATTCATGATTTGAGAGGTCCGATGATATAGGCTCTCACTTTTCTCTGTCTTCATCTCGGACAAGATGGCCACTTTCTCTTTCTGACGGTGTGGAATGGCTATGAGCTGTTATTGCGTCTTACAGGGCCTCAAATATGTAAGCATCGGGCTGCTTAGTGTCATATTGAATGGCCTAAGCAGCACTAGAATTATAGCAAGCACTCGCTCAATACCGTTATAATTGGTAGTGTAGGTGCTACTATTGCTGTTATTTATGGTAGCGGTGAAAGTGATGGTAGTGGTAGTTGCCATTGCAGCTGCTAAAATAGTTACAGGTATTACTGTTGGACGTATTTTGTGGATCATATATAGCCTTCAGTTTGGATTGGAAGCGACTTGAAGAGGTGAGGTGTTGAAATATGTTAATGTCTAATCGGTGAATGTTATGCTCTTCCCACTTTGTCAGGGAAATACCACTGGAAATGAGCTGAGCAAGTGTCCAATGCTTGCTTGTGCAACGATCAACAATCAATGTCTAAGTAGAAATTTCGAGACTACAATTTAAGTTTTGGTTTTGGTTGGAAATAACACATTCACACCCATTAAGCAAAGGGACATTAATTTTGCAATTCTTCACACACTGCCAAACCACCCTGCTTCATTCTACATGAACATTAATTCTCTCTCTCTCTCTCTCTCCTTTCATTCATTCTTCTCTTTCTCTCTTTCTGTCCTTTTGTCCTTCTGTCCTTCTGTCCTTCTATGTCTGTGTCCTTGCATGCTGATTGCTTCTAACCGGTCCCCTAACTTGCATTGCTCTCATACGCATACTCTCATCCAGTCCTTGTCTTGGACATATCTTTTTCCTGCTATTATTGTTCGTCTGCTTTTTTCTACTTCATTGTATCGTCCATTTCCCTGGCTATTACTGGCCGACCTTTCGACTTCGTCTATCTTCTCGCCACCTCCGCCATTATTGTCCAGACCCCCGTTGCTGCAGCCGCTACTGTGCGCACTCCAGGTGTAGCAACTCAGAAAGAAGTCAGGTGCTGGTCTGTCTTGCACCTCCTCTTTCTGATTGATTGCCTTGATTGCCTACAATCGCTGCCATTGAACAGCAAAAACAATCGATATCTTGCTGCTGCAATCATTCAAGGGCAGCAGCAGCTTCTGCATCAGAACCTAAATCAACGCAATCATCATTCACAGATACAACTAGAGCTATTAAAGCCCTCGTGTCCTCAGTTTGTCATACCTTTCTCCCGCATTGACCTAAACTCTCAAATACTATCAGCTCTGTGGATAAAAGGACCCACTCTTTTATCTCACACGGGCATCCAGTATTCTTTGACTGGTCACAATAGAGTGCAAATAGTCGTCGCAAAAGATCACTTGTATCCTTTGCTTCGATTATTATTACCTTGCCTGGGAACAATAGAATTATACCTCCTGAAACGAGACTTGAACGCCCCGGTTGTTGATCCTTTATTGCCTCTCCCGTTGTTGTCGTTGCCCTTGCCAAGTCTGACCTCCAGAAACAAGGCCTCTTCATTAACAGTTTTGCTCCTTAACCCCATATCATCTTTTATCAGCCGCGATTGCTCTTACTCTTCCTCGTTTTCCTTCACTACTCTTTCGTCCTTATTTCCTTTGCCTTACTCCAGAGCGCAGAGCCATCGCCATCATTGTCGTGCTCGCTGTCTCAAATGGGCTCGTCCAAAACTGTTATTGGAGGAGAGTACTTGGTTCTGGGCAAGATTGGCGAAGGCTCCTTTGGTGAGGTCTTTCGAGGTATGTGTCTAGTCTATATCCTTACTAGGCCCATTATTTGTCTTTCCTTTCTTTTCACATCCCCTCATTTTCACAAGCGTTTTTTTTTTTTTATTTATTTTTTCCAAACTCAACGCGAATGCATATTGCATGTTAATTTCTCAACTTTAATTTGGGGTGACATGACCATCCACGGGATACGATTCCCTGCACAGAATCCCAAAACATACCGATCTGAAGTAAAACCTTTCGGATATAGTTTATGTGTGTGCTCTGTTGTATTTCCATTGTTCTGGTCTATGCAATTGTTATTAATTCAATGCCATGAGCATAGAGCCGTTGTCTGTCAGAAGACATGCAAATGCACTTTAGAATAACGACTGAAATGAAAGAGATAAATGAGATAGTGTCCACGATAAGGAAGGCTTATTAACATATTTCCTTTCATGCATAAATGCATGGATCCTTTCGCTTATTCCATCAATATACTTTTTTTAGCGACTCATATTGCCACTGGCGTGGACTATGCCATCAAGAGAGAGCCCATCAATGTCGCGCACCCCCAGCTCGAACATGAATTCAGGATGTACGAGCAACTTGCTGGTGGAGGTATGCGCTTGAGTAGCTTTATTTAGTTTACCCCACACAACTTGCGACCAGCGAATTGGATACAGGGAGAATCACGCCTTTTTTTTTTTTTTTTTTTTTTTATTTGTTGTCGAAATGAGCCCTTTGTCTTGTCCGGTACTAAGTGCATTATTATATATTGTGTTTACTTAAAATATATATATATACTCTACAAACATCTAGTTGGCATTCCTAAAGTGCACTGGTTTGGCAAGGAAGGCATGTACAATGCAATGGTCATTGACCTTCTGGGACCCAACCTAAAGGAAGTTCGCCGTGAAAATGAAAAACTACCTCTTAGCTTTGTTATCGAATTAGGCGTCCAAATGGCAAGTATAGCCATTACTCTGTATCATAACTTGAATAGCAATCGCAACAATATAGGATGAGGACATTATCGTCAAAGTCTCTTACGCAGATGTCTAATGAGGCGTAAGTTTTATTTTTTATTATTATTTTTTTTTTTTTACGGTAAATCCCAACATCTAGATCACCCAACTTGAATCTATTCACAAAAAAGGGATCGTATATCGTGACATCAAGCCTGAGAATTTTCTTTTGGACACCGATATCGTCCTGCCTGATGCTCCTGCCTCACCGATATCTCCAACTTGTCTAAAGAACGGCAGTCATGGTAGTCATGAAAATAAGCTGTCAGCATACTCAAACTTTGTCCTGAACTATTTTAACGATACGCGTCGCCAACGTCAAAAGAGTTTGGGTAGTGATTCTGACTGCAATGGATCTGACCTGTCCACATCGCCCGAATCCCCAATTAGGGCGATTTATGGTAAACCAGCCCTGTCGATTGTTGATTTTGGATTGGCAACATACTACAGAGATGCATGTGGAACAGGAAAGCACATTCCCAATAGAGGAAGCACAAAGCATAAAGTCGGAACAGCCCGATACGCCAGCATCAATATCCACTGTGGACGAGGTAAATCTAGGTGAACTTTCCCAAGGAAAACTACTATAGCATTTCAGACCTCATCGAGTCTAAATTCGTTAATTTGTTGCTGATAAACTGTAGAGCATACACGCCGAGATGACATTGAATCAGTAGGCTACATGCTCCTTGAATTCTTGATCGGAACATTGCCTTGGTCCGGTATTTCTGCCAGGAACTCAAGGCAAGGCTGGGCTAAAATGCGGGAGATCAAGGAGGATATTGAATTGGATGAGCTATGCGATGGTTTACCGAAGGGGTTCATGACGTTCATTGGGTACTCTCGTAGTCTTCGATTTGATGAAGAGCCCGATTATGAGTATCTCCGAACAATTTTATGCTCGTCTGCCGGACGAGGTGCTGAAGCGCAGATTGTTCGATGTTATAGGGAGCCACCTCCTTCCCTATCAAGATCGCAAGAACAAACTTATACCGGAATGGGAGGCCTTCCGATTCATCGTGGTGGAAATGATCCATATAAATCGAAGGAACGGTGTAAGCCAGACAATCCATTGAAGGACTGGAGAAATAAGCCCCAATACAGCCCTCCATCCAACAAAGGAAACAAGAATCCGAAGCAGCGTTATTGTCCCGCTTCGCTCTGGACAACAACACCGCCAGATATGGCGCCTAAAGACGAACGGCTTGGAGCTGATGCCAAGGAATTCCAAGAGATGAGGGATAGAATTGAATGGGGCGTACCTCCACAGGATGACACAGACGTGGGTATACCTTTATGGGGTGACGAATTTAATCATAATCAAATCCCAAATAGACCAAGGAAATGTTCATGGGGGGAAAATGACCCCAACGCGCGCTGGGGGCATGGGGAGGGGTATGAAGACGAGCCCGAGACTGAGCCGGACGAGAACCTGCCCTTCCCAATGGGATCTCTGCACGAAGACCCTGCTCCAATTCATACACATTATGCCAAAGCGTCTTTCAAGCCCAATACTGGTACAGCTGCAGCTACAGCCGCTACAAGCCGCCTTTATAAACCACAGGATGCCCGTTTTTACTCGGATGATCCTCCAGCAGGACTAACGCCCCGCCTCGGAGACGGATCAGGCTTTAAGCAAACGCTGCCTATGCCTATACACCCACTCTCGCGCCCAAAAGACAATGACATGTATGCATCTCATCTGTCGCCCCCAGTACCATCATCTCCCAAGTCACTCTCGTCTTCGTTTTCATCCATGAACTTGCGCACAGGGACTCATGGAGAGCATCCAAGCACAGATCGTGCTCAAGCTTCTTCAAGCATACACAGCGATAAGTCTAAATCGAATACAATTGGGCTAGGACGTGGGCGTAAGTTTTCAAACCCTCAGGATAGGACTCGTGGCTGGTCAGTAGATCATGGGACAGGGGCTTGGAACAGTTCGGAGCATGGGAAAGGAAGGAATGGTAACGAAAATTGGCAAACAAGGAATGCTGATCGTCGTCGACCTCACGGCCATGGCACAGTTGACTCAATGGGAACATCTGGACCAGATTTATCACACCAAGGACAACATCATACTCTGCCTCGCACGAGACAAATCTCAGCATCAGGCACTAAGGCTCAAGGGCAAGGGTCAGGACAGTTATCGATTCAAATCTCCAAACAGGGCCACAGTGGTGGCTATAATAATCATGGTCAGAGCCATGGGTCTCACTATTATCAGCACCATCTGCCCCATGGTCAAACCATCAATCAAAACCACCGTAATCAAGGCTCAACAAATAATGGTGACGGTGCCTTCGGGTTCAATGAGCAGGGACGCCAGTTGCGATCTCGAATTAGGAAAAGCTCAAACACCAGTCTTTCGAGTCTATCTGATCAGTGGGCGACCAATAGCAAGGTTGGCAATAACAGTGTAAGGAACAAGCCTAAGTAGCAAGTAAAACATGCATTAAAGAAACATTGCCTTGCCCATATTGTATACAGGAAAAAAAGATGGTTTTTATTGTTTTTGTGAAAATTTACTCAAAAAATGAACAAAAGCAAAGCATCGATTGGTTTAATTTGTCCATGTTTGCCAACAGAGTACAACTCTCCATCCTTCCGGATCTTCAAAAGTGACCCCGTAGTCGTCCCAATAAGGATTTACGGAGTTGACTGTGTGATATCCATGCTCCTCCATACGTGCTTTTTTGGCCTCAACTTCGTTTTTATCTCCAAGATACAAAACCAGAAGATTATCTTGAGTGGGTGCGCGAACAGATTCATGTTCAGCATGATCGTGTTGTAAAGTAAATTCTAAGTGCCAAGGCGCAGGAGTACCAGGGTTGTTGGAGGGCAGAGCAAGGATGCGGCCATCGAACCCGCGGTGATTATCAAAAGACGCGATTACAGCTAAACCCAGTGCTGTCTGATAAAAATGAAGCAGCTTGGAAAGACATCTGGTTGGGCGTGCGAAGCGAAGGATTGGGACGCTCGCTGAGGCGAGAGTATTATTAGAAATTGAGGCAGACATGCTGGGGAGCTCAGTTTGAAAGGAAAGGAAAGGAAAAGAAAAGAGAGGCGTGAGAAAAAAAGAGACATGAAAAGACATGTTGAAATTACAGACGCATTGCTGCCGAAACTGCGCAGTGCCAAAATACGTGCTTTCTCAGGAACATGAAATTAAAGTAATGACACATTTTTTTTGGTCCATGTTCATCATAGTTATAAAAGCCTGAACTTGAAGACGTTTTTTTTTTCTTCATTCTTTTCTACTTTGAAGCGCTTAGTCTAAAGGCACGAGGAACACATTGATTTACGCAGATACAATCTCATATGTTATTGCGTATCTGTCGGATCCCTTCTCATCCATCTCCAAATATATGTTCCCCAATCCTCCTCTCTCTTTACAACGCTATCCTCACCACTCCTGATCTTCCTTTTGATCCCTTGTGCATAATCATCAAGGTTTAGCTCAAGCCGTCCGACCTCGACAAAGCCAGCCTTTGCGAAGGCAGGCCACCCACTCATAGATGAACTCACCCAGCAGGACACACCTTCCTCATCTGCCTTATCTGTGCCCCATTTCAAGAGAGCAGATCCAATTCCTTGGCCTTGATAAGCAGGCGCAACACTGATGCCATAGATATAGCGACATTTAATACCAGGGACCATTATATATTTCGAGTAGTGGACCATGGCATTGTTGGTGGTTTGCCTTAACTCACCGATTGTGAGTGGTGAAGATGGTGATAGAGGAAGAACAGGAGATGGAGGTGGAGGTGGAGGTGGAGGCAGAGGAAGCTCTCTTGATGTTGTTGTGCCTGCTGTTGTAGATGAAGGTGCAAATGAGGATCCTTGGTTGCTATTGTTGTTGTTGTGTTTCATGGGTATTTGATTCTTCTCGGGATATCCCCATGTTGCCCAGATAACGAATCCAAGGATCTCTCCTCTATCATCATTATGATCAACACCATGTTGCCGAGCTACAATGATGTCGACATTTGGCTTACCAAAGAGCCCCACTAGATCTTGTTTAGTGCCATCGCGATGGTTGTTCTCGCCTTGCCATACGGCCTTTAGAAGAGTGTGAGTATCATTGAGAAATGCGTCGCCAGAGATTTGTGCTATTGCGTCAATGTCAGCAGGCGTTGCTGAGTCCAATTTGAATGATGCACCCATAATCTCCTTGAATATACTGCACTTATATATATGTATATAAAAGGAGAGAAAGAAAGGAGGAACAGAAAGATGAAAAGCTCTCTTCTTCTCCAGTAAAGGGTGTATGGACCCCTTGGACTTTTTTTTTTTTTTTTTTGCAAATTATGAATACTAAAAAGAGTCACTCGAATCGCTGAGGAAAATTTTTTTTAGAAGCTGATGCACTGTTTAATTTTGTGTTACCAAAAATCATTTTTGGCGCAGTACATATTTGCAAAAAGGAAGGACCCATTGTTTTGTCATTGTAATGATGACTTTGATGTACAGATCAAGAGGAAAGAATTGTAAGAAATATGCACACGTTCATTATACACAGACGAACCAAAGGCTTCGCGTGAAGCCAAGGTAGAATGAGAAGTAGTGGCTTCGAATACGCTTTTATTGCATGCAAAAGACGTGTGTTTATCAGCACTCAAAGCATGGGCGTCAAAGAATGTCTGTGTTAGACATTATGCATAGTGTTGTCATCTGCATAACCTAGACAATGGAGTGCCCTTATAACGGATTCATCGCTCCCCATCCGGAGGATGGTCCAGGCACGAGTTCCATTTCAACGTTAAACAACCAAGGACTTGAAAGAGAAACAACTGGAAACAAAAATGCCAATCACTTTTGAGCTAGTCAGAAGGGCACCGACCGGTTTTGTCTAGTCCCTCTGAATGTACGTATTCCCGTCAGATAGTCCGTCTCCTTCCTCTATATTTATGCGTCATTACACCATCGCATTTCTGTTTTTAATTCTCTCTCCTTTTGTTCTTCATATTCTTCACATTCATTATTTCTTGACATGTCACCAAGGAATATATTGGACACTAAGATAGAAACAGACATCGGAACCATGGATGAAAATAACCAACAGCAGCAACAACAGGGTATCCAGGAGAGAAGCCAGGAGCAAGAACCCATCGTCAACAGATTCTTATTACCCAAATCAATTAACACATACACTGCAACCAATGGCATCTACAGCAACAATAGCGACAGCATTAGTATTGATGACAATAAAGACAGCAGTACTGTTTCCACTGGCCTGTTCCCACCACATTCACGCAAGAAATGTAGGCATCATCAACTAAACAACAACAGCATCAAGAAAGAAAAAAAAAAAAAAAAAAAGAGAGAGAGAGAGAGAGAGAGAGAGAGAGAGAGAGAGAGAGAGAGAGAGAGAGAGAGAGAGAGAGAGAGAGAGAGTATATAAGTGTATGAATGAGTGTGAGTGAGGGGGAAGAGAGAAGAGGAATTTTGTTCATTCGCGCGCATTCATTCATTCACCATTGTTCATTCATGAAAACATTTCTATTCAAACATCAGTCCTCTTTTGCTTTGACGTAAAGAGAGAAAAAAACAAACATTTCTTCTACACTGAGGAAGAAAAAAAAAAAAAGGATATCCATTAATCAATAACTTGTAACCATGAGAGGCATGTCTTTTTTTTGTATTTATTTTCTATGGATCTTTTCAATAACAACAATGATAAATCTGATCACACTGATCACCGGTCACTTTTAGACATCATCGGAGTGTGTGCGATGGATGATAAGGCTCGATCCAAGCCCATGCGTAACATCTTAGACCGTCTACTGAATAACGGACCTTTTGAAGCCATCATCTTTGGTGACAAATGCATCCTTGATGAAGGTAACATTCATGAATAATAATAATAATGATAATGATAATAAAAACATTACTTTATCAACAAAAGATTCAACAATCCCTCATTTGACAAACTTCGCACTTTGATCTACTGCAACAAGTACAGAACCACAGTTCTTGTATACATATCAACTTATCTTGTCCTTTTTTTTTTTTTTTTTTTTTTTTTTTTTTTTTAAAAAAAAAAAAAAGACGTCCGATCATGGCCAGCTTGCGATTTTTTCATTTCATTCTTCTCCAAGGGCTTTCCTCTTCACAAGGCGATCGAATATGTCAAATTGAGGACACCCTTTTGTGTAAATGAGGTCGACTTGCAGACCTTACTATGGGATCGTCGACTCGTTCTTGAGGTTCTTGAGCAGATTGGTGTGCCCACGCCTAAGCGTTTGACCATGAGTCGGGATGGTGGGCCCATGCTTGAGGACCGTGTTCGTCAAAAGCTGAAGCTGAGAGGCGTGAATCTGCTCGAAAGAAGGCCTATCCCAGAATTCAACATGATCGACCAGGACACGATCCAAATTGGAGATCAAATCATTACAAAACCATTTGTAGAAAAACCCGTGTCTGGCGAGGATCATAACATCCACATATACTACCATTCTTCTACCGGAGGAGGAGCAAGACGACTCTTTCGCAAGGTAACAAGAGTTTTTTTTTTTTTTTTTTTTTTTTAAAAAAAAAAAAAATAAAAATAAAAAAAATGAAGGCAAATGTTTAACATTGTCTCTATTTACTGACTGATTTATGCATGTGCTGTCAATTTCAGGTTGGCAACAAGGCTAGCGAATACGAACCAGATTTAAATATGCCTAGGACGGAGGGGTCGTACATTTACGAAGAATTCATGGATGTTGATAACGCTGAAGATGTCAAAGTATACACCGTTGGTGACCAGTTCGTACACGCAGAAACAAGAAAGTATGCAGCAATAAAAAAGCGTGGAATAACCCCATTTATTCTTGTATTTTTGTGTTCAAGTAGATCCGATCCAAATTAATCTCCTCCTTTTCACCTTTCTAGATCTCCTGTTGTGGACGGACTAGTGCGCAGGAACACGGATGGCAAAGAGATCCGCTATGTTACTCAATTGACTCCAGAGGAGAAAAAGATGGCTGTAAATATTTGCAAGGTCTTCGGTCAACGTGTTTGTGGATTTGACTTGCTTCGTGTTGGCGGGAAGTCATATGTCATCGATGTCAACGGCTGGTCTTTTGTCAAAGGCAACAACTATTACTATAACAACTGTGCAGCCATCTTGCAGGAGACCTTCCTAAGGAATGCTCGACAACGCAAATTGTCCGAAGTGGTCTTGCCAAAGGAGTTGAGTGTAGAGAATGCGTGGCGTTTGAAGGCGTTTGTTTCCGTGTTCAGACACGCGGACAGAACCCCCAAACAGAAGATGAAATTCTCATTTAGTTCTGCACCCTTCCGAGAGCTATTAAATGGAGGAGGCGAGGAAGTGATCATCCGACAGGCTAGAGACCTCAAACTGGTCTCAGCTGCTGCAGAACAAGCGATGAAGGAAGGGTTGGAGGACACTAACAAGTTGATGCTGTTGAAGAACATCTTGGATAAAAAATCTAACCTTCCAGGTACCAAAGTCCAGGTCAAGCCTACTATTACAAAGGATAGTGAAGGCAACTCGAAGTCAGTAAAGTTAAAGATAATTGTCAAGTGGGGTGGAGAGGTAAGAGCCCATCAAAGCTGTTTCAACTGGATTATAAAAAGGTATCTTATCCCCGTACTAATTTTTTTTTTTTTTTTTTTTCCAAAAAAAAAAAAAAAAAAAAAAAACAAACAAACGAACAAACATTTAGTTCACTCATGCTGCCAAATACCAGTCTAGAGACCTTGGTGATAACCTCCGCAAGGACCTTCTCATTATGAATAAGCATGTTCTGGATGATGTCAAGATCTTTACGTCTTCGGAGCGTCGTGTTCGTGCAACTGCCGAACTGTTCACACAACGATTCCTCGACATTCGTGAGGTTCCAAAGGACATGCTTTTGATTCGCAAAGAGATGCTCGATGATAGCAATGCAGCAAAAGAAAAGACTGATCTTGTTAAAAAGCAACTTCATGATCTCCTTCTACCGGAAAATGCGGAAGATATTCAGAAATACTGGCCAAAAGATCAGCAGATCGACCCAGGACGACTTGTTCAGGACATGATTGTTGCGATGCGGAAACTACGCAAGATTATGCGCAAAAATTTTGAAACTATGGATGTGGCCTCTATACAAAAGACTTGGTGTTGTTACGAAAGCCCCTCCCTCTTCTTGGAGCGCTGGGAGAAGATCTTTGAGGAATTTGTAGATGGAGAAAGAGCTGATTTTGATCCGTCCAAGGTCTCGGAGCTGTATGACTCTTTAAAATATGATGCTCTTCATAACAGAGTCTTTTTGGAGAGCATTTTCAAGGATACGGATTCATTTGATGGTGACAATATTGGCGATACTGAGGGTTTAGGTCCTATCAAAGATCTGTATACTAAAGCAAAAATCTTGTTTGATTTTGTATCTCCTTTGGAGTACGGAATCAGTGAGGCTGATCGATTGGAAATCGGGTTATTGACCAGCCTGCCACTGATCAAACAGATTGTTGAAGACTTGGAGGCAGCGAAACGATCAACCACTCCATGCACACGGCTCTACTTTACTAAAGGTAAAGAAAGAAAGAAAGGAAAAGTTAGGAAGCTTTGTAGAAAAGTTGATTGCTAACGCCAATCCCATAGAATCACATGTCCATACACTGCTCAATATCGTATATCTGTCAGGCATCCCCACACGTCTCAGTAAAAATGAACTTCCTGAGCTTGACTGTAAGTTCATAGTCATTAAAAAAAAAAAAAAAAAAGCAAAAGCCCATGTATATATTATCCATCTAATTTTTTTTTTTTTTATTATTACCAAAGACTTGACACAGATCACATTCGAACTATACGAGCGCAGCGGCTCAAACACGCCGTTGGATTCACCGCTCTTAGCTGCAACGTCCCCTCCACTCAACAGTGGAGCTGCTCTACAGTCACCTCAGCCTCGAGAGTATTCACTCAGGATTGGATTTTCGCCGGGTGCTGGAAACTCCAATATCCTAGATTTGCAAATGGATTCAAAGCATTGCCTTTCAGTGATGCCACGCCGCAATCTCACTGACCACCTGCCTCTAGAGGCTGCTCTGCGGTACTATAAGACCCAGGTCGGTAATCCAAAGTACAAGAGTGTCAACCGCAAGATCCGAGAAAGTCGCATGCTGGGACACAAATTAGTAGTAGCTAATGAAGGAGAAGAAGATGCACTCATCCATGACGAAGCGCCATTGATGGTCTTTGGATCGCCTGTAGGCTTCAATGGCGTGGAAACGCATTTCCCAAATGGGGCTCACAATAGCAGCAGCAATGGTATCACTGGTAGCAGCGGCGATGGGGGTACTGGCGCTAGCGCTATTGCAGCACAGGAAGAGAATGATGACAATACCATATCTACGTCTAAATGAATGATTTTACATCATTTGACTCAAGCCTATGCTTAATCAATTCTGATCAACGTTTTCTCCACTCTTAACACGATGTATAAATACATTCCGGGTTTTGTTAATAAAATCATTTAATGGAGGAAATAAATAATAGATATATATATATGAGGTGTATGAATGTACTTGCTATTTTGGCTACAATCCTTGGCACAGCTCCCACGCCTTCTCAGCATCAGTCTTCTTTGTGAAAAGACCTGCTTTTTGCTTGAAGGATGAAGTCGTTGGAGACATCATATCCTCGCGATACTTCTCTTCCTCTTCGCCACCACTGCCACATCCGGAATCTGAGCCATCAGACCCATCCTCCCAAGCACCATAGGCTACACATCCAATATCGATCAGGAACCGCAGTGCGGGATCGAAATCAATTGTTGGACGACGGACAACCTTATTTCGTGTTGAGCTCGAAGCAAACTGCATCATGGACAACATAGTCGTCGATTCATCATCTAGTTGACGACGCAGATGGACCGTCAGCGGCAGAAGTGTAGTGCGGATGTGATCGAGAATTTCAGTCTGCGACATGTCATCCTCCTCTCCATTTCGTGGTACACTCTGGCGTGACCTCTTGATCAATGTGCTCAAAGCTTCCACACCGCGCCACAGACCAATACGAGCCTTGATCTGCACAAATCCAGTGAGATTCATTGCAAAGCAAGCAACACCCAACAGTGCTTTATCGTCGCCATACCCATCTGTCCCAGAAGGGAAGACTATTGGATGATGAGCAGTTGCAAGAGAGGCTTTGGATCCCGTAGCACGGCGGCGCTCATTCATAAGCGCCAAAGCTTTCTCTCCACAGCGAACACTAGGACCCGCCATTCCACGCCTCAAGTAAGCATACTCTAGTAACGAATACACGATCATTTGATCGTAATACTGGAAACTCGATTCGACAAGCTCTGATTCCAATGCTAATTCTGATTCATGATGGTGGTGATGGTGCTTACTGTTGGTTTGTGTAAACGAGTGATGACGAGGATGCATTGCCATAACCTGACTCAGCAATCGATCGCCTAGCTGAGCCGACTGCTCATCTTTTGCAAGCCAGAGCTCAGAAATCTTACCAACAAGTGCATACCAATGGTGATGCGTGCCTGGCAAGGTTGCACGGACAGCATCTTCAAATTTGGCAACGCGCCTTCCTAAACTTATCTCTTGATGTTGCTGCATAGCACCATCTGCTTGACCATCAATCGAAGCGTTAAGTCGAGACATACATGCGACATACGCATCCTGAAGAATATTAACACTTTGTGTCTGAGCTACAACCAGAGTGGGTGCCATGGTCTGAAATAAAATAGCCTCAGTCTGTGGATACTCTCCGTGTCCATACATGGTGCTTTCGATCTCAATGATGCTCCTATTCCATGCTGTGCTTCCGACCTCAACCTGCAACATGCTCTCGAGCCACCGATCCTGGCCAATACCTGATATCTTGGCTGTCCACCGTGCAGATTCCATGAACTGTTGAGCGACCAAAGTTGCAAGCGGTTTGGCAGCCTTGTGTAATGAAATGTAGAATGCTAATGCAGCTGTAGCAGAGACACGAGCTGGTGGCTGTCGGCGAGCATTTGTGTACTCGTCCAATGTCCTGACAATCGTGTATAATAGCATGAATCGGCTTACAGACACCCCAGCGCCTCCAGACATTTGAACCTCTACCACACGAGCCCAAATATCAGGTCGAACCATATCCGTGAGATCAGGGTAAAAACCAAGACGGATCCAGAGACAGCGCCATAACTCCTGAGACAAGGCAAAGAAGAGTCGAACATACGATGAATGAATCGTCTTGGGAACAAGTCCCGATAGTGTTGTGTATACATGTGCAGGGGAAGATGATTTTGGCATCACTGGGAATTTGGACTGAGCGAATGGCCCACGGCGAGAATATGATGGCCAAACCAAGGCCAAGAGACACCCCATAAAGACAAATGTACGAAGAAATGCCCACGCATCCCATGTAACGACATTGAAGGGACTCCAGATATTGCTGCTAACTGAGGTTTGTGCCGATGTCGATTGTCCAAAAACTTGAGATGACGAGCTCATTACACGGCCTGCACCTTGTCCATCATCCATCATGACTCTGTTAACTCCTGCGTTACCTTCTGGAGAAGTGAAGAGAGTTGCACACATAAAGAAGGCCATCAACACACGAGTTGCTCCTGGGGATGTGGTCGAGGTTGGTGGCGGTGTGGTTGGTTCAGAGATTGATTCTTCAGACGAGAATTCAGTTGCTATCGGATTTTCGTCTTTTGCACTGGCTTCGTTTGCTTGATGTTGCTCCAAAAGATCCATACCGCCTGGAAGAGACGTCAACAATTTTCGCAAGACTGCATTCTCTGCTTTGGTTGCAGCTTCTCGCTTTTGCAGAACAACGATGTACTCTGTCGCCTTTCTCAAGATGGTGGCCTTGTTGAGTTTGGTTGCCCTTGTTACTCCGTCTGCATCCTCCGGCTCCTCATCGTCATCATCATCCTTCTCGTCCTTGGTTTTGACATTGCAAAGGGCTGGCACGACATTCTTAAGGTCATTGATACGATCATTAATGTTGTTGCGGTATCGACGCTCGATAGCGTTATGGGCGACCTTCTTTTGCTGTTTGGTTGGCTGATTTCCTTGTGCTGTAGTAGGTGTTGGAACTGGAGTAACGAGCGCTTGTGGAGGCTTGAGGCGCGTAATTGGTACTTTTTGCTGCACCGGCTGTGGTTGCCCCGGCTGTGAAGTTGCTGAAATCTGTTGCGTTGTGGTCGTCGATGTCACTGGTGCTGTAGAGGCATCAATCCCAGGCATTATTGCGCCTGCAAAGGAATTAGGGTCAAATCCGGTCGCAGATAAGGGCATGGTGGGCGGCAAGACCATACCAGGTGCCATTTTCCAGAAGGGAATGACGCCTGGTGATGAAGTCGTAGCGATCGAAGTTGGTGTAATGGGCATTAGTGGTAAAGCCTGGAAGAGACCTCCAGTGGATGTTGATAAACTTGTTGCGCCAGACGCTCCTGCTGTCGCTGAAGTTGGGAGCTGCAGGGCTAATGTCTGTGGTGAAGGCGTTGTAGAGGCCACTGAAGCCGAGGAACTGACCGACATTTCCATATCACTCTGATCTGATCCAACTTTTGATGTCTTTTTGGTCCTAGGTTTCTTGGGTACTGAGGGCGCTGTTCCTTTGGTAGTGGAAGATGTCTTTTTTGATCGTTTCGCGTTTCCTGATGCTGTGGTCTTGGCATCAGCATCTACACCATCATCCATGGACTGACGCTTGGCTGTCTTTGTCTTTTCAGTCTTGGTAGTGGAATTTTGCATGGGGGTAGTTGTAGTAGTAGTCGCTGCTGTTGCTACTGCCGTAGTTTGAGAGGACAAGAGGGTAGGAGACAACATGGGATCATTCTCACTAGAGAAGGCACTTGGCGAGGTAGGAAGCATCAATGTGTCTGATTGGGGAGAGAGTGAAGAGGATATCATGTTCGGTGAACCAAAGAAGGCTATAGAATCCGGTGGTGATGTGACCGTTGTAGCCGCTGTTGCTGCTGCTGTAACAAGGTTGGAAGGGGTAGGATTGAGGTTGTTGCTATTGTTATTAAAAGCTGTTTGAGCAAGTGCCCAGCGGAAGGCAGCAAGTTGTGCTTGTGTGTTGAGCAACAGCTGCTGCTGTTCATGTTGGGCCTGCAGTTGTTGTTGTTGTTGCTGTTGTTGATGCTGCTGAACTGCGGTGGAAGTAAGGAATGATTGAAGCTGTAGCTCCAGGGGAAATGGCTGCGGGGGCTGCTGTTGCTGCTGTTGCTGTTGCTGTTGCTGTTGTTGCTGCTGGAGATTTAGCTGGTGTAGGAGCTGTTGCTGCTGTTGTTGCAGCTGTTGCTGCAGTGTTGAAGGGTTATTGTTGAGCGACGATCCCGTGGTTGTGTACTCGTCAAAATACGACTCGTACATAAATAGGTCCTGGATGTCACCCGCGGGCTGCGACGGTGCAGAGCCGAAAAGCGGATTTCCCGCCTGAAGAAACATGGTGTGAATGAAGATATCCCAGGGCTAATCCTGGAGCAGGATAGGGAGAATATCCAGTGATACAACGGTCAGTAATGGAAGGAAGGGGGTGGTGGACAACAGGAACGAGACAGGAAAAAAAAAAAAAAAAAAAAAAAAAAACACTTACAGAACTGAAGAACAAGGGGAATGCGTATGTATGTGTGTGTATGTCTATAGATGAGAATGAGTGATGAAAAATGATTAATGAATGTTGAATTAGTAGAAAAGAGAAGGATTGTTGACCCTTCTATACAACACAGACAAAAGAGTTTAAAAAAAAAGGTGATGTCCATACCAGCCAATCAAAGGCAAAAGAAAAAGACCATCTTGTCATTTCAGCCATGCACTGGCGTTAATTTTCATTTTGATCCGGTGTGCCCAAAAACATGCATTAAGTACGCACATTGCTGTCGTTGATATGCCATCCTTTGACTTTAACTTGAACGCGTAAAAAAGTAAAAAAGCTAAGCAAGCATTGACAGCGATCCTCACTGCTTACTAGCACTCAATATATGGAAACAGGTTTTATTCATCATGCGCTCTACACAAATAGTTTGTTCCAACAACATGCCATCCAGATCCAGCAAATCAAAAATAGAAGCCCAATACATCATCCGAATTTTTATGGATGGTCTGATTCATTTGGTCACGGCCCAATGTATACTTTTTAAACTAAAACGATGACTGAATTGATTTGGTGGCTGATTTTTACATTCCATCATTTGGACTCCATTTTTCTTTTCACTGCGGTCAGTGCAGAAGAAGGGAAAAAATACCAACTAGGAGTAGCACTAGTGTCTCAGCTCAAAGCTAGATGTCTTCAACAGCAAATGACAGCGAAGACTAGTGCAAGCGCAATATCCGGGTTTGTTATCTCAGTGCAATCCTTAAATGCGACCAAGGACATGCTTGATGATCTTAATATCTGTCCAACATTTTTTCCTCAATATTACTCTTCAGACCTCTGAAAATCTCTCCAAAGATTCTCTAAACCAGTCTGGGCAATTCTAGTATAATGATCTACAGAAGCCTCTGCAGCTGCATCCTATGTAGCTTTTTCATAATTAGGATAAGAACGCGCCATTAAATGCACCCGCTGATACTCTTCGTAAATAACTATAACATCCTGAGGGGATTTTTCAAAAGGCAATATTATTCCGAGCACATCCATCGGGTGAAGTTCTTTGAAGCATAGGAATAGCTGCCATCATTTTCTTTCCTTGAGTATAACATGAATCGTAGATTCCCCCTATGTAGTCCGACCTATCCCAATTGATTGGAGTGAGGGTTGTCTAGAAGGTTCGTGGAACCTTGGATTGTATCCTCTGTGGAGGCCATTGCTCGAAACGGCTGGCATCCGATGCCGTACCGAACCATGATACAAGAAATACTAATTTCGTAAATCATACCATGATGCATATCCTTATCGATCTGATTTTTTAACTTGAAAAGGCCTATATAATATGTACGCACAATACTCAGTTGTCGAAGGAACATTTATGTAATGGATGATAGGATCAGATTTGGTTGTACTGATTGGAACAAGATAGCTGCCATATTATGATGTGGTTCTGTGATAGAGTCAGCTTCTGGGCGCAGCATGGATCTATTAGTCGCCTTCATTAATTACCAAAAGCATAGCATTGGGTACTCGTATAGTGCAGGTGGAGATTATATTGTATTTGCAAGGGTATTATGGTTAATAATGTTCATTCATGTTAAAGGATAAAAGAGACCAATGGGTTTTTTTAAATATTATACTGGCCTCTATTCTGCTCAATTCTTTGATTATGAAGCTTAGCAGTAGTTCAGTTCCTCGTGGCTTGCATAAAGTCGCGTAAAAACTGGAAACTTTGTCCGAAAGCTTGTCTGTTGTGTCCTACATTCTGTTAATTCCCTAAGAGTACATTAGACCATGACATCCACAATGAGATTCATGCAGACACTGCTTCACGTCAAGGCAGTAAACACCAGATTACAAGGCATGGTTGTGCGTTCAAGCAGCTGTATTTGGCAACAACACTGGCAGCAACAGCAGATTAAGTGTTTGTCCACGTGGCGAGTCAAACAATATCATACGGGATTACATGTACAAGCACAGCAACGACCTATGGAGTTGCGATATTCAAATACACACCTTGATACTATCTTTGCGCTCTCAACTCATCCTGGGAAGGCTGGTATTGCTGTCATTCGTATTTCAGGATCACAAGCAATATCAGTATGTAAAAGACGGCGATAAGAATACATGATAAGAGTATGGATGGGACATAGGGATGACAATAATAAAAAAAATAAAAAAAAAACAGGACCTAACCTTTGGAGGTAAAATTAGGTACTCAGAAGCATGACACCGGCCAAATCATCTCTTCCTAAACCGAGACATGCAGTGACAAGGCGTTTGATCTGCCCCCAAACAACTGAGATTTTGGATAAAGGAATGGTTATTTGGTTCCCTGGCCCCAATAGTTTCACAGGGGAAGATAGTGTCGAGTTTCATTGCCATGGTGGCAGGGCAGTTGTAGATGGCATTTTAAAGGGTATTGGCAATGTTGGATCCCAAATTCGGCTGGCAGAACCAGGGGAATTTGCTAGAAGGTGCATTAACATGACGCTCATGTAAAATCAATGTGAATTAGGGTCACTCACTGTTCCTTATATTGACCATTCATTCATTCAATGGTGTACACATATAGGGCTTTTGAAAATGACAAGCTGGATCTGACAGAGGTTGAAGGCTTAGCCGATCTGCTTAATGCTGAAACAGAAGCACAACGGCGACTGGCGCTTCGGCAAGCAGATGTATGTTAAACTTTGTCGCTTTTGGATGGTATTTCGTTTAATATCCTTATTTATGATTTTTTTTTTATGTCTCGAATGAGAAGTTGAATACCAAACTTGAGCCGTTGTAATTAATGTGCTTATATCACTCATTCATAGGGAGGACTAAAAAAGCTGTATGATTCATGGCGGACGGAATTAATCAAATCTATGGGCCTGATCGAGGCCCTAATTGATTTTGGAGAAGACGAAAATATTGAGGACGATGTGTATGATAACGGTAAAAAGAAACACAGCATCTTTATATATGCTCGGTCATAGAGAAAGCATATATGTTATTTGACCATTTTGACATTTGGCACACTAGTGGTCGATAAGGTCAAATCACTATTCAAAGTGATCAAAGAGCACATGGATGATGATCGGCGTGGAGAAATCTTGCGCGATGGGATTCATGTCACTATTATGGGCCCTCCAAATGCAGGGAAGAGCAGTTTCCTTAACTTCATCAGTAAGTTCACGACGTGGCCTTTCTTTTTCTGCTTCTCTTACGAAGGTGACCGATTGCTTAATTATGAAACTCCCTGTGTTTGTTTTAAACGCGGTTGGATAGCAAAGCGTCAAGCAGCTATTGTATCATCCATACCAGGGACAACTAGAGATGTAGTCGAGGTTTCTCTCGACATTGGAGGCTATCCAATCTTGATCGGGGATACTGCAGGGCTTAGATTATCGCAGGATGAGATCGAAATGGAGGGCGTTCGAAGGGCTCAAGATCGGATCAAATCTGCCGACATCAATATTGCTATTTTACCTGTTACAGGGTTTTTAAATGTCAACAGCGCCGTAGAAAAGACGGTAACAATGAGTTGCAATGATACCAACAGCATAGATCCAATCGTGGTGGATGCCATTCGGAAGAATCCGAAGACAATGGTGCTGATTAATAAAATAGACCTGTCAGGGGCCGATACGGCGGAGATCATGGGCCAGATCCAATCACAGCTGTGGCCAGAAGCGGATCATGTCAACAGGGAAAGGGATAAGTATTATAATCAGGAGGATCGAGGCAAAGGCATAGAAGAGGCTTTAAGCAGCAAAGGCAGCGATGACGACAGTAAAAACAGCAGTGCTAAAAGCAGTGGTGAACATAGACTTTGGGCCATCTCTTGTCAGACGGGAGACGGCATTGCTGCGTTTCTACAAGATTTTATAAAGATTCTCAAGAATAGGTACACAAAAGGGAAAGAAAAAAGAAAAGAAAAAAAAAAAAGCAAAATCCAGGATATTACCGCACGTTGTCTCCCTAGAGCTAATGCCTCCCTCACGGTTTATAGATTCGAAACGAGCTTGTCGAGCAGCACATCGATCACACAATATCGGCATAGAAAACACCTTGAAAACTGCTTGCAATCCCTAGAGGCATTTTTGAGTACGAGGGCATATCTCATATAGTTATTTGCGACCCAATTGGAAATGTAAATGCTATAGTGAGGCATTAAACTTATTACTCTTATTATTTCACGTCCAAAAATAAATTAGACTTAGGAGTGGACGATGTTGTTCTTGGAGCAGAAGAGCTCCGCCACGCAGCTTCGGATTTGGGTAAGATTACAGGCCGTGTCGACGTCGAAGAAGTACTTGATGTTGTCTTCCGAGAGTTCTGTATTGGAAAATAGAAACTTAGGGAGCAATGATGAAAGGCAAGCAAAGCGAACAATAAGGACAGTAGAGACAGTAGAGACATATTGCAGTAAATGTATTAAAGTTCAGCTTGTTTTAGTCCGTGTGTCACCTCGTGTTACTCTTAATACAATGATCCGACATATGAAAAATATGTCAAACTGATGGCTGTATTTGGCCAATGATTGTGTGCAGTTGTTCCATTCAGTATCAAACATGAATGTTCACCTGGCATGCTCAATCAGGTGGAGTGTCTTCTCCATGATTAGCAGAAGGCACAGGCATCAGCTCATTGAGGACTGTAGGTGAGAATTGGAGATCAGGGAGTATGAGGAAGGGGGAGGCACGGCAATGAGCACTTGATGAGGGAGAATGAGTCGAATTGTGAGTAGTAACACGGAAACTGCTCGAACAAACTAGCTAATAGAATAAGCTATTAAGCCAAACTCGACTTATTGCCTCGAATGATTTATACGATAAAAATATTTTATTATTTTTTGTTCCAATTTTCAATTGAAGGGCGCAATAAATTAAGATGTAGATGGAGTATACAGGGCTGTCCCAAGGCTTCAACAATCTAAGGTTCCTTTGAAGTCGGTTGTTGGGGAGAGCTGAAGCCTGACCCAGGCTCCTGCGCCGCTGGGATATTAAGGACAACCGACGAAATTGCTTGTTGCTCTACACTTTCCTGTGTTCTTACCGGTGCTGTAGGTTCTGGGGCTGGGACAGGAGTGGTCGAGGACTCTGATACAGGCATTGGTGATGATGGCTGTGATGGTGACGGCGGTACTAAGGTTGGTATAGCAGAAATGCCCCTTGGGGTGATCAACTGCAAAGGCACTTGGCCATTTTCATCCAATTGCACCATCCGATTCGGCGCAGTTGAGTAGAGTGCCTGCTGTTGCCTTGGCGAGGCCAAAGCAGAAGCTGGTGAAGGAATTGTTGCCCTTGGTGGAGGGCGCGGAGGCCGCCCACGTAGCCGATCCCATATTACCCCAAAGAAATGCCCTATTCGATCCACTCTGCTACTTCCATTATGACCCCGTAATGTCTGGGCAGCCACCCAGTCAGGCCCCATGATAAACTCCATGAGTCGGTCGTTTGGAATGACAATGTTGGCGTCTTCGCCCCTACCTTCGATCTCCTCCTCTGTCCGAGGTAAACAATCATATTTACAGAGTGGACAGGTGGAGCTCTTACGAATAAGCCATGGATCTGAAAAAAATAAAAAAAAAATTAGTGATGAATGTCGAATTCTGGATACATTGTTTTTTTGTAGTCGTTGTTGTCTAGAACATACCAATGCACTCGCAGTGGAATTCATGATGGCAAGGCAGCATTCTAATCTCCTCCCCCTCCACGAACTCATCTATACACACGGCGCAAGTATCATCACTGATACCTTCTACTCCATTGACTGGAGTCGGAGTAGAAGCAGGATTTGATAGAGAGTGGGTGCTCGCATTTAAAGCAGTTGCAGCAGCCACGGCCCTCTGGGATCGGACAGATTGACCAGAAATGGATCCTCCATTTGAAATCGACCGTGATAAAGTCGCAGCGGTAAGTGTCTTGGACTGTCCCTCCTGTGTTGCTGCCGCTCCCGTTGGCGATGATACAGCTGCTATAGAGCTAGATCGAGGCTGTCTGTAGATCCTGACAGGAAGCCCATCCAATGTAGCTTTATCCAATGTCACCTTTCGCATGCGGATAGTGCCGTTAGGGAGTACATCTGCTCCTCTCGCTAACGCATCCATACGAATACGTTGACGCAATGCATACAAGCGACAATGCAGCACCGCTACAAAGGATGAGAAAAAAAAAAAAAAAAAAAAAAAAAAAAAAGACAATTAGAAGTTTGGTCAGATATGGATGTAGCTACCATTGTTCTTTTTAAGCTTGCGTGTAAAAAAATGTAGGTTGATATATCGACCGCACCCTTGTCTGCAGGCCGCCTCCTCCCTTTACATACACAAACACAATAACACTGATTTGAATTGTGGCCATTTGTGTACATGCAAATCTCATGAAACCATTTATCCGCCCATTAATGACTAGCCGAAATCTTAAAAAGCAGCGCACACAAAGCCTGCCTGATAAAAAAAGCGGGCAGTTTAAATGTTGCAAACAGCACATGATCCTACACCACTGTCCAAGCAAGAGGAGGAAAAGGAAACAAATCAACAAATAAAAAAAAGATGTAAACATACCAGAGACAGTCAAAGAGATAGCAAGCATGACAACGACAACGATCAGCACAAATTCCCAGATGACAGGTATCTTGTCTTCCAGTTTCATGGAGATTCGAACACGGTTGAAAAAATCAACCGTGCCACTGTTCTGGGTCTGTTGCAGTAAGTTCTTGAGCATCAAGCCGTCCTCGTGTGAGATCAGCACGCCGGGGATCTCTAGTGGTGACTCGCCATTTTCAAGTGCCGCTGTGGCGCTGTTGATAGCAGTTGTACTAGGGCCATTATAGATGATTGCAGCGATTGAGTTGTTGGCTTGAGCATGAAGGATTTTGGTTCGGAAAGTGCAAGCGTCATTTGTGTTTGGACCACCACGTTGGATTAGAGCAATGCGGGGTAGACCGTAAAAATCTGAGGAGGGCAGGGTGTTGGAAGGATCAAAGTCTGGTGTACAAGCAAACCCCATGTCAAATAAAACGCCCTATCAGGAAATTTTGGGGGAGTAATAGCAATGTATGATACAGTGATGTCAATGGTTATGTGTATTTGCGTACTTGCCTGTGTGCTTGTGAAAATATTTCTATCGATGATTAATAAGATAAAGGCCGTTGTTATTTGTCACTGTACCGAAAGTCCATCCTCGGGGATGTCGCCCGTTTTGAGGATGATGCCTGCAGCCAGATGTCCGCCACCGGCAATGCTATCTGCCTGGCCAATGCTGCTAGGCTGATTTCTAACTGTGATACGGTCATAGTTGAGGCGTGCGACCGAGGCACCAAAGATGCCAGCTTGGGTTGAAGGAAGGATTGTGAGGAAGAGTGAGAGAAGAGGCAGTAAGAGTAGTCTACGGCACAGCCGCGTCTGAGACGAGGCCATGGGAAAGGGTTATACAGGAAAAAGATACGAATGTGAAACGGATAGAAATGAACTGCAATGGAATATCTCTTTATAAATGTATCAGCTTGATAGGCAAGGTTGAGGACAGGGGTTAGGGGGAAAGACAGGGATGAGGGGAAGAAAGTAAAGAGAAAGGAGAATGGGATGGAGGTAAATGAACATGGAGAATGGAAAAAAACAAACCCCACTTGTGTGTATGCGCACTATCAAAGATGGTACAGATATTACATGTCTAATTAAATTCACACATGGGAGATGTCATGTACATGTACACAATTCACCCACTTACACCCACATACACCAAACAACATCCACATTCACAGACAGACGCTGCCAATGTTTTTGTAATACGTGTGCGGATTGTAATTTCAATTTTCAACCGACAATGACCAACGCTGTTACTTTTCTACTACTTCTGCTACTTCTACTTACTTCTGGGTTATTTACGCCACCATCTCTCCTTTCATCATTCCATCTCGTTTCAACATTCCTCCTCTCCTCTGCCCCTCACCTCTCTTCTTCCTCCTCTTCTTCTTCTATCCTTCTTCCTCTCACATTATTGAATTCAAAAGGAACAGAAGATACAGAGAGACTGTGAGAGGCAAGCACCAGCAAAACGTAACATTTCTTCCATCCTTTCATGTCCAGCCTAGAACTCTCACTACAGAGACTCTTGGCCGAGGCACATCCTCGCAAGGAGCGCGACCTCGTCGACGCTGCCCAAGGCGCTATTGAACGGTTGCAAGCCTATAAACTTGCTACTGCTTCATCTGTTCCCAAGCAAAGCACCCAAAGCCAGAATGAGAACTATTCATCAACAGCATTAACAACAGAACAAAACGAGGATCATCCCATCAAAGCATCTTCCTCTGTCGAACTTGATGCTCTGGACGCTGATGAATACTGGGCTGTCTTCAAACTTGCTTGCGCGCCTTCTGTCTCCAATAAAGTCAAAGTTTTGGCCCTCGATGCCCTCCACAAGCTCATTGCTCACGGCAAGCTCACCGGAAACGCGCCTTTAATCCTTCCATCAGCAACACGTTCTGCACCCGTTCCACCAGCTGCCATCGGACGTCCAAAATTTGCAACATTCAGCGAAATCAACGACCTCAGCCATATTGATTGTTCCGACCCTACTGACCATCTCGTCCCCAACTTGCCTGGTGCTAATACTGTTGGTCCCGATCATTACCCAGATCCACCTCGACTGATCGATGAGATTGTCCATACAGTTTGCATGACTTATCGTGGTCCAGGATCAGTCGATGACAATGTGCAACTTCAAATCATCAAGGTACTCTAATGTTTTATTCGTTTCTCGCGCTTAATATTTCAGCCCGGCTGATCTTTTAATTCTGGTGGCCTCTTACTTGATGATATGCATTGCCCTCTAGATCCTACTCACAGTAGTCACCTCCACAACATGTCAAGTCCATCACGTCTCGCTTTTAAAAATTATTCAGACGGGTTGCAACATCTTCTGTTGGGCAAAATCGCCTATTTTACAGGCCACTGCAAAAGCAGGGCTCACTCAAATGGTCAATCTCGTCATCTCTGCCATGGAGACCGACGCACATGCCCTCAGGAATTTAGAAAAGACTATGCAAAAACATTCGGTTGTGGTCCAGCACCAGGCAACATCAGACGAAGGAACCGAAGTCTCTATATCTGTTGCAGATACTGTGGATAATGACTCTATTGAATTGCAGGTCGAGGAAGTACATATAGAATTTGATTCACCAGTGACCACCATGGTTGAGGACAAAGAGGCCAAGACAGAGAACCAGGATCAATTCAGCACCGTTAATTCTCCCCATCCTGAGACACCAGACGAGTCATCGAGTCAGAATGATCAAAATGGTAGGCAGGATACCCAAGAGATCAATAACTCTACAACTCCAAGCGACATTCCCCTACCTTCTTCTCCCGACTTCAAACGGCCGTCATCTGCAGCGTCAACGGCAACAGCAGCGACCCCAACCCTAACGGAAAATACTGTTGCCTCTGCACCCGTTGACCAAAAGTCTAAAGAGCTTACTCCTCACGAAGCTGCCATTGCTGCGTGCCGCACTTCCAGACAGGACGCTTACCTTACTTTCCGTCTCCTCTGCAAGCTCTCGCTACGAGCTGACATTACCCCCAACAATGCGCAACAGGAGGAACTTTCCATCCGTGGTCGTGCACTTGTGCTGGAGCTCATTCTTTCCATGATGAATAACTCAGGACCAGTTTTCCAATCGGACAATCTGTTTGTCAGCGCTGTACGACAGTACCTCTGTGTTTCGCTTTCTCAGAACGGAGTTTCAGCAAATGAGACCCTTTTCGAGTTTTCACTCTCACTCTTTTTGACAGTACTCCGCTACTATCGTGCTCAGCTCAAAGCAGAAGTTGAAGTCTTGTTTAACGAATTTTATTTAAAGTTTCTCGACATGTCCAATGCTACTATGAGGCAAAAGGAAATGGTCCTACAGGGATTGCACAAGATTTGCTCTAGTCCTCAATCGCTTGTTGACATCTATCTCAACTTTGACTGTGATTTCTCGATGGCCTCTATATTTGAACATATTGTCAACTCATTGTCACGCATTGCTCAAGGTCGTGGAAAAGTCAACGCTTCAGCTACAGTTGGAAACATGATGGGCAAGCAGCTGCTGTTGAACGAAAAAGACGCTTGGGCTTTGATTCAGGATCGTCGGCTGGCTGTTCAGGGTTTGCGGTGTATGGTTTCCGTGTTGGACTCGCTTGTGGACTGGTCAAAGGACGTTAGTGTAGTCAATTCATTACCCGAGGCAATCGCAACTGAAGTCAATACTGCTGTCGCCTCCGCTACTAATGGACACATTCGTGATGCATCATCTTCAGAACTTGGGACCATATCTACCACGACTACTGCTGTAGCACCTTCTTCGCCCCAACAGGAGAATATTGGCGTCAATTCTGACAGCGTTAATGGATCTCCTCTCTCACCAAAATCAGAGCAGTCCTCATCAACTCTGTACAACAAAATGTCACATCCTGTGATTATCTCCAAGAATCCTTTGCTTGCTATGTCAATGCGCTCACAGCAAAGCAGCAACACAAATATGTCTTCCATTTCTGTAAATACGATCGGGTCTGCAGATCCCTTGGGCGATGACCATCCTGCTGAATTTGAAGAGATCATGACAAGGAAACAGCTCTTCCTCAAGGGCGTTCGGCTCTTCAATACCAAACCATTGAAAGGAATTGACTTCTTGCTAAAGCAAGGATTTGTCCAAGATGATCATCAGTCGATTGTTAATTACCTCATGAACACACCTAGTTTGGATAAGGCGGCCATTGGAGAGTACATTGGCGATGGGGACGAAAAAGCCATCAAAGTCATGCGTGCATTCGTCGACCGATTAGATTTCACTGGCGTAGGATTTGTAGATGCTCTACGCATATTCCTTCAATCCTTCCGCCTTCCTGGAGAAGCTCAGAAAATTGATCGAATAATGGAGAAGTTTGCGAACCGTTACTGTGACACAAATCCTAAGGTATTTGCTCACGCTGACACCGCTTATACCCTTGCATTCTCGGTCATCATGCTCAACACAGATCAGCACTCTGATAGTGTCAAACGGAGAATGGACGTGAATGACTTTATCAAGAATAATCGTGGCATTGATGATAACAGCAACCTGCCGGATGAGTATCTGGCCGAGATCTTCTACAACATTTCCACGAACGAAATTGTGCTTGAGGAGGAGCAGGCTAGAGAAGCATCAAAGGCAAATGCTGTCACCCCTGGAAATAACAAGCAGCGCCAGGAACTCTATGACATGGCTATTTCACAAATGCAAAAGAATGCGCGTGCCCTTTTGGCCAGCAACGATGGCCGTGTTAAGAATACAGCTGCTTGGAGGAATGCGACCCATGCTGAGCATGTGAAGCCCATGTTTGCCGTGGCCTGCTGGCCAGCCATGGCTACTCTCAGTTTGGCGTTTGAGGAAGCGATCGATCCCAGTGCTTTTGCTGCTAAAGCCGAACCAAAGACACGTGAGTTTGCAGCCATCAATGCTGAGGCTATCGACCTTTGCTTGCGTGGTATGACCAACGCTATCCGTATCGCGAGCATATTCCATATGGAGGTTGAACGCGATGCGTTTATCTCGTCGCTGGCAAAACTAACTGGCATGAACCATGTGAGTGAAATGCAACCTAAGAATGTGCTGGCTATCCGTACTCTTCTCAAGGTTGCTAATACTATGGGAGAGTATCTTGAGAGTAACTGGAACTTGGTCCTCAAGACTATCAGTGCAATGGAGCAGCTGCAATTGATTCCACGAGGCGGGAGAGTTTCAACTGAGGGCTTTAATGGAGTCGACTATCAGCATACACCATCCAGCAACTCTCCTAACAATTCAAATACACCACAGAATCCTCAGGCTTCATCTAAACGCAAAGTCTCGCTGTCAGCTATGATGAATGAGTTCCAATCGCAAGATACCATCATTGCTATTGACAAGATTTTCGCAAATAGTATCACGTTGAGTGGAGAGGCCATTGTTCATCTCTTCAAGTCGATCTGTGCTGTTTCTCTGGAAGAAGTGGAAAGCTCGCGCAACGCACCTAGGATGTACATGTTGCAGCGAATCGTTGAGATTGGTGAGCCAGCGTGCCTCTTTATACACCATAATCGGTTCAATGAGACTGTTTTTCATGATCATCCTTAACGATGTAATGTCTTTATTTTATTTTTATTTTTAGCTGACTACAATATGGTGCGTATCCGTTTTGAGTGGACCCAGATTTGGCGCATTCTTCAATCTTACTTCAACGCTGTCGGCTGCAGTGCCAATTCGACGGTGTCAACCTTTGCCATCGATTCACTTCGCCAACTTGCCATGAAATTTTTAGCTCGTGACGAGTTAGCTCACTTCAATACTCAAAACGAACTGCTGAGACCATTCGAGCATATCTACAAGAATAACCCCTCGACTGCAATCCATGACTTGATCATCCAAAGCCTCCGCCAGATGATCACAGCTCGTGCGAGTAATATCCGCTCAGGATGGAAGCCGATGTTTGGAGTCTTTGGTAGGACTGCTACGCATGGCAATGGTGCACTAGTCGAAAATGCTTTCAGCATCGTACAAATGATTTATGATAATAGCTTTGAGGTTATCGAAACAAGTTTTGTGGACTATGTCAACTGTTTGGTCGAATTTTGTTTCAACTATGATGAAGAGGTTGTCAACAGTGCCATGATCTTGCTCAAAAAGTGTGCACGTGGGCTCTGGCTGGAGGCTAGGGCTGCTTCGGTTGCCAAGGAGGATCAACCAGCACAGGAGAGGCACTTGGTTCTCAGTGAAGGTCAGTCCAAAGAGACTGTAGTCGAAGAAGAAGATGAGGATACGTTCTTCCTCAAGTGGTTCCCCATTGTCTATGGTCTGTCTCGAGTTGTGATTGACTCTGAACTGCCAAATGTTCGTTCAAGAGCTTTGGTGACTCTCTTTGAGATTTTGAACGGATCCGGCGAGATTTTTGAATCGCAGTATTGGTCCAAGATCTATCGTGTTGTCTTGATGCCCATCTTTGAGGATCTCAAAGATCCCGATTACAAGCGTCGAGACTTGACAACCACCATTTGGATCCAGGCTCTCCGACTGATGATCAACCTCTATTCTCGCCAGTATCACCAAGTATTTTACGCTCAGACGGACTTTTTGAAAGGTCTATTAGAACTAATCACTCTGTTGGTCAGTAAGAAGAGCGAGAATCTAGGGCAGATGGGTATCTTTTGTCTGAGCCAGCTAGTTACCAAGAACGGTCCCATGTTTGATGAGGAGCGTTGGGAGCTGGTGACTTCTACACTGGAAACCATTTTTGAAATGACAACTCCACATGAAGTGATGGTCCTTGACACTGGAAGCATCACCACCCCTCAGGCCACAGAAAATGGTGCCGTTGCTGAGGGCGCATCTACCAATGCAGTGGCACTCCCGAAATTTGATTTCCAGGAGACAGTGACCAAGTGCGCGATCCATCTTGTAGCCATTACATTTGTCAAGGAAATGGCCTTGGTAGATCTTTCTCTGTGGCCCTCATCATCGGCGCCATATGCTTCTCATCATGTTTCTGCCACTGCTGCTAGCCAGGCACAACAACAGCCTCAGTATAACCAATCCGGCCAAGGCGACCGTGAGCCAATTGCTGGCTCCCACCCATCGTCGTCTTCGGGTGCGCCACCAGGTTCAGATCAGCAAACTGGAGCGCAAGCGCCGGCAGTTAAGCCTCGTTTCCTACACAACATGCCCACAGGGCTGCGTCACCGTTGGTTAGAGTGCCTTCGCAAGTCTTATCGATTTGTGAGGGCATTCAATGACAATTATGAGCTTCGTCACTACTTGTACAAGTCGGGTCAGATCCAGCAGATGCCCAACATGTTTAAGCAGGAGAATTTGGCATTAACGACTTATGTCTCGGTCTTGTTTGACTTTTACCGCCAATTCGGAGACGGTGAAGGCTATGATGCTGAAGATGAGGTTCAAGCGGTGCTGGAGCCATTGGTTCAAGAATCTAAGCTGATTGTAGCCAGGTACTTGGGCATGCTCAGTGAACCTACGAAGTATCCCAAGGATGTGATTGTGAACCAATCACAACTCACAATCATGGTGTTGCGAGAGTTACAGAGGACGCCGATCTGGTGGCCCAACGCAGCTGTAATATCTACTTCACAGGTGAATGGGACCCAAACTCAGACGTTGTCAGTTGACTCCGATAGGATAAAGTATCGAGGACTACGGAAGGAGTTACCTGACTACTTTCGACTGGCCATCCGACTAGTAGGAGTAGAGCGAATGGATGTTCGGGTAGCGCTTCAGGAATTTATGGGCTGTGTTGGCGAATTACTTGTCCTAGAATAAAGAAAATAGGTTTACGTGTGCATGCTTATATTTTATGGAAAAAGATCTTGGATATGATAATTGTACATTAGCAACAACCCTCAAAGGAAAACGACGTGATTTTGTGAACATGTATTATACTGGTAAATGACCATTTCTGTCTTTCAGATTGGGTTTTTGATACGGTTTTCACAATATGGACACGGCATCATTTTCGCAAAGTAGTTTTCTATTCGACATTGTATATGCGGAAATGGTTTTTTTTTTTTTTTTTTTTTTTTTTTTACGCCCTTCTATAATCTATGCAATTATTTTAATACTCTATCAAAAACTTCCATAGCTTCTTCTTCTTTCTCTACTCCTCATCAAAGCACCACAACTCCATGCGGTCCAAGCTTCCAGTGGTGTCTAGATGAACCTGCTGAGCCATCAACCAATCTTCATCATCAACCATCGATAACATATGCTGATCTTCATCCCTATACTTGAGCTTCAAGGGCCGATCCAATTGGAACTTTTCTTGGACCCGTTGAATCAATTCTTGGAGAGGTGTGTCTGCTCGGACCAAAATAGCTCTTGTATCAATATAATGGCATTTGACACGAAGCTATGAAGAAAAAAAAAAAAAAAAAAAAAAAAAAAAAAGCAGGTTTTCTTTTTCAATTAAATAGATTCTCTTTTTTTTTAAAATATAAAAATAATAAATAAAAATAAAAAAAAGTTTTTCTCAATCCTCAGCACAATGTTTACCTTGTCACGAAGACTAGCATAGACGGGCTCATCCACATAAGATCCTTCGCCGCCATGCATGTATCCGGAGTGGCTTCCATTAGGCTGCTGATAGAATCCTCCACTACCTCCAGAAGCCGCACTCCGTACACTATCATCACGATGAAGGCCTGCTCCAACTATCTTTGCATTATTTTCACTCCCTATCCGTCTCAACTCTGAAGAAAATACTGGAGGTGTTCCTGTACGGCTTGGAGGACTTGTACCATAACCATTATATCCATTACCAACTTTGTTTATCGGATTTCCTCCAGTCCGTCCATTGTTGTTGTTGTTGTAGTTATTATTGTTGTAGTTATTATTGTTGTAGTTGTTATTGTTGTAGTTGTTATTGTTAGTGTTATTATAATTGTAATTAGAGTTATTAGAATTGGAGCGTGAAGGAACAGGCGAGACTCGAAGATCAGTAGATGATGTGGTCGAGTATTGATCGCCGACAGTATTTTCTTGATATTCTAAAGTGAGAGCATAAACATCTTGATCCAGATTATCTATTTCATCCTGATAAAAGTCAAGATAACTCTGTGATCCAATCTCTCCTCCTTGTGCTGCTGTGGATGAGGCTGTTCCTTCATAGTTTGACTGCCCGGCCAAATTCAAAGGTGCAGGTCTTTGAGCATCTGTGTTTCGACGGGAAAGGAGTGATAACCTTGGCTCAGAACCAGCTGGACCAAGAGAGGAGGGACCAGGTCCTGCTCCTTGGACGCGACGTGAAACAGGTGCATCTTGACTCTTAAAGGATGATGAGTGCTCTAATTGTGGTCTCTCAGGATCAGTGCCTCTCCTTGTACGTCCATTGGCACCTCGGCCAGTGCCTCTTCGTTGGAGCGCTAAAATAAAATAAAGTAAAATAAAATGCATGAGCATTCGCGTTCAGATACCAATCCATGGGAATAAATTGTTATAAAAAATATGCCAGAAATAGATGAAGAGTATTAAAAGAAAGTTTTTAGGTGAAAAGACCATTTTTCTATTCCTTTTCTTTACATCAACCTTCAACTTCTTCTCGTCCTGCTCTCTCTCTCTCTTTCTCTTTTCCTCTTTCTCTTTCCTTGTGGTTGTATTTTTTTTTTTTTTTTTTGGTTCGTTTGGCTGTTTAGCTCGCTTAGTTTGCTTAACATGCTTAGCATGCTTAGTTGAGAGCATAGAGCAAGAGTTAAAAGAAAAGAGTTACAATCACCACAAAAAAAGATGATAGACGTCGCTCATTCTTTAAAATTAAACTGGGTTAAATAAATAATATAAATAATATAAAAGAGAGCTTTTTTTTTTATCGGTGTGATGATGACCAAAGCAGATAAACAGTGACAAGAGTTGGATACAGATGTGAAAAAAACTCCCCGGAGTCTCTGGAAAACTCATGCTGTTATGAGAAAACGAGTGAAAAAAAAAAAAAAAAAAAAAAAAATAGATATATAGAACGTACCACTTGGTGGTGTCATTGCACGCGGCTCGTCGACTGCTGCCACATTGGTGGGGCCACTCATCTGGACCTGCCAGGCAGATTTGCCCTGAAATCCTGAAAAGGAATCGGACGTCTCGATCGCCGCAATCACCTTGGAATTTCCAAGATAATCTTTCTTTTTAGAATTCTTCACCTTTGATTCAGGTGGACGGTAGAGAACCCCCTGAGGCACTGTGAAGATTGTACAGTCCTTACCCTTGTCGCGAAGGGCCTGATCCACAACGTCATGTTCTTTGGTCTGCTTTTCCCTTGATGCCTTCCAAAAATCACTCATGGCTTGATCCATCTCTCCAAGTTCGACATAACAAAGTGCACGATTATAGAGGACCTGGCATGAAAATAACTTGAATTCCAGTCCCAGTTGTGTATAATCGATTACCATGTTTCCTCGGAGATACTAAAAACCATTGAGATTAGAAACCAGAACATGTAAAAAATAAAAAGGATCAAAGTGAGGGTAAACATGCATGCATAGAGAGTAACATTAGAGCCTGATTAGTTTTTCGACTTGTTGTATTGGACACTCACAGAAAGTTATTCATGTAGGAAAGGAATAAAGTAAAAAAAAAATAATAATAATAATAGGCAGTTGCTACTATCTGCAAAGCATGGCTCTCGTTCTAGAGCTCACACACGTTTCTCTCTTTTTGTTGATGTTGTTGATTTTGGTATTGTTGTTATTATTATCATTCTCTCTTTTCTTATCCAATATAGCTGTGTGGTGTATTGTGAATGTATAAAGACCACGCTCATAAAGTCGCTTCTCATCTCATATCAGATATTGAGATTGATGATCAAAAGAATCAAGCAAAGAAAGTAAAGATAAAAATAAAAATAACAAAAAGACAAAAAGACAAAAAAAAAAAATAGAGGAAACGCTACCTGATATGCATCGTGGAAACAACTCAAGGCTTTGGAATAGTTCTCAAGAGCAACATTGGCGACGCCGTTCTGAAAGTAGGCGATGGCAAGGTACTGATCCAACTTGGTAGCCTGAGCGTATGCCTCACTCTATTTATCATTTCATTCAAAAATAGTAAATGTGAGACATGTTCGTATTTTTTGGCGTAGACTGGTTATAAATGACATCGTTGGGAAGATATACAACCCTCAAGTCTTTATTAATTATATATTGTTATTATTATTATTTTTACTTACCGCTCCCTGAAAGTCGCCCAAAGTAGTGAGGACGACACCAATGTTAAAGTGGATCTTCGCGGAGTCTGCAATAGGCTAAACATACCACAATCGCATAAAAGACAGAGAAGAATAATGCAACATGCCACTTCAGTTAAACAATGGAAACAACAACGTAAAAATCCGAAGGCAATGAACGTGCACAACACATTTGGTGTGACAAACATAACACATTCTCTTTTAATTTTTTTGAGTTTCATTCACTGGCTCGTTACCTCAAAGATCTCAAGGGCATCTTCATATTCGCCTTGATCAAATGCAATAACTCCTTCGTTCCATTGGTCTAGTTCATACTAGAAAGACGACAAAAATAAATGATCAAAGTAGGAAGATAAAAAAAAAGGTTGTCAATGGCCGGGTTTCTAATTATTAGGTAGCTGTAGGATTCGTAGAGGCAACAAAGTATAAGTACCTTGAGGCCAGCCATAGTGGTGGATTAGCTGAAGGAAATATGCAGGGACTGAGAATGGCAATGAAAGTAAGAATGAAAGTGATGATAAGAGTAAAGGCGATGGTAACAGTGAGTAAGGTAGAATAGTATGAAAGAGGATGTAAAATGTCGTTAAAGCGTTGCTGAGAGCAAGGAGAACCCGAGAGTGAATGGAAATATGATAGAGGAGGGAAAAGTGATGAACAGGACAAGCAAAAAAAAAAAGATGGATGGATGGTTTAGACAACTGAATGATGGAGGCAGAATGAGCAACCAGACCAGTATGGAGTGTGCCTGAACTTCATTTAAAATAGTTATAAACTTTAAATAGTGGCAAAATGAAATGAATTGAGACTGAAACTGAGCCACAGATGTTCTGCAAAGCCACCTATATATACCCACCCATCCCATGAAGCACTCTGTTGCTTTTGATACTTAGCTCCACAGCTAACCTTCTCTCATACCCTTGCTCAAAGTCGATCAGCAAAAAAAAAAAAAAAAAAAAAAAAAAAGGATAAAGAGTTTTATTTTGCTTTATATCTCCTATTTACTCACAGGGGCACGCTGTCATCTCATAGCGCTTGGGAGACCGTTCTATGCAGCGTCGTCGCTTGGTCACTCGGCATATTCCACGCGAGAACCGAAGATCACTTCCAAAAGGCGATCCAGAATACATGATATCAAAGTCTTTTCTTCGCTTTCTCCGCAATAACGAGCGTGATCCATGCCCTCCTCCATCCAAATGAGCTGCAGAGTGAGCGCTTATGCTAGCGCTGATACTGCTGTTGTCGTTATGACTATCGTGGCTGTCGTGATTATTATCTACAGCATGATCCGGAACTATATCATTAAATACAGCTGTCACTGGGATGCAAGTCGAGAATGGTTGATGACTACTCAGGGAAGCCGTTGCAGTTGTCAGAGGTGTATAAATAGTTGTCGACGAACAGCCTAGGGACGTCTCTGGCAATCCATTTGAATTTGAGCTGATTGAGAGTAGCTTTTCCGTGTTATTAACAATAATTGCTGGTTCAGATGATAGAGGCGTTTCTGAAACGATAGCCTTTGTGTACTTGTTGGTCTTATTATCTTTGGCCCCTTTCGACGTCTCGTTTGTAGTTTTAGTAGATATAGAGACATTGACCGTTGATTCTGGAGCCGATGGCTGCGATGTGGATGTGGATAAAGAAGGTTCTCCTGCGTAATTTTCCTCTTGTGGCTTTGTTTTCGACTCTGACTTGGTATTGGGTGTTTCTATACCGGCCTTGTTCGTAGCAGTAGAATCCGCAATTTTTTGCTTGATTACTTGAATTAAAGGGGATCCTTTACTATTAGTATCCGTGCTGATGCTTGGCGTTGTAGCTGTTGTTGTTGCTTTTGCAGTATCCGTGCTATTGTCACTGACGTCAATCAATTTTGTTGAGACTACATCTTCCACAGCCTTTTCTGAGGATGCTGTCGTCTTTGGAGACTCATCTGAGCTCTCTGTTTGACAATGAAGTGTTGACTTTTCGAAGCGGTATGTAATATCATCAAGAGATGATGATGACGACTCTGGCGTTTCCGTGCCTGACTTATTACCGTCCGAATCATCTTCATGGCCTAAATCCTCTGTTTCAGAGTCCTCATCTTCATCCTCTTCACGCTTAGGTTTGATACGGATAGATTCAAGACGCTCCTGTTCTCGAGCAAGTTTCAGTTCTTTATGTCCAGCTTCATACATGCCTTGTAGCTCCTCCTAAAATACATCTTATGCATTAGATTGCAGGAACAAACATATGTATATATAAATTTAACCCTGTTGATAACATCTGCATTGTGAGCTTTACCTTCCAACCACACAGAGCTGCGAGTTCCTGAACTCCATCGTCGCAGTTTCCGAGAAATACAGCGTCTCGCTGTACTGTATATTTCCACTTGTCCTCAAAATCAAATCCAGAATGTAGCTCCTGTCCTGCTTTTTCACGGTTAATCAGCAATCTTGGGCATTTTGGCGAGACTTTAGCTATAAGCTTGTTGAATGGCTCCACTTTCAAAGACGTCCCGAGAACAATCAAGAGATCACATTTGTCAAAATCCTGCAGATATAAATTCAATAGATGTTAGCTTATTCTATTGGGTGACCATATTCATGTTCTTAAGCTCTACCAGCGTAAAATAAAAATAAAAATAAAAATAAAAATAAAAAAAAAAAGACATACTGTTTCTGCCATCGTTGAAAACCGTAAAGGCAAGTTCTCGCCAAAGAAAGTTATACTGGGCTTCACAAGTCCCGAACATCGTTTGCAATATGGTATCTCTCCCTCCATGATGTGACCTATTTCAAAAAGATCAGCAAGAGAAGACAAAAAAGCTTAGTATTAAATCTTATCGTCTATTGAAACAAGCCTTTTTTTTTTTTTCTTACGTTTCACCCAGGCTGAATCAGTGGTCACTTCACATTGGACACATTTTGCAGTAGCAAACGAGCCATGAGCCTCTACAAGCAAATCCTCATCCAAGCCTGCTAAGCGCTCAAGAGAATCAATATTCTGAGTATATGATCTGAGTAGCAACTTCTTCTTGGCCAGTAGTGGTAGTAGATAATGTGTCAATGTTGGCTGTAGGGATATAATAATAATCAAAAAAGACTGACTTGGTTAGAAGAACAAGGGTGACTCCGCAGCAAAAAACAAACGGTAAAAAAAATGCTTACGAAATATTGTCCAGGGTATAAATGCTTTGCCAAATGGTAGAAAGGACGAGGTGTTTCCTAAAACCATAAAGTTGAGGCATGGTATAAAGCGATAAGTATCAATGCAATTCTTTCTTGCTTGCATGTATAAACCACAAATTTGATACCTGCTACACTTTTACGCGGCGCAGTTTGAAATAATAATAACAATAATAGTTAATAGTTTAAAAAATACCTTGAAGAATGCTAGATCGAAAACTGCTTCAGGAAATGGCAAATTGTACTTTTCCAAATCGTCATATAATCCTGTCCCTGGTGACCTAAAATCTTTAATTCCTGCTGCGGTGGAGATTCCTGCTCCTGTCATTACAATGATGTTTTTTGCTAGTTCATCCCGGAAGAGAAAAAAAATAAAATAAAATAAAAAATAAAAAGTTTAGATGCAAAAAAAAAAAAAAAAAAAAAAAGTAATGTCGTAAACATTCTTCTCCTTCCTAAGTATCATACCATCCCCTGAAGAAATGAGATGTGCTATGGCAGAAATGGTTCCATCCTTGAGAATTTGAATGCGAGGCTCTGGCTCAGGTTTTGGCTTCAAGGGTCGTGCTTTGATAGAAATCCTATTTGCCGATGCTGAGGTGAATGGGGATGTAGCTCTACGGGCTCTTGCTGTCGGAGGTGGTGATAAAGTCGAGTTTGATGTTTGCGATGGTACAGAAGTGGAGGTAGAAGTAGTGGACATGACTGAATTAATCAGACTTTTTTTTTTTTTTTTTTTTTTTTTTTTTTTTTTCAGCTGAAAGAAGAAAAGAGAGAGGTAATAAAAAAATAAAAATAAAAATAAAAAAAAGTGAGACACTTGATCAATTTAATAATCGGATGAAGAGAAGTGGAGAAAGAGGAATGAACTTGAAAGAAATGAAAAACACGTATAAACAGACAACTTTTTTTTTCAAAATAATGTAGATTATTTAGGAGAAATGAATGGGAGGAGAAAGAATAGAGTGAGAAGGTGACAATAACAATGGTTCGTAACACAATGGAGCAAAGATGCAAAAAGAGAGAGAGGAAAAAAAGGACATATAAATTGCATTAGCAACACACAGAAAAAGCCGTTTTTCAAGTTCAGGGGCGTCCCAAGCCGCATGACCAACTTGTTTGACCTCAAGTTGTCAAATGAATCGACGCTTAATGTTTTTATTCCTATATTAAACGTGGGCAAAGTTGTGCTGCGCCGATCATTCATAATGCGCAAAGTGGCCCTTCTCCCGTCGCTGACATCGCTCGCATCCAGGCCGAAATCCCATCACAAACACGCCTCGTCCACTTGAATCCCTCTTCTCTATCCCAGAAGCATGTGTATATCCCTCTTTCACTTCAATAGAACCTAACCGTGTCCTCGTTAGAGGTTTATGCTCTATAGGTCCCCACCGATTGCTATAGCTCCTACTATCCATGCTACTGTTGGTACTACTACAATCACTACTATGGTCCGAGGATATACTGCTCTGCTCCCCGATCTCTCTAATGCTTTCGCTCGGAGAAGGCGGTGCAGGAGGCACTGGTCGCATTGATCCTAATAGAGCAGGCCTTTGTTCTACATCATGCACATGTCCCACTTCTCTGTTCGGCGAGGGAGAGACGGGATTGGATGTGGCCTGAACTTGAAAAAGGGTAGGCTCGAACGGTGGCGTTGCAGAGTCATATTGAGGAGTCGAGTACCGCTCCAAGTATGCTTGGTTCGTATTTGGGGACCCATATCCAGGACTACTGGTTACTGATTCAAGTAAGTTGGGCCATCCAAACACACCAGGTGAATCAGCTCCAGATCCCTTGCTTCGTTTCTAAGTTGACACAAAAAAAAAATATGCAACGTTTAACATTCATTGGCGTCTCACTCGAAAAACAAAAGTAATAAATGTTCTAACCTTCAGATGATACTATCCATACCTTCGCAATCAAATCGTCCTCTTCGTCAAGAGTCCCTCGTTTCCTTGCCCAAAAGCCCTGCATCCCACCTCTGTTGCTACTACCACGGTCGAATGCCTCATCGATATGCTGTTGAAAAAGGTTGTGCGATATTGAAGCATGATGAGACCATATCTGCGATTGAGGCGTGTGCTGTGTACGCTGGGGATGGTGGGGTCCATTGATGCGCTGTTCTTGTTGTGTAGGATGATGTTGCATTGTATCGTGGGCTATCTATGGCGTTTCGATTTCAATATCGCGGAAGGATGTGAAGGTTATTCTCAACGACACGGAGGATATAAAAACCCTTTAGTCAGAAAAACCATTGTTAGCTTTTGAGTATATCGAATCCATGAAAACCAGTAGCTGTAGATGCTGTAGGGCTCTCAAATATAGAAAAGTGTCTGCTGAGAATGATTAGAATCAGCAACATATGGATCTTTCAGTTCGTTGCTGAGATGGCCAGTAGCCTGAATAATTTGGAATGTAATTCATTTTAGGACTACTCTTACTACCAATGAGCTTCTCTCATTTCCATCCTTACAATTTGTGGCAAATGTAAAAATATAAGCATATTCCGAAAGTGTCATTTGCTCCTAGAAGCGTTCTATGACTTTTGCTCCAATGTTCATCGAATTGTTTATGACATGACTTTCACGAGTTGGGTGGCAAAATGGTGGCGTGGAGAAAATCTGTCTGGATCTTACTCTAAACAGTGATCAGGATATACGAAGAACTGTAGGCTGTACGACTTGGTAGGCGATTGCTGTTTGTACTGAGATTGGGTAATGAGAAAATGAAGAGATTAAAAGAAGGACACAAGACAATGTTTGTAACTTGGAATGAAGGTGGAATGAAAGAGAAAGTTTTTAACTTTATTGGACTCCGAATTAATTTTAAGAGTAATTCCGACTGCTTCGATGGTTAGACTCTGCCTCGCCCCCTCATGTTGCATCACATTCATGTATATATCACACTACATCACATCGTCAAGATCCATGGCCTCTCACCCTGCTGCAGAGAAGCGTAGATGACGTTCATAAAAGTGAATTAGCTTTTGTGGGCATTTTTTGTGCGCGTCAGTGACAGGGTGCACGCTACTCTTGCCATTCTTCCACATCAGGTACACAACCATCATTTTTTCAGACTGCTCTACCGTCTGAACATAGTCCACATGTTCTTCCCAAGATGTCCATGTCGTTGGCGGCTCCCAATCATTATCATTATCCTCTTGGTTGTCACTAGTCGATTCGTCGCCTTGGTATTGGATCTTCTTTGCTTCTTTATCACTTTCGTCGACAATGTTGCCACCACCTCTGCTTTGCAGTCCCTCTTGGACATCCTCTATTTTCCGTTTTTTGGGCGCAGAGTTAGTCAAGCTTCCATCACCCCCAATACCAGATAAGTTTTCTCCCACCTCCTGCGCCTGAGAACCATTTTCTTCTGGCACTAATGAAGTTCGTGATAACGATGAAGACGAATGCCTCCTCAAATTACGAGTTTGTTGAGCAGCCGGTGAAGTAGAGACTCTATTGGCCTTAGTGCCAGCACCGCGCTTCTGAGCAGGACGTCCCTTTGTCTTCGGAGCTTTCCCATAGCGGTCGTCTCGGTTCCCTCCTTTAGCTTCATACCGCTCCCAATATGCCTCGATGAGCTCCTCACAGGAAAGATTTTCACTCTTCTCCCATGTACTGTCCTTATCACTGTACCCCTTCCATTTCAATAAAAATGAAAGTTTACCACTGGAATCCCGACGGTGTCCATCCACCCTCTCAACCTCGTACTCTTCAGCTTCACTTTCATCCTCAATTTCCTCCGCAGCAAAGCTTTCTGAAGCACTGTCGACTTCCGCGATATCTCCCTTACTGTTAGCCGTCTCATTGTTTTTCTTGAATGCTATGCTATCCTGATGCATGGTGTCTCAATCTTCAGTGCCAAATATGCCTAAATATGGATTCTAAGGTAAGAGTAAAATAAAATAGAAAAACTTTGTTAAGACAGTGAACATGATCTCGCATTACTTTTAACTGCTAGAGCAAGGCATCAGTCCAACAAAATCTACGCTTCCTTCTCATGCACTGAAGTCAACATTCATACGGCACATTTGCTGCGATCGTTAATTGATTCAGGCTTACCAAGGCTACATAGATGGCGAACGCAGGCGAAGTCTCCACACCCCCAAATTTGAGTATGTTTAATTAATCTCGGCCAGATCACGTGTACAGTCGCAACTCTGGGTGACGCGTCGATGCAACGGTGCCATATGGATGGCGGAGTTGTCTCCCTTTTATGCTAGGTTTTTGAGCAACTATAAAGGTTGCATAGTTGCCCACTATAAGTTATTATTTCCCGAAGATGGTGAAAGAAAAAAGAAAAAGTTCTGCGGCACTTTCATGTAAAACCAGTGTTAAAGGGAACTATATCCATACTTTTATGAAGACAGCAAAGACATAAAAACACAGATCGAACAACTACAATACCCCTCATCTCTTTATCCCATAGAATATTTCCTTGCCCACAAATATAAAAATACTAAGCATAGTTCTCAGAGACAACATCTTTTACAGTCTTCTAACAAAACACATTAAACAAACATGGTGTTGATTGTTTTCTACCACGCAAGTTTTTGACAGCGATGTAGTCAAGCAAGCAAATGGTATCTGGACCAGCAATAAGGTTTCCTTGGCCTCAGCTGACCGCGGTAAAGGGGCCATCCTTGAGCAACTAACGTTCTTTTTGGCCAAGGCTGGGTATGATGCTGTCTTTACTTTCTGTTCTGTTTGCATGTCCTTATTGTGTTGCGATTAACTAAATTGACACAGCTCTAGTGGTTGGACCCGATCCCAGCCAGTACGCCTTTAGGAATATCTAGGCTCTTTTTCAAGGATTGAGGCGTACGCCGCTGGCCTGGAATCGAACCATTAAACTCGTATATCCCTCGAACTCGACGCCACCAAGCCTCATCATCAGCCAAATATCCTTGAATGGGTGGCGGACCGAGCGAAGCCAACAATATCTATCACATCCCAAAAGACCGCCAATCAACAATAGGTTGGGGCTATCAGACTCAAAATTATAAGAAAAAGAAAAGTATATGGTTAATGGCATTTCTTTTTTTCTGAACTTTCTTTTTCTTTTTCTTTTTCTCTGTACAGTCAATCTGGAATTCTTCTAGTCGTTCATAGAGTAAGGAGCATTCAAAATAACAGCGATCAGTTCGAGTCATGGCTTTGATGGAGTGTTGGGAAAGGTATAATGTATCACAATTGAGCCAAGTAAAGCCGCATAATATTTTATGTAGTTTTGACAAGGGCAATACCGTTGACAAAAAAAAACACAAATATATTATTGATTAAGGTATGTGAAAAAAGTGACCTGTCACTCTAGAAAAATTGGAAAAAAAGACTTTCTGTAACATATCTCTTAACCATCACGAAGTGTTGGGGCAAGGAAAGAAAAGAGTGAATATATATCTTTTAATTACGAATGGGGATAACGAGGTGGTGCGATCTCTTAATGTCGGATCTGTGGAGAGGAAGGACTTTGTTTGTACATCCAATGTGTACACAAAGAAGGGGTCAAGGCGATGGAACTAAACATTTCAGCATTTTTTTATTAATATTATTTACGACCAAGCGGACAGACCCCATAACAAGACTCACAAAAGTAAAAGTCAAAACCCAAGATATAAAACTTTTTTTTTTTCTCTTTTTTTTTGACAGGCTGCCGTTCGGGGTAGCTTCATGAGAGGATATAGGACGTTCTGGTAGCCTAAAATGCTTATATCATTGCATTGATCAAAAATCATAGAAGAAATCGTGCTTTTTTTTAATATTAACAAAAGATAGAAAGATCATCATTTGAGTCCGAAGGAAGAACCAGCAACCAAACAAATCTTTCCAATATTTTAAATTGGGCAAATGCTCTCAGCAGTGCCCATGCTCTCCAACCGCAAGTAAACAAACGCCAAGAGGAAGGTGAAGATGATTTATCATTTCATTATATTCATTACGTAGTAACTGATGCGGAATGTCTGTTTTGGAGGAATGAATCTGAATTGCATAGTATATAGTTAGCAGATCAAGAGCTCGTTGAAAGTTTTGTGGCAAATGGTCAATCTCGGCATTCTTTCGCTGTGTTGCATTTACCTTCAATAGTAGCACGCAAATAGATGTATACTAAGTATGCTGGTTGGATACTTTGGCTTTTGAACATCATTGTCTCTATCGATTTAAAAGAGAACCCACTGTCGTGTTTACGTGCATATATATGTATTTTTGTACATGTATCTCCTTATCAATGATACCAAATCCTCCAGAAATAACTTGTGTTAATTGATTGAGTTGTTGCGCTCTCTGGTCTGTGCTCTGGTTTAGGATATAAGAGTGCTTCTTCGGAGTTGCCCTTGTGCCAGTAAGAACAAGTCGGAGGATATGCAGAGAAAGGCCAAGAGTGTTCAGGAAGGCTCATTTGGATAAAATGAATCGACAACCATATCCTCCAACCATTGATTGACTAATTATTTGCTCTGCTTCGATTCAATTGTGAGATATATATAATGTGAGACATATCGGCAATGACGACATATTATTCGCAAAGTAAAAGTCCTTCATGGCTCCTCTATCTTTCTACATGTACATTAACATTCCTGGAGACAATCATCATGAATATGAACAGAGAAGAACTAAGAGCTCCGGAATAAGGTATAAATGTTCATTTATGCGCTTGTGTGTCGGTAAGTTAGCAGACGAGAGACGGATTGACTTTGATTGCCCACGCTATTTACTAGGTTCATATTTTTGGACGAATCGAAAGGTGCGGAGACGCCATCGTCTTCAAGGTTTGCTCATTCGTGGTCCGAACAAATATGTCTCTCTCTAATTCAGCCACCTTTTTCATTGTTGGTCCTCTTTTCCAACCTCATGCACGCCGCCTATCTATTCACCTAACTTATTTTAAAAAAGGACACATTAGCACAGGCACAAAGCGTATACACATGCATCATCTAATCTTGCTCTTGCTCTCACTCTTCTACACTTTCTGTTTCGTGTATTTGATATACTTTTTTTTTTTTTGGCCTTAGTCTAATATTATTGATATTTGTTGACACCCTTTCCTCCCCAGCACTTTTTTTTGTGAAAAGTTATCCAAGGTTAGGTTCGGTAAAAGGTTAGTTGGACATGGAAGCACAAGGCATCCATGTAAACAACCGTGCTGCACACGTAAGTCATCAAGATGGCCCTTCGTTTACCAATGACAAAAACTCTATTTTTTTTAAGAGACAATGATCCATACTTGTTGATAGGCAAATAACGAAAAGAAATGCGTTTTGACAGATGTGATTGTCTGGGTTCTGAACAGACATGGCAAGAGATAAGGAAGTGTACGCATAACTGAGCAATAATAATAAAAAGTCAATAATCAAGGCCAGACTCCCCGCAATGTTGATTGCTGCTCCTTCATATGAATTATGTGTGATTGCAAGGCTTGGTAAAGCAGTGATTTGAGGTCAACACATATCGCAATCAGTCAAAGACTTTAATGAAAAGAGAATTGATGATACTACATTGACTATAGGGATAGTCTATAGGAATAAAGAGTTCTTTCGCCGCCTTCTATTTGTTTATTTATTTTTCTTCTTTCTTCTTTCTTCTCTTCTTCTCTTCGTTCGATTACTAGCTTGCCCTTGCTCTACTCTGCTCAGCTTCGCTCCATTCCTCTTCACTCTTTCTGTAGGATACCTCTATCACCATCCTTCCTTTACTATCACTGGATAGCTCAAATAAAACGAATGCCTCTATTTATTTTATTTTTTTTACCATATCCACCTCTCTCAGTCTTTCAGTCACTCAACCTCTCAGTCTCTGCCTCTTAACTTTTATCTCTCTCTTTCCTTTTCCCTATCTTCTCACTTTATCCTTCCGCCCGCTAAGCAGGTAATAAAAGGCATAGAATAGCACATAGAAGAGTGCAATCAGCATAGTGAAAAAATAAGGATAATATCGACAAATCAAACAACCGGAGGTTCTTTATTATTTTACATTCCTTCATATAGTCTTTTTGTGTTAATTTCTTGTTCAGACACAGAACCCAGGTTATTCTCACACCAAATCTTATTCGTCGCGCGCTGCTTCCAGCCTTTTGAACCGATACTCTCTTCCACGCGCTTGCTCTCCATACGCAATCACACCACAACTAGTAGCTTTCAGTTTTTTTTTTTTTTTTTTTTTTTTTTTTTTTTTTTTAAAAAAAAAAAAAAATCTGAATAAGCAAGTACATCATATCATTATTTTATTCCCGTAACATGGCTCATGAGCATGGGCGTGGGGACATTCACGCATTCAAATGTTTACAAATACATCCAATCTATCAGTCGTAACATCATACTTCCAAAATCAATCCCTTCGATGCAAATCTATAAACGCACATTCGCGTAATATTTAAAACCTAAAAAAAAATCTCTGCACCACACAGCGGGTGCTTCATCGCCCACTTCCACCACCCCCGGAGCCTTTCTCCACTTTACTCGTGGCTCTTTTTTATTTTATTTTTCTTTTTTTTTTTTTAACTTTCTTGATAACTCTTGTTCCTGACCCTTCCTGCTTTTGGTAACTACTTTTCCTTACAAATACGACACCCCAGAACGTATTGGCGATTAGGTACTCCTTCATTCTCTCTATCCTTCGATCTTTTTACGCCTTCTTTCTGCTCTTGTTTCAGTTCCCTCCAGCTGCCTTCAATCATCTTTCATTCACATTGACATCACTGCCGTCATTTCATCGATATCTCCCATGCATTACAATTGCTAATCCGTAAGGGCCTATTGAGACCACTCGTTTGAGATTAAGAACCCTTTCTTTTTGGTTGAAAGACACCATCTGTCTAGCATCTACAAAACAGTGTTTATGTTAGCAGAATGAACAGTACACATACTACTTTTGCCATACCGCTCTTCTTCCAATAAGCATCCTATCCATCCTTCTGTACAAAAAGAAAATCGTCATTACTGTTCAATCACTTAATCGGCGAGTTACAGCCAACAGGAGAGAACAGATAAAATGTGTATATTCTGATCCCATCATCCAGAAAAAGGACTGCTTTGCCTCAAACAATTAGGGAAAAAGAGGGAGAGATGGCTGCAGCCATACAGCATCTTTATCTTGTCTGTAACCTGAAAAAAGTTACCTGGGGTGCAATTTTGGAAAAAATTGGTTGACATCATGCTGATCGCATTTAATTAACGTTTACTGCACGCCCCTCATTCTCTCTGTTCCTGATGCACTGTGAGACTTTGTGAGCTTTATTCATGTTGCATGTATTATTCATTTATCCAATGCACACGTGCATAGATTCATGTGTTTGAATTACAAACATGAAAGGCGACATGATGATTCCATGCTTCAAAAAAAATTGAGCAGACTGACACGGATATGATAGAATAGACTGTGGTGTAGATGAGGGCTTTGGAGTTAACACGACTCGATGATTAATGACAGCATTTGTATATACCCCCTGTTTGAAATGTAAAGGCTCTTTTTTTTGTTTGTTTGTTTGATACCGTCACCATTGCAGTTCTCTTTGTAGCCATGCAAAGCTATCCATTACCTGCTTATGCAGATGAATCAATTTAATTGGGGTTGAAAGTATGAAGGTGCACGACCCAACCTAGACGATAGACACATAATTATTGGGTTCCCATTAGCATTAATATGATTAATATCGATGTATTGACACGAACTCTTTATTTATACGTTTATTATCACCTGATCAGTAGCGCCTTTTGATGACCATTCTTTATCGCCTTTAGAACGCGACACAGCCGTTAGGATCCCTTCACGCCCACTATTCCTCTCTGGGTAAGTTTATTTCACAATTCCGGAAACAAACCTGCTATCAGTGTTTATTGAATCTCTTATAGTATTTTTGCCTTGAAACCACATTCGAGATTGATTTACTCCAATGTTTGCAATGGGGAAGTGTTTTTCCTTCTGATTAACCGATTAAAAAAAACTCCCCAAGCCATGTCTGTTCCTCCTTCTGTAGTCCTCCACAACCTCACCCCCACGCTCCCACGATGTTACATCAATATCATCACATTGCATGCATATTATTTCCAATTTTTAAGTAATCTACGGACGTTTTTTTTTTTTTTTTTTTTTTTTTTTTTTTTTCAAGTGTGGTCAGACCTCTTTTTTTGTACTAGTCACCAGGCCTTCTCAGTTCAAAAACAAATCAAAGGGGTTAAAAAAAAAATCAAAGGTGATAGGGCAGCCAGAACGAAGTTCCTGTTGCCTGCACCGAGTGAACAGTGCGCAGACAGAGAACTGCTATGCATGCAAACTAGCCTAGTCACCGAGAAATCCATTTGTTTTCAATCCATTTGTAGTCCCAATCCACGTATCTATTTCCAAGGGATGCTAGGATTGGATGGGACATCAATCTTAGCTATCCTAAAAATGGGCTAGTCCTCCAAATCGTTCTTTTTTAAAGTCAAATACGAAACACCAAAACACGAACTTTTTCCTTGTGCAACAGACATCCCTAGAAATGCAACAATCGGTTATGAATGTGGATAAATAGAGTACAGTACAAAAGTGCACAATGTTCTGAAAAGGAGAATATTTCATGCGATTTGTCGAGGTGCACTCCCACTCCTGTTCCTCGATTTGGCGGGCTTTAGCATGTATTCATTTACTAACTCTTTCCTTTATCTCTTCCTCTTTCTTTTCCTCCTTTATTTTCCTGTCCTCCTTTATCTTGCGCGATGATCTTTTGACGGATTTTCTCTACATGCTTGGATGAATCTCTTTCCCCTTTTCCTTCTCCTTTATCACTAACACTAAATCCTTCTATTCGTCCACTCTCTCGTATCTTCGTATCTTTATCCCTTGAATGGACCTCTTCTCTCTTGTTTTTTAATCTAATCCTCGCTATTCTCACGCTACACATTTGTCATGCATTTGCGCCGTACTCCTTTTTTTTTCTTCTGACTCCTGAACTTGCTTCCTCTTTGTTGTTGTCGTCCAGCAGCTCTTTGGATTCCTTACTTCTACTCTCCTCGACCTTTTTATCATCGTCGTCTCGTTGCTTTGATCACCCCAACATTACCTTCTTTGTTTGTCTTTTGGTTCTTGCGTGATACCCTACCCTACTTCATACTTCATACTTCATACTTTATCTTTTTTTTTTTTTTTTATATATATAAATATATATTTTTTCATTTGTCTCCTATATTAAGCGAATCAATTCATCTATCATGTCCTATCCCACCTCTTCCCCAGAACTTCCCCCCCAACCCTTTGTATTCACTAGTCCCGACCGTGTCCTTGTTCGCGCCCTCCCGCATCCCTTGGCCTCGACCAACAAAAAGGTTACACTCTCTCTGAGACGTACACCACCATCTTCATCTTCGCAGTCGTCTTCCTTGTCACCATCCTCTCCTTCTTCCGCGAGTCACTCATCGTCTGGTGCTATCGCTCTCTCAGAACCATCAACGGCACCCCAAAACATCCAGATCGCTAACACTTCGCGTCGTAGCATGATCTCCACGCTAACCAGCTCTCTCCAAGAACAGAAGCAGATCCTTTCATCACCCTCCCTCCTCAACCCTCAGTCCAACACAATTGCTTCGTCTGTCAAACTAGAGCGACCATCGCCGTCGCCTCTGGTCACTACTGCGACCACGTCGTCACAACAAGGTACTGGCGATAAGCTTGCTCACCTCCGAAAATACAGCGCGCAATTCCATAAGAATGGCATGCCAATCAAATCCGCAATGAAGAGTCCTGCTGTGACCCTTGATGTAAAAACCAGTCCTCAAACATTGTATAGACCCTCGTCTATCCGTTCTCATTCCTCACCCACACCATTGACGAGCCCCAAATATGTGCACTTCAACACCCAGTTGGAGCATGTACGTCTGTTTTTGCAGGGCGAGACACCATCCTGTGTCGCTGAGCGTGAAACTATCGTAGATGGACGACAACATGATCGATCTACAAGCGATATCAAGATTACCTTTCCGAACTGGAAGCCCACTCCTCCGGATTCGCTCCGGTCCGTCAGCATGGACTCAGGAGCACTACCCATGCGAATGGAAAGCGTGGAGCTTTCTGTAGATCAGACTGAACTGGAAGGAAAGATTTTGGTTCAAAACATTGCTTTCCACAAACATGTCTCTGTACGATATACAGTAGATTTTTGGCAGTCATTCACGGAGGTAATGGCAGAATATGAAGAATCGATTCCAAGCTCAAGTATGGACCGGTTCTCATTCGAAATACCTTTGGAAATGGAGCGAGCCATGGTGGAAAAAACATTCTGTATGGCAGTTCGGTACCAAGTGAGTGGACGAGAGTTTTGGGATAGCAACAATGGTATGAACTATCAGGTCGAGTGCAAGCGCGTTGTTGTAGTAGCGTCAGCAACAACAGCATCTGATTTGTCCAAACACATGAACAGTCTGCTTCTGGGATCGCCTATGCCTGATTATAGCAAGCCAGTTCTCAGGAAAAACCTAGCCAATAGGTACGACCTCTCGTCCTCGCTCTCGGCCGCCTATAGCCAACCCATCGCTATACCAATGCGCTCCTCTAGTGCCAATACCAAGGTCGATCTTCCATATGTGATCACCATGTCTCCTCCTAATCAGACTGCTTATAGAGCTAGTGAATACATTACACCGTCCTCCCCTTCACCACAAAACTACCATCACTCACTTTATGCCTCATCACCAAAATTCATCGGCTCGTATCTCTCCGCAGCGTCTCCTCCAGAGCACTTCCATGTTGGATATGACCAAGTGTCGTTTGCCAATAACAAGAAAGGGTCCCGCAACAGTTGGAATGTCGATATCGAGAGGACTTCACCAACAGTATCGCCTGCACGCTCACATTCTTTCCCTTCAGGTCTCTATGGCTCTTATTCGTCTTCGCCCAAGGGATCTTCGCCTATTTCCATTCCACTTGTCCAGCGCAGTCATTCGAATGCTGCCAGCACCACCACTGCTACTGCTGCCTCCGGCGCCCGCCCCACAGTGGAATCGTCCAGTTATTTTGATCTAGTTGATCGCTATTGCTTCTATGAGTCAAGCCCTCGTTCGAGCCCATATTCGAGCTATCCAAACTCTCCTCCAGCGCCTTGTATCCGGGGTTAAGCAGGCACAACCGCGAGACCTTATTATTTTGTATATAGCTTTAGTTTAGTCTACTTTTTTTTTGTTTAGAAATCTTTGTCTGTATAATAGTATTGCAATAAAAAAGAACCCAAACACCACGCGAGTATGGACAATACTTTATTGGTCATTCCAATAATGCAAAGGATTAACTAAGTTTAATGGCCCTGTTGTTATTACCTTCTTTTTTTTTTATAAAAAAAAATGTGTCTGATATGTATACAATACTTCTAAAAAAAAAAAGAGTTGACATATTCCAGGTACTTCGCCCAACTTAAAAATGACACATGTTTATCAGAATAAATTAAACAGTGCATATTTGTAGGAGTATACAAATATATATATATATATATTGGGGGGGAGCTAACTAGCCTCCGGTATCTTGCTACTCTTGTTACAAATGTTTCTATTGTGTAATAAAGAAGGGAAGTTCTAGATATCTAGGTTAGAGGGCATGTGATGACCACAACTTGGGAGGTCCCTTGACATGAGGTTCTGGGCCCACAGGATGCGAACGAATGAAGACCGTTTTTTTGAGTGTTGTGTTGATTGGAAGGAGGGTGGGTTGTCGTGAATGGTGCAAAGAGACTGTCTGTCATGGAGGAGAGAAAGATTTGATTAGCTTCCTCATTCGTCCTTTTTCCATTCCTAGTCTAATTCTATACTTCCTTACAACCTTGCATCAAATCTTTCCCTTTCTCTCCTCCTGTTTCCACTAAGGCAACACGAGTCAAGACCTACATCGCCATTTATTGGCTCGTACTCCATCTCCTGGCCCTCCAAATGCTATTTTTTTTTTTTTTTTTTTTTTGCCTTCTGATTAGACATCAGAGTTGTTAGGTCAAAACTCTGAAGTTGCCAACACCCCCTTCATTGCTTCCATCTGGAAGGCTTCACAAGATTTAAAGTGTTATAAAGCTCATACATATTCAATTGGATGTTCCGTTGGTTGACGAGAAGGCGAGGAGTTCCTTGATGGTGCCCTCCTTAATGACAGGAATATCCTTAAAGGGTCCGTTCTTGTCCTCCCGCCAGATCCAGATCTGAATTTGTTTCGCTCGAGAAGAATTAGATGCAACGATGAATGACTCGTCTTAATCCTCAAGGCCCAAAAGGATTGTACTAACCATAATAAGATTAAATAAAGCACCTTTAGCTCAACCAGTAATCTTCCTCACATTGATGAACTCATCAACCGGCTCGGTTGCGCTCACTATCCCTCTAAACTTGCCTTATTATCTGACTATCACCAACAAATGCACCCACCTCCTTTTCTACGCTGATATGCACTCTTTTTAGTCCATTAGCAGGCAAATACACGGTTGCCTACCTAGGATGGCATCTTGATCTATCCCAAGTTAAAAGAGTAAGATTTTTCGTACCTCCTCGAGGCATTTTCCCTTTGCGCGAAAATGGACTACGCAAAACTAAGCAAGCGTGTTTTTTTTTTTTTTTTTTTTTTTTGGCAATGTTTTGGATGCTGGCTTCCAATCTCAAGTTCTTTTATCCCTCCTATAGTCTCCACGTTCGTAGGTCTTTTACGCGTTGTTTGAGCAAGACTCCCCAGTTTAATTTCGTGTCAAGCTTTATCCTAGCATGAAAATGGGCGATATTTTACATGTCAATCGATCCCGCCATTACTCTCGCTCTCCAGTGGCTCTCGGTTCATATACATTACCTAAGCCAAAGTTCGATGTTGCAGAGAGTGTTGAGGAGCATGAGGCTGTAGCTGCCTTGGACAGTAGAAAGGTTAGGCGTCAATATCAGCTTTGATCCTTACCGAAAGGAGTAGCCTTACAAACTGCAATATATTTTACGTTACTTCGAGAAGGCAAGTACACATAATGTTTTTTTATTTTATTTTTTTAGCTGAAATAACTGTTTTGTGTAACGAGTTTTGCAACTTACAAAAATGTTACATTTTCTACCACTCAATTAATACTTTTCATTTCACGTATTTGCAAGTCGTAGTTCTCTGTGCCTGTGCGGATATATTGCAGAGTGAAGCTTTTTTTTTTTTTTTTTTTTTTTTTTTTTTGGTGTACTAGTTTGATACCGCGATCTGGCTGCCTTGCCCTTGTTGCTTTAGCCATGTTTCGAGGCTGTGTAGCCAGTCTAGATATTCAGCTTCACTCACAAATAAACTAAATTGAACCTGGTTCAGAAACTCCATCTCCATGACGTTGATCTCCTTGATGTTGATTCCTGTCACTTCAGACCATGTTTTATTGGTGAATGTATTGTCATCCAGAAATTTGTTTGCAAGCATTAACGAAACTGTAAAGAGGCGAAATTCAGATCCCTGCTGTCCATGAATTGACGGGTTGTTCTTCAAGAGTTTTTGGATATACTTTAATGAGAGTAGGATAACTGACGATGACAGCTGTGTGGCTGATAATACCTATAAAAAAATAAAAAATAAAAAATAAAAAAATAAAATAAAAATAGTCATTGTAAGTGTGTGTAGATATTGATAAGAAAGCATGATCGTGAAAACTCTGAGGGTGTTTCTAACTTTTCTGAGCCTTACCTTCAAGCAGAATTTCTTGAATGCAGGTCCAGCCGATGGTGGTATGGCCATTCGATGTGGAACAACATTGTAGGCATTACTGGAAGCGCCATTGATATTCGGTCGAGTATGCCAGAGGGTATACACCATCACAGATGCAAACTCTGCTAATTGTAGGACACTGGTTTGCAGGTGGACTACATGGTCCAAGGCTGAAGAATTAGAGCGATTACTTCTATGGTCCCGTGCATGCTCTCGGTGCTGCTGTTGCTGGTGATGATGTGGGTGTTGATAGTGCTGTTGCCGTTGTTGACTCTGTGACTTTGCAACTACGTGATGAGAGTAGGATTGAATCTGAGCATGGGAATGGTGTGTGGGAAGGGACGTGACTACAGGAAGGTTTGGGATCTGACGCTGTTGCTGAATTTGTTGCTGGAGATGCTGTTGTTGTATCTGTTGTTGTTGTTGTTGTTGCAAATGAAGTATTTGTTGAGCTTTCTGTTGCTGTGCAGTCTGCACTAATGATGGTTGACTACTGGATGGAAGCTGTGATTGCTTGTATGAATGTGAGTGAGAGAGATTATGTTGTGGGGTCATTATGGAGTGTAGTGGTTGTAAAGATTGAAGCTGAAGTGTATGCTGCTGGAGTGACTGTGGCTGGCTTTGTGGAATAGTCATTTGAATTGGCACATAATGCTGTTGCTGGAAGGATAGTTGGGTTTGAAGTTGCTGATGTTGCTGAGTCGTTGGTAATGAGTGATAGGATGCTGAGCTGTATCCAGAAAGAACTGTTGATTCGCTTGATGTCATATGGCTGACACTATTGTTAGCCTGTGCGCTTGGGCCAAGTGAATCCATGGAGATGGGTACCAAAGATCCTATACCGAGTGTAGCTCGTCCGCTTGGATAGGGCACTGGGTGTGCAGCTGGTAGAGCTGTTTGGTAGTGTGCGATGGGGGCATGTGCATCCATGATAATAATGGATCTGTGCGGGGTCTGTCCTGCCAATCTATGATCCTTATGCCAAAAAAAAAATAAAATAAAAGTTGATGGTAATGTGATGACGGAGATGTAAACACGAAAAAGATGATGGAGTCAGCAGGTGAGAGAAGTAAGTTGAAGGAGTAAGTTGAAGATAGAAAGGGAGATGAATGAAGGAGAAGAGAAAGGGAAAGGGAGGGGCAGCAAACAACTCCAGCAACAATGAATAATGCTGGAATGGGAATTATAAAAAAGGATGCAATCAACCGACGACAGCTACAAATGGAGTGACTGGCTGCTTAATGGACAATGCGATCAAATGTTGCATGTTTGAGTTCATAGAAATGGCACTCATTCGCAGACCTCATCCATCCTGCATAACCTTTTTCGACTAAAATAAAAATATATTGCCACTAACTGTTGCAACGGGATGTGTGGTCTTAATAGATTTCTAATGAGCAGGTTCGATTCTTTGTCCGTGCAATTTCATAGTCTATCTTGCATGTTTTTGCAACTGAACAGGAAATTGCTTGGCTCGGGCATGCTCTCATCCTGCATGCGTATTTCTGGGGGTTTGGATTGGTTTGTCTACTCATTGTTCCCAAAAATAACCCTCCAAGCCCGATACAAAACAACAATAGCAAGAATTCTCGACTCAAAGTAAGCGACGGAAGAACTTTGTCATCACCTTGTTCATGTCATCACATATGCATGGCACCTTCTGATGACAAAAGACTTACTGTTTGCGTTACTTCTTGATCCTATCTCTCTATGACGCTGTGCCACGCCATCCTTAATTAGTCTACACTCTATTTGTATTACGCACTTCAAAGTATATGTACAATGCGCATCATATTATTAACTCAGGGCCTTCGCCATTCCAATCCGGCCTTTGGTGGTTTTTTTTTTTTTTTTTTTTTTTTTTTTTTTTTAAAAAAAAAACAATGACACTGGATGGACAATGCGTGGCTAGAGCCTGTATGACTTGATCACCGAATTCTATTGATAGATAATAGGTATATCCTTGTCCTATAAAGCCATGAAGAGAAGAAATTTCTATTTTCAAAATCTTCAGCAAGTACGAGAATAATAAGTATCCTACAGGAGTATCAGTCTTTATCAATATGAAGTTTATTTAGCATAATGCCATCTAAAGATTCTATCAGCAGAAAACGATGTTCTAAACTTTAAGTGGGTCAGTACGACGTCTTCATCTCCTTGAGAGGGCAGTCCTGTATTATTCAAATGAAATAACGTCTTTCATTACCAGCGTCAAAGGTCAACGCATAAAAAGCGTTTGTAAGAATTAAGGGTGTTAAGTAGAGACGTAAGCATATGCATGCATTGAACCTTCTGTAATTTTCCTCAAGTTGACCAGCCCAATCATTACCACGCGGGACGACGCGAATGCGGTAATAAAGGGGTAATAGGCTTTGAGCGGGTTTGGTCTCATGATTGCTTTGGTAAAATGGTAACTTACTGTCAAGCCTCTTCATCTCTTATGATCGATGCTGTTTACAGTCCATGGGTTATGTGAACCCTTTTCTTTTTCTTTTCTTTCTTTCTTTCTTTTTTTTTCTAATCTTGATTTATTGCGCATGCTTATAATGGTCAATTCTGAGAATATCCCAATGGGGAGGGCATAGTACTGTCTCGTTTTTGAAGAAGCTGCTCGGTACAGAATGATTCCACTCCCAGCATCGATTTGATATCCACTTAACGATGGAATGATGAGCTCTTTACCTGCATTTTTTGCGTTTCCTTTCTTGACCAACATTTGCTACTACCTTCCCAAGGCTCTTCCACAAGTGAAGCTAAAGCATTTCCGTAAGGCCGGACTGGCTGAAGTTTGTTGGAATTGTTCGTGTCAAATAAGTCCATGTTTGAATGTAACACTTTAGTCGAGGCTCGGTCTTAAATATTGGTTTTTTTTTTTTTTTTTTTTTTTTTTAGTGGAGTTCAGGACTTACTTAGACCGAGATGTCGTGGTAAGCTATAACAGTTTTGACATTGTTCAAGGCCATTTAATTGAGGAAATGGGGACTGCCTCTAGCCAATTGATTGCGATGAACAATGCACCCTTGAGAGCAGCACACAGATTTGAGCCCAAAGAGACAATAGCCGTGAATGTTGTCGGTGGAGCCAGGTGAAAAACACGGACAACGGTGGAAAGGGAGGAAAAATTATCTCATCCTCAGTAATGATTGTGTTGTCTAGTTAATTGAGTTTGTAACCCATTGATGTTCTGTTTCCGAGTGGCGCAGATGCAAATCAGAACTTTGGAAGGCAGGGTCCTCCAACATGTGAGGGGAATAGGGAAACAAAAATATTTTAGTGCATGAAAATAAACATACAAACATTGCCCCCTGAGGTTTTTTTTTTATGCCACGCGCGTTTGTGTATGTGTGCTGTGCAAATTTTTTTGCCATGCATGTCCCAGTCGCGGAAAACTTTGATTGAGACGCGTTATGCGTTGGAGGAGATCGACAGGTTATAAACGATTTCCTCATTCTTCCCAATCCCAGATTCTCCAACAATCTTTCTCATGTGGAAGTCCCCCTTGGCCTTTGTCCATGTCCCACGTTGCTTTGGGGATATGCAGCGCTCCTATTTTGTGTGCAAAAAAAAAAAAAAAAAAAAAAAACTTTACGTTGAATGGATTGACAAGAGGGCAGTCTTTCCAACTTAAGGATCAAAGACGCTTGTTTGCGCGGTATTCGTGCCTTCATGCAACTCTATAAGATGTAGCATTGACTAGGATGTAGATTGTGCAGGGGACTTTATTGTAGAAAAGTGGGTGTGACCATTCGCCATGATGTCCGGGGGGTTTTTTTGTCTGTTGGACGGAGTGATGGTTTGGAAATACAAAAATAAGAGAAGGTCATGATAAACATAATGAATGAATGGGAGAATAAGAGAAGAGAAAGAGAAGAGCGAGCGAGAAGTAAAGAGATTGCGTTTTACTTGCATGCATATAGTCTATCTTCTTATTTCTATCCGAGTCCAATGGTTGCATATCTATTCCTCCTTTTCTATGGTGCAAGTGCTCCAACCTTTCTCCCCCCTTTTATTTATTTATTTTGTAAACTAGGAACATTTCGTGTACCATGTCACCAGCATCACTTTTCTTTTACCCTTCATTGTCTCTTTGTTCGTCTTTTTTCTTTTCTTTTCTTTTCTTTATTTTTTCTTCTGTTCTCTCTTCACACACTCTCTTTCGGTTCTTTTCTTGTTTCGAACATCCTTCCTCTCCTTTCAATTTTTTTTTTTTTTTTTTTTTTTGTAGCTGTTTCTTACTTAAAATTCCATAGTTTTTCTTTCTAATCATAATATAGTCGATTCAAACACTTGGACTTCTCATTCCTGCTCATTCACTTTGTCATTACACAAACTCATCGCGCTTTTCTGCTTCATTCTCCGTCTTTCTCTCTTTTTTTTTTTTTGTTTTTTTTTGTTTTTATACCTTTTCTCACATTTTATATTTTTATTCTTAATTTTATTTTTAATTTTTAATTTTAATTGATTACACATAAAAGAAATATCAGCACAAGTAATGCGTGAGTTCAAATTGGTTGTCCTCGGCTCTGGTGGTGTCGGAAAGTCTGCGCTAGTAAGTTTCGTCGTCAAAGTGTAAATCGGTGAAGGTTTACTTTTTTTTTCTTGTTCCCGTCATCACCTTTGGATATTCTGTGGGTTCTGTGATGCTCTCCATTCAAATATTGAAGCACAGCCTTCAAGAGCCATCCTTCACAGATTGCGAACAGCAGTGTATAAATGTAGCATCTACCGTTTGACAAAGTGAGGATGTCACTTACTCTTCTAATCATTATAATGCTCATACTTTAATGAATGACTGGGTTTCCACGATTGTATAATGGCTTGTGTTTTGGCGGATGTTCTCCTCTCGCGTATGAAGTCAAATGATTGGATCGCCCATTTGTTTGTGTCTTTTTTTTCTTCTTTCTTTTCTTTCCTTATTCTCAGTTGCCAAGGCTTGGGGGAGAGAGAGAAAGAGTGGGATTGTATGTTCAGTTGGATAAGTGTGTAAATGTGTGTGAATTAAAAAGAACAGGGTGATCGTAAAATGAAGGGGATCACAGACCCGTAGATGTTATTCATGCAATGCCCAACAACATTCTGTTGGCATAAACAAATGAAGGGGGTGAGGATTGACCCGAGATTCAGAGATGGTAATAATGAGGACTAAGAGAGGGGTGACTTTTTAAAAAATAAAATAAACCTCAAAGGGGTGCACAGAAAAAAAAAATTGAGAGCAAGCAACACTTACCATGCTTTGGCTCAGCTTAATGAAGGAAAGCTAGCTCTATCTTCATTTTGACAGAAGGAAAGACCACATCGAGAGCAAAAGCGCGGCTCGCACGCACCACTCAGGATTCAGCAAATGTGATTTGTTCTTTGCTATTGCTTTGGGCTCATCCTGTTGCCATTTCTGACCATGCAATCTTATTATAAACTTCTCCTTTGGTTATAGACCGTCCAATTTGTTCAATCAGTGTTCGTAGATCGATACGACCCAACAATTGAGGATTCCTATCGAAAACAAGTTGAGGTTGATGGTCAACAATGTATGCTCGAAATACTCGATACCGCCGGTACAGAACAGTTTACAGCAATGCGTGATCTTTATATGAAGAACGGACAGGGCTTTATCTTGGTGTTCTCAATCACTGCTGCTTCGACATTTGACGAATTAACAGAGCTACATAAACAAATCCTTCGGGTAAAAGATAGCACTACGGTAAGCCTTATGTCGTCATTCACCATTTATCATATTTCAGGCCTTGCAACATGCATCACCGTAGTATCGACATTATTCTTCCCATTTGCCATGTCAACATTCATGCAATGATATGCATACATCTTTCATCTATGGAGATCATGCTGAATATGAATAATAAATTATGAGAGGATTAGAAGGAAACATGGAAACATTTGGCCAAAGCTTCATCATTACAGACGTGGTCAGTTCTCTAAGACGTTAGATATGAAGGAGTAACTGATTTTTTATTTTTATTTTTATTTTTATTTTATTTTTTATTCTTCTCTACGAATTGCAGGTGCCAATTGTGCTTGTTGGTAACAAATGTGATCTAGAAAGTGATCGAAGGGTTGCACGGGAGAAAGGTGATCAACTATCTGCACGATGGGGCCCGACGCCGTATTTTGAGACATCAGCACGAGAAAGGACAAATGTGGATGAGGTCTTCTACGAACTAGTCCGGAGGATCAAAGAGCAGAACCCCTCTCGAGGCGATAAAGGGAAGCGTTCCAAAAAGTGCAAGATCCTCTAGTCAATCATTTTTATTATTGTTATTATTATTATTTTTCTCCTTTCTCTCCGCCAACACTCAAAGGATATCCCAGAAATGCTTCAGACTTGCAATGCCAGCAGCATCATGATTAGGCAAACGTAAATTGATATTAGCATATACAGGACGTTATGGTGCACATGCAAGCCTCCACATAATGAAGCACATCCAGGCACAGATTTACATAAAAAAGGGGAAAACAAAAAAAATGGAAAAATGCCAGAATCGATCATCTTCAAGTTCCAAATGAGGTCTACGTATTAAAATTATTACATTTTTGTAAATTTTCGCCTTGATAGATATACAATGACACATATAAAGCTTTCGCTGAGAACTGAGAAAGAAGTGGTGTTTATGTTTATTGCGACGTTTATATTGAATTCACATTTGCTGGTCCCAATTCGTCCTCTTTATCGGCCCGCTGACACATCTAATTGATAATCAAATACATGTAATAGAAAATTAGAGGAATTCCTATTCTACCACCATCCTCTTCCTATCTTTTTTTTTTTTTTTTTTTTTTTACCTTCTTAAACTTCTTGTACGGAAATTTAGGAGCCGGTTCTATCTCATCCCTCGGAAGGATCCATTCCAAATAGACCCAGAATAAATAGTCAAGGGCGATCATAATGCAAAATAATTTGCCTACGAAAACACCGCAACCATAATAACTAAAAACATTTCAAACATTTGAATTAGATGCTACGTTACTAGGTGCATAATCATTAATTAAAACATAGTAAAGCCAAGAGGAAATAAAGCGAGATATTGTGAGTATACCTGCGAAGTCTTTCAATAAGTGGCGGATCCCTTGTCTGAGAGATGGCGTCATAAACCTTCTCAGTACGTTCAGCCACATTTACCCAGCTATACATCTCCTTGAGTTCATCGTTAAACTTTGCTGGCTGAACTTCCTTTCGTTGAATCATTTCTATGGCTCGATCGAGGGCTTCTACAAGATCTATTTGAAGATAACACGTCAGTATTAGCATATTTTCAAGACAAAAAAAAAAAGAGGTGAAGCTGAGGACAGACCAACTATTTAAACCAATCAGGTGTTTCATTACCATCTTCTTCAGGTTTTGCAAATAAAATCATGTGCCTGGGAAGAACCTCAGGCACACCGCCCACCTTGGTGCTAACGACAAGTAATCCAGCACAAGCAGCCTCAACGATCCCAATACAAAATGCTTCGGTTAAACTGGTGTTTAAAAAAATTTGTCCGCGTACTAATGTCTATGATAGTGATACTGATTAGATTATGGGATACCATAATACACCACATGTAGTACTCGAGTAGCTTTTTTTTTTTTTTATTTTTTATTTTTACTCACATTACGGACTTCATGCGCTTTGATAGATCCCAAAAACTCGACACGATCATGCAGTAGATGCTTTTCACGCATTTGCTCTAGGTCTATGCGTTTAGGTCCATCTCCTCCAATGACAAACCTGACTTTGGAGTATTTGCGGCATATTCTTGGAACGACAGCAACAAGGAGATCCATGCCTTTGCGATATGTTTGTCGCGAGATAACGACGATTGTAGCTTGGAAAAAAAAAAAAAAAAAAAAAAAAAAAAAAATTAGATTCGATTTTTCCTAGTGGCCTAGCACTTCACACGATGCCCATAAAATCATGTCTAATAATCCATTGTTAAAACGTACTGACGTTAGGATCTTGCATACTCGGATCGGGTTTAAATCTCGATGCAATCACTGCATTAGGTATCACAGATACATTCTGAGGTGTGAGCGCAGCTCGAAGAACTGTGTTCTCTTTACTGTTTATGATGCCGATAGTTGACAGGTTCAGGTTAGAAGAGTACGACTATTGGACTAGTGCGGGAGAATAACGTAGATACTATTCTTTGCTGATGTGAATAGATATTGCAATACCTTGTATGGGAAACGCAGACAACGTGATCAATGTCTGAGAGTGTGAATTTGAGGAACTTATTCATGACTATACTGCTTGGATCAGAAAACCCAAAAAGGGAATGGTCTGTAAAGCATGTTTTGAGGCCCATGGTCCGCGCATGAATAATAGCTTCATGACACATGGATGAAAACGCTTGATGACCGTGAACAATTGATATCCTCTCTCGAAGGACAATGGAACGGAAAATGGGAAAGAACCCATAAAGCGTTGGGGGCGATGCAGCTTGGAATACAACAATCATCGGGACATGATATACTTTAAGACCATTGGTGAGACATCGTACTCCAGTCCTACCACCATACGCATGTGTAATGATAATGACCTTGTGCCCACGTTGGATCAGGCGCTGCGAAAGATGATACAAATGGGATTCGACTCCTCCTGCGTTTGGGTAAAAGAAGTCAGAGACCATGCTAGTTGAAGTGTAAGAGGATTGTGGGGGGTACAAAATAACGTTTGATATTCCGCATGTGCTGAGTTTGCATGCTTGACCATCATCAATGTAATTGCACGTTGAATGTGCTAGGCTAATGGCCTGCTTACCAAATATTGTAAGGCATCCTGTTAAGAAATTGCAATGAACTGCTTCTTGGTGTTCTCTTTATGTCTTCCTGATACAGTCGCTGATATGGCTAGTGTAAGTTGTTGAAAGAGTTAACCTTTGTCAAGTGCCAGATAAACCGCCCTTAAGTCTTCCATGATCAGGTTCTTCTACACCTTCCCAAAGACCCAAATTGTAATGGAGGAGAGGAGATCATCAGCGAGATCCTCCTAAAATAAAATCAAGTCACCAGGCAAGATTTAAACAATGCGGTAGTTGCTCAGTTTAGTATCTCTTTTTCTTACATTGAAGGTCTTTGGGTCTCTACTTCAAAATATGAAGTCGAAGTTGCTATCCTTAGTTTACTTGCAAGTGGCTTGGATCACTGATCTCTTTTTCGACGAAGGCTTCACGCGTATTCAACTTCTTTCTCTCAAAACACAAGGAGCAGGAAGAGACGCTGGGAGCAATCCACCATTTCATTATTCCAATCCTATGGCGCCCACTATGCCTGAACGTAAAACAACCATCAACAAGGGCGGCAAAGCTGCAGTGACACCTGCATCTATAGATGTTGTCCTTGAAGACTCCATCAATATTGTACGAATGATTTTGCTTGTAATCGCATCCTGCTACTCTTTTTAAGTTCTGAAAGTGGTCATAACTTTTCTAATTTTTTATTATACTAATATATACTATATAGACAGATAAGGACATTGCTTTTGAGGAGGATTTGCTAAGGAACCCCTACTCATTGAGGCATTGGATGCGATACCTGGATCACCATGAAAGCTCACCGATTGCACAGAGATTTATCGTTTATGAGAGAGCAGTTAAGGAGCTACCAGGATCATACAAACTATGGAAGGCATACCTTGACCAAAGAAAGCAGCATCTCATCAAACGTGGCCTTCCTTTTGTCAAGGCTCAGGATGAATGGGAAAGCGTTGATGATTGTTACGAAAGGGCTCTGGTCTTACTTCATAAGGCACGGGAAAAAAAAAAAAAAAAAAAAAAAAAAAGAGCTTATTGAGTTAAGCGCTTGAGTTGTTAAGTAAAAGCTAACATTCCCCTCCTTTTTTTTTTTTTTTTTTTTTTTTTTTTGCACTCCCAGATGCCTAGGATCTGGATCGATTATCTAGAGCACCTCATGGCGACGCCTAGGATTACGAAGACGAGGAGGACGTTCGACAGGTCATTGAGAGCTCTTCCTATCACTCAACATATTCGGATCTGGGGTCTTTATTTGAGTTGGGCGAAAAAAATTGGTGGGGAGACGGCACTAAAAGTTTATAAGCGATATTTGAAGGTGAGTTGCTTCTATCCATTCCCACAATTGAAGCGATTAAATTCAACAGTTGATACTCAATCCCAATATCTTGTTTTCATTTTAGTTGGAGCCAAATCACGGAGAAGACTACGTTGACCTTTTGAATTCAATGGAGCGTTATGACGAGGCAGCTTCTCGACTCTGTAAGATGATTAATGACGAAAACTTCCAGTCTATGCATGGGAAGTCTCATTATCAATTGTGGCGTCAGCTGTGTGATATTATCTGCACCCATCCCAAGGATATAAAATCGCTCCCAATCGAGAAGATCATTCGCAGTGGTATCAGGAGATTTACGGATCAAACAGGTCGTCTCTGGAACGATCTTGCCAAATACTGGATCTTACTTAACCATTTTGAAAAGGCTAGAGATATATATGAGGAAGCTATTACATCCGTAATGACTGTCCGCGATTTTACGCAGGTTTTCGACGCCTATGCAGAGTTTGAAGAATCTGTGATCAGCGCTAAAATGGAAGCAGCAGAAATAGCAGAGGCCGAAGGCGAGGAAGTGGACCAAATTGACTTGGACATGCGTTTGATGAGACTCGAGCGTCTTATGGAACGGCGCCCATTTTTAGTCAACGAGGTCTTGCTGCGTCAAAATCCCAACAGCGTTCATGAATGGCAAAAACGCGTCGAATTGTGGGGCGATAACTCACAAAAAGTCGTGGAAACATATACACAAGCTGTGACCACTATTCATCCCAAAAAAGCAGACGGAAAATTCAACACGCTATGGATCAACTTTGCCAAGTTTTACGAAGAAGGCAATGATATTGTATCTGCAAGGACTATATTTGAAAAGGCTGTTAAAGTCAACTATAAAACCGTTAACGATCTGGCGGATGTCTGGTGCGAATATGCAGAAATGGAACTCAGAAAGGAGTAAGTTTTTTTTTAAGAAAAGACATTAGTACGAATTGTCAAGTAGGTCAAATCTGACTTGAGGTTGGTTGAAATTCGGTGATTAGGAATTATGATGCTGCGCTTCAAGTCATGGGACGGGCCACAATACCGCCCAAACAAAAGAATATTGCATTCCATGACGAGGTAATGTCACGCAACATTGTTTTATTATTATTATTGTTGCTATTGCTGTTGCTGTTGCTGCTGTTGCTAATGCTTGATATTTTCCTCCACAGACATTGCCTGTGCAGATCCGTGTCTACAAGTCGTTGCGCTTATGGTCATTCTATGTTGATCTGGAGGAATCAATTGGAACTATTGATTCAACAAAAGCTGTGTATGATAAGATTTTGGAACTCAAGATTGCAAACCCTCAAATCATTGTTAATTATGCGAATTTCTTGGAGGAGAACAAATTTTTCGAGGACAGCTATAAGGTTTACGAGCGTGGCATTGACCTATTTGGATACCCCATTGCATTTGAGCTTTGGAACACATACTTACTCAAATTTATTAATCGTTATGTAAGTTGGCCAGGTGTTTTTCGTTTAAATCAAGGCTTAGCTTGATACACTGAATATTTTTGTCTCACAACAACAACAACAACAACAACAACAACAACAACAACAACAACAACAACAACAAAAAAAAAAAAAAAAGAAAAAAAAAGAAAAAGAAAAAGAAAGCTAATTTGGAGAATGACTATTGCTTGTAGGGCGGAACTAAACTTGAGCGTGCCAGAGATCTATTCGAACAGGCATTGGATAAGATGCCTGCCAAGTATGCGAAGCCTCTCTACCTTATGTATGGCGAGCTGGAAGAGACGCATGGGCTTGCGCGCCATGCAATGAGCATTTATGACCGTGCTACTAAGGCTGTCGCATCTGAAGATAGAGCGGATATGTACCACTTCTACATCGCCAAAGCAGCCACAATGTTTGGTGTCACATCAACGCGTGAAATCTACGAACGTGCTATTGAAACTCTTCCAGACAAGGATGCTCGTATGATGTGTATGCGCTTTGCGGAGATGGAACGCAAGTTGGGCGAGATTGATCGTGCCAGAGGTATCTTTGCACATGGTAGCCAATTTTCAGATCCTAGGGTAAGTTGCTATATGCCTTTTTTTACTAAACAAAATGTTGAGACGATGAGCAGGTATTTTAACGATATGAAAATTCATGTTGTGTTTAATAATGGATAATAGATTGCGTCAGATTATTGGCAAGCATGGCATGATTTCGAGGTACAGCACGGAAACGAGGATACATTCAAGGAGATGTTGCGTATCAAACGCAGTGTGCAGGTCAAATTCAACACCGATGTTAGTTATATCACGGCACAGATGCTTCAGACTCAAGAGGGGCTCAAGGTCGGTGGCACAAGTGGTGACGCTATGCAGACTCTAGACCGCATGACATCCGGAGGTCCTGGTGAAATGAATTTTGTCAAGTACGTTATACGCTTTAATGGTCGAAAAGTTACTTTGATTTTTCTGAGCAATGACGCTAACTAGTTATTTGTTTGTTGTTATTACCAGGTCAAAAGCACATTCAGTTCAGGCGACACATGGCGATGATGTCAAGTCTTCAGAATCTACAGCACCAGAAGTACCAGCTAACCCAGATGAAATTGCAATTGATGACGATGAGGATTTGTGAAATCTGAGTTGTGAGATAGAGTAAACTGATTTTTTGCATAACACTGACAAACAAAATTAATTAATGCTGATTTTGCCTATTATTATGTTGTGTAAATATAATAATGGTATTTTTTTTTTTTTTTTTTTTTTTTTTTTAAAAAACGAATGTGAAATAAGAACAATTGATAAGTGATATCACTCTCTATCCCAATGCAATGCGGGTTCAAAGAATGGAGCACCAATTAAGCTTCTTTTGGCTCCAAATGGCGTGCCTTCTCGATTGCCTCTTCGATACCATAGCAGAGAGCTCTTGCGAGAATAATGTTTTCTTGCTCATTAGTCACAGCAGGATTCTCAGCAAATAACCTGAAACCTAGCTGTACGACGCGACCATGGCTCTGAATGGGTGCTGGGTCAATTCTGTAAAGCATCTCCAAAGGATCAGTGCGCATAGGGGTATGTTCCACAAACATTGGACTTGAGGAGACCTTAACAGCGCGTTGCTCCTCACTCACAGTCAAGACTTGCTCACAGGCCATCAAGAAATGCAGATACAACGTCGCATGCGATGAGTTAAAGAAGCAGCCGTTGTTCCTGAATTTACACTTGGTCATCTCCAGGAGATTACCAATGTCGCTGTCGGATTCCAAAAATGCAAAAATATTGAGGATCGACTCCAAGCAAGCCAATGCCCATGCCAGATTAACGCTTGTCACTTTTGCAAGACCTATTAGCCAATGAAGGATAATACAGAGGGATTTACCGTATAATGGTTAACAACAGCAGCAACAAAGACGATGCAGATATACTGTAAACCAAAGTTGTAGCAAAATTTCTTACATAAGAGACGTAGCATTGTGGTGACAATGCCGGCAACTTGGTTTTTCCAGATACCATTCATCCAACGGATACTTTCTTTAGGACAAGACTGAATGACGCGGAGTAATAGCCTCGCAGGGACCAGCGAGAACTCATTTTCACTTGACATAGCGTTAGTAGCAGCTAATGTATGAATCCAGCTCAGAAACGCACTTTGAGTGATCAGCTGAAGTGAGACCTTTGGAAGTGACGAGGCGTAAAATAGGATCTAGATGATTGTCAAAAGAAAAAGAGCACTTGTAAGAGTCAAATATTACAATACATAATGCGGTCTAGAAACAAGCGGAAATAATCACGAGACTAAAATTAATGCGCGTGGAATAAACTATACATACCTCGATGACAATCTTCTTAGACAAAGGCTCGCCCAACTGTGAATTGAAAAAGGCTTCCAACAAGTCCAAAACATAGCGGCGTTTGAACAATTTGTAATCTTCAGGGGTCTTGATTGATGCAGCCAAAAGTCGGAGCATCCAAACGCGCTCCTTCCGATGATGCTCTGAAGAAGAGTTGAATAAGCTATAAAACATAGGGATATCCTCCAAATCAATCGTGGGACGCTGTAGACAAAACTTGTTGACGTGTGGGTACATAAAGTGATCAGGCCTTAAAATTATAGCTACAGCGTGCGCAACAAACGATGTAATCGCGGCAGGAATTCGAGGCACCTTATCATCCTCGCGAACGGTAATCGAGTTCTTGAGAGCATCCAGTAGTAGAACAAGCTGATTTTTCTCTCTAATCGTTGTATTCTACATGAAGAGTAAAAAAGAAGGAAAGAAAGAAAGTGTTAACAGATCGTTTAGTTTTTTTTTTTTTTTTTTTTTTTGGAACTGAAGAGAAAACAGCTTACTGAAAGGATAGTATAGAAATCGTCCAACAAAGAGTATGCTGCAAGACGCATGTTCTTGTCAATTGAGGACAGGGCAACAATGATCATGCCCAGCCCATTCCTCTCAATTAGACGGCGACAATCCAGTAGGTTCCCAAATGCCATGTATGTGCCAAACAGTGGTAGTATAAAGCAAGGATCATAGATGGGTGCTTGTCTTTGTTTAAGGATTTCTTTGCAGTAATCGCTCTTGGTTACCATAGGAGCAGTGCACTCTAATTCACGATCGAAAGGGAAGTGAATCACTGAGACCATCATTACGCTAGGATCGATCAAATCTAAACTCTCGTTGATCATGCCTTGTCCAAAAAGAGCAGTAGAAGCTTTCGTGTTTTCAGCAGCTGAGCCCCAGAGTGGCGCTCGATTTGAAATCGATCCAGAAATTTGAGTCTCTGTGATCCTAAGAATGGTGAGAATAAGCTGATCTGCAACAGTGGTCGATGCGGAATAAGCAGAGAGTAGTGTAACGAGGAACCCAGCCTTGCAACAAGCTTTGGGCTCGAGACTGGTTAGGGTATAGATTAACTCAATAATTGCAAGCCGGTCCTTTTCATTCTCTGGTACAATATGCTTAGTGGTGGGGGCCGTAGGCATAACAAGCGAAGAAAACTGTCGATGTTTGAACAGGGTCTGGAGTATTTGTGGTAAGACTGAACTCTGGACAGTCTTTTTTTTTTTTTTTTTTTTTTTTTTTTGGAGGAAAAAAAAAAAAAAAAAAGGTGAGTTGACAAGGCCACAGTGTCATGCATTTTTACCAAGTTCTGATCAAATAATAATGTTTTCAGGTAGCATACCTCTGCATAATAATGCTTAGCCAAGGATGCAACGAATCGGACAAGCTCTGCGTTGTCTAATGCCTTCTCAATAGCGAATGAAACTAGCTCGAACAAAATCTTTTGATCGATGGTCATCTTGCGTATCATGACATGCTTCTCAAGAACATCATAAAGTCGATCGCAGACTGGTTCTAACCATTCTACATCCCCATTCTTATCCAGTATCATGATCAGCTGAATAGCAACTTCTTCAAACCATCGGGCAATTTTATCCTGTCTGTCCAGCTGATCTTGATTGCCTTCAAGGTCATTCGTACTATCGAGAAGAGAGTTCAAAATGAGTATACTATCAAGTCCGACGCGGGGGATTTCCCCAATAAGTGTCCACACAGATGAAATTTCGTGCTTGTTCGATTTTGTCGTGAGTGAAATAAGTACTGCAGCCGTTTCCGCCGCCACTAGAGTATCCTGAGAGTTGAAGGAAGAGTTGGCGATACGCTGGATGAGCAAAGGGAGCAACAATGATCTTAATGTCTCCATGGAATGACGATCCTGTTCAGTTATAGAAGAAGACCACTTGTAACATCCATTCACACAGTGTGAAACCCTCTTCATATACGCATGCACTACCATGAAAAAGCCAGGGTCTTCCCCCGAATATTGTGTGAGATGCCTGGTCGGGTTTAAGATAGACTGAACAAATTGTTCACGAAAAGCCCTCGACGTAGTAATCAATATGGCCAAGATGGTGTATCGCTTCAAGTTTGGATTGTTCAGAATGAAATCAACCAGTGATATGTCAAGTGACAGAATTGTAGGTCTCTCTAAAGAATTCAGCGCTCGGTCGAATACACCAGAGACCGATAAGTCTTGAGAGCCAAGGGTCGCTGCCATGGCGTTTGGCCAAAGGCATCCGCAGAGCACATCCAAAACAATCCTATCTAAATCATCGGAAGGTTGCTCTCTCCAAAGCCTCAAGAGCGCAGCTGTTGATTGTGTTGGAATTACACAGGCCGATCCCGCTTGTTGCGTCAAGTGCTCAAGAATGGTCGAGAGCAGCGCGTTGAAGGTGGCAGTGGTAGAGAACACAGTCTGATGATGCAGCGTGAGAAGTAACTGGAGAAGGATCATCAAGTCGGATGTGCTGCACATGAATGCGAGTTTTGAGAAGTATCTGACAGTCTACGTTACAGAAAAACAACAATCAATAAAATTTGCATAAAGAGAGTAAATAAAAGAATCCTCCAATTAACCTACCTTCGAGTTCAGAGCATGTGGGCCTAATTTCTTCGTATTCTCGAGCTCATGCGTGACAAGTTCAACGGTCTTGTGGACATAGTAGCTGGAAGCGTTATATTCTATAGCACCAGTTTTATTGTTGGCAGTGATCGTTTCTGTCTTGTTACTTGTAACAAGAAGATCAACCACTCGTGTATCCAGTACGTCCATACACCCATATGTAGTCAGATTGTCTGATAAGCGATAGAGATATAGCTCACGAAGAATGTAATGGTTCCACAGATAGCTTTTCAATTGCACGTATACATCCTCAGTGGCTTTACTGATGTCTAGCAGGCAGTCTAGCAATGAGAAGCATGTGTGAATAGCACTCTCATCAGCATCTCCCACTTGAATCCAGGATGAAAGGCGACGAATGATGAGACCACATATAAGGCTATAGTGCCTAGCCTCCGCTTCCATGAGATTGTGTGTTAACAACTTTTTTACAAATCTATTCGAAATCATAGATGCCGATGCGTTGTTGAAGAGAATTCTAAATGGAAGCCTTCTTAAAAATGTATAAACGATATCCTGCTCCCCTTCGTATGAATCATTCAAGTTTTTGATTGAAGAAATATCTGGGAAATCATAGATTGACCCTGCAAAGGGGAATCTTGTTTGAATATAGTCCATCAAGCATTCTATGAGCCTTTCATCAGCCCCAACGTAATTAATCAGACGCTTGAAGTTGATAGCCACCACTCCAGCGCTCTGATTCTGCAGTTCTGAAACAAATTTTGAAATGCCATTTGGGTCCAATAGCTGATCCAGAGAGGCGTTGTCACCCTTAAGGAACCCTTTTTTGCCGGTAGACTTTAAAAGAGGCCTCTCTTGAAGGACCTCCAAAGTTATGGCGAGATATTCCAACGCACCAAGCCTCCTGATTGCACTTCTTTTCTCTAATTTGAGTTTTTGAATCGTTTCTAGCTCTTGTGTCGAAGGCTCCTGAATCCTATTAAGGGTTTCGAGAGCAAGAGCCGATGTTCTGTTTTGGTACAAAACCAATTCAGGTATTAGTCTATGAAGAAATGCTGCAATCGAGCGAGCAACAGCCTTGGAGGTATCCTTAGTATAAGCATGTTGAAACTGCTCTATAATAGTCATTATTAAAGGACTAAACGACTGGTTGAAGTCTTGACGTTGAGACGCCGCAAGGCTCCATGCGATTTTTTCCAAGTTTCCTTGGATTTCAACATCACCAGTTCTTAATTCCTCTCGTAGGGCCTTAAGGATCGCCAAAGATCGATCGACATACTTGTAAGGTGTCCTCAGGCAGCGGGCGACACAGTCATCAAAAAACTGAAGGAATAATATCTGATCAGAAGCAAGTTCAGGTCCACTGTAGTTGGAAGCAGGAATGGAATCAATCCATATCATGGCTTCCGAGGGGTCGTGTTGGAATAATATTGATTCGCCAAGGAGTTTAGAGATAAGACGCCTTGTCAACGATTTGATTTGGGAGTGAGCCGTCGTGAGAAAGAGATTAATTAATTTGAGAAGATGAGATGAAGATCCATCCTGTGCCTTGTTGGACCAACGGAAGTCATATAGCGTTAATAAAAGCTCTATCAAATGAATTAATGTCCCTGCTTTCATTGTAGAAAAGTCTGAAGGAATGACTTTTCCAATATCAAACTTGGATTCGTTGACTGCTTGAGGAAGGAACTGCTGATAATATTTGATGAGGCGCAGGATCCCATTATTGAAAAGATTATGTCGGGTTTTCTCTTCCTCATCTGCGTCAGAGAGTGATATTGATTGAATTCCATTATGGAGAGAGATGATGATTTGGATATCTGGAACGCGTCGGCGAAGCTCAGCAACAAGAAGCGTGATCGCTCCGGCCCATTGCTGTGCTGGTTTTTCAGAGGGCTTAATATTCATGGATGTATCATTCCTGTCTATCAGCCCGTTCGATGTCAGTGTCTCTCCAGCATCGCTCGAGAGTGCCTTTACTGCAGACTCCATAACAGCGATCACTTGCTCCATCTTCTGAAAAGTAGCTGCAAGTTGAACCATGGTGAAATACCGAACCAACATGCTGGTATGCTGCAAACCTTTGCTGAGTATAGTCCTGTTGGCAGTTGTCGGAAGAATATTTTCGATAATGATCGAGAGAGGAGGAGGATGAGAAGCAAAGAGTGCTGTGTGTTGCAAGTACAAGTTTGGCACCGGGATCTCCGTGATTTTATGAAGCAATGTCATGTTGGCTAACCACCTTGCAGACAATCGTGGTTCCAACTGTAGATTTGACTTTTGCCAGAACCTATATATAACCAATGCAAACTGTTAAATACCGATTTCAGTCTTTAAAAACAAAAGGAGAGGAAATAAAATAAATCACTCAACATACAATCGGACCAGCTCTGGGCATGCTGTCAAAATAGACACGGTAAGTCTCTGCTGGAGGATATGCTCTGTAGGTCGAAGGTGCGTGAGAAGTTGTGAGAGAGTTTTGTTGAAAACATGCTTTGCTCCTTCACCAGATTTCTCAATGGTGCTTGTCTTCAGAGTATTAGGCGGGTACCAAGCTGTGTCTCGGAAGCAGATACCGACGCCAGGCGTCGTGCAGAGCGCCATCATAAACTCGTGAATTACTTGCGCTACGGTTTGATCAGAGCCAGGGGCTACTTCCGTTCTATTGTATAGTTTCAATAGATTCACAAGAAAAGATGTATTGAAAAAACTGATTTTCACCGTCCTTGATATATCATTGTCCATGACGATACTATTTGTAAGAACAGTGAGAACCTGCTTGACCAGTTGGAAAGAATCATTCGGAAGGTCCTTCAGTGCTGTTTGAAACAAATCTGGCATTTCCAGAATTTCCTTCTTTACCGTAACATCCCCTCGGACAAAGAAAGCTAAAAGGAATTGAATATATAATGTCCTTGTGTCTAACCAGAACGATATTGTTTTAAAATATCAGCGGCTAAGTCTCATCTTGACATTTGAGTACGAAATAGATGTGATAAACGGATTTTTTCTACAGTGCTTCAGACTTTCCCAATGCCTCCAACGTACCTGTTTTACTTGCTTCGTCACTTTCCTTACGGCGCTGATTCTTGAACTTTGACAGCGCTTTCAGGCCAAAGTTAAAGCCATCTTTAAGCTCTTTTGTTGTCGAATGATGTACATGGTTCATGGCTGTCAATAGTCGTAGGGTAGCTTGGACAGTGTTTTGGCGTCCCGATGAGAGATTTTTGTAGATTGCAGTCATACGGCTCTGATTTTGTAGGATCGATCTTGTTATCTTAATAGCGTATGTACGATAGAGGGCTGTGTTACACTGATGGATAAGTTTAGAGAAAACTTCAACAATTGAAGCCTCAATCTTGCGCACATCGTGTTGCTGTTGCCATTCCCAGATCTTGAAAAGCTGAGTACACTCTGAAAACTCCTCAACATATGCATACACAACAGCAAGCGATTTTGTGGCCTGTAAACTTTCAATAGGGTCACTTGAGTTGGGCCGAACGTTCAGCTGCTGTCGAAGACGCTTCAACCCTAAATATTATCCGTTGTCAAATACTTAAAATTTATTAAGTTGCATACCTCAAATACTTGGATAGCTGAATATTGAACAATTATGTCGACATGCCTATATATATCAGCTCCTCCTTCAAGTCAGCAAGAGCTTTGAAAAGTTCATTCTTGTCTTTGTACTGTATCTTGGCCTCCATTCCTGTACTATTGAATGAGAATGAGAAGTTAGCCCGTTTTTTTTTTTTTTTGTTGTTCAGTGACTGCTACTACAATATGTTCACGTGACTCAATTTTAATCTGCGATGGTGTATATCCAAAACGGGGTTGCCGTTTTCTGAAAAGCTTTTACAGATGCAAGTTGATAATATATTTTTTTGAGAGCCATTACTCCTAACGTCATGGAAAGATATGAAGATATGGTATCTCCTAAAAATCTATTTTGCCGTTCAATTGAGTCGACCACATTTTGGCTGAGTTTAATACACTGAATGTAACAAAGAGTATATGTAAACAAATAAACAAAAAAAATTACATCTCTTTCTTGCCTCTCTTTCGTCCTCCTATCCTTTTCTCTCCCCACTTTTTTATTCTTCTCTTCCACTCCTGTCCTTTCCTGCGACTTTGTCACCATGTTGCGCACCCTTACTCTTTCCAAGCCTTTGGCCGCCACCCTAAGCAAGGTGAGCCTCATTCTACACGATTCATCTTGATCACAAACATTACGCTTTTCCATCTCTTCTTGATGTTTCAAAAAAAAGAACAACATTCAGTGTCGACTAACATTGAGATCACAACATTTGTCACAATAGATGGGCCCTCGTGCCATGAGCACTTCTGCCTCCACCATTGTGCCTCAGGGTCAGGACGTAAGTGTATAATACGTTGCATATGGGATCTTAGATCAGATCTAATTTCAGACCTTGTAAATACTGTCGCAGCTACATAACGGAATTTTGAGATATTGGAAGGCTGACTAGTGCTGATTTTTCACGAATACATCAGATTCCAAACTCGAAGCTTGGAGGCCGCTACACTGTCACTCTGATCCCTGGTGATGGTATCGGTCAGGAAACTGCCTCGGCTGTCAAGACCATCTTCAAGGCTGCCAATGTGCCTGTTGACTGGGAGCAATTTGATGTCTCTGGGTATACTTCTGCTGATGATACCACTTTTAAGCAGTCGGTCGAATCCCTTAGACGCAATAAGGTCGGTCTTAAGGGAATCCTCTATACGCCTGTCTCCTCCTTGGGCCACTCCTCCTTCAACGTCACGATCCGCAAAGATCTGGATATGTATGCTTCTCTGGTTCTCTGCAAGAACATTCCTGGCTATCCCACCCGCCACGAAGGAGTTGACTTCGCCATCATTCGTGAGAATACTGAGGGCGAATACTCTGGTCTCGAACACCAGTCGTACCCTGGAGTTGTCGAGTCCCTCAAGGTTATCACTCGCACGAAATCAGAGCGCATTGCTCGCTTTGCCTTCGATTTTGCCCTCCGCAATGGCCGCAAGAAGGTTACCTGCATTCACAAGGCCAATATCATGAAGTTGGCTGATGGTCTCTTCCTCAAGACCTGTCGTGAAGTCTCCAAGGAGTATGCCAGCTCCGGAATCAAGTTTGAGGATATGATTGTCGACAATGCTTCTATGCAGTTGGTCTCTAAACCTCAACAATTTGATGTCATGGTTATGCCTAACCTGTATGGAAATATCGTCTCTAATGTTGGTGCCGGTCTTGTTGGCGGTCCGGGTATTGTTCCCGGCTGCAACATCGGCCGCGAGTATGCCATGTTTGAGCCTGTAAGTTTTATACAGGCGTTGCTGAATAATCAATATCCTTTTTTTTTTTTTTTTTTTTTTTTCTCCTCATCTAACATTGCTTAACAACACTCTTTTGTGATGTCTAGGGCTGCCGTCACGTCGGAAAGGACATCCAGGGACGCAATACTGCTAACCCCTCAGCCATGGTTCTCTCATCGGTCATGATGCTTCGTCACCTCGGTCTCGATGATTATGCTAACAAGATTGCTAACGCCGTTTCCAAGACTATTTTGAGCGGCGCTGTCAAGACTCCTGATATGGGTGGTTCCAACACTACCACCGATTTTACCTTCGCTATCATCTCTAACTTGTAAAACATTTGCTATTCATTTATTACACTCCTAAAACTTATCCAGAATTGTTTTCACGCTCTCCTCTCATGTCATAATAAAGCCCTCATTTGAACCATACATGCTCTCTTCATCCAAGAATCTTCGCTAAGCTGATCACTGAGCCAAACTTTGGTAATTCCGCTGCGAAGTTTACATCTACAACTTCCACTGGGCAATGTTGCTTGTTGAATTTGACTAAAAGAAAAAATACTCGACCTGACAGTAGGATAAGAGATACCGTCTCACTCTCTAAACCATAGTGTAATTGCAAATAAAGGTCTGGTTTGCTGACATTAAATCGTGATTCTTTCCCCTGGCGAACAAACTCCAAAATATTTGATTTTGCTTTAAATAGTTTTTAGAAGCGCTCTATCTGTATTCCTAATCCTATCACTTTCATTTCTTTATCCAACAGGTGTCCCCCAGTTTACTTGGCATTGAGAGTAGCCTGGAGAGATTCAAGGACTTCGACCTCAATCTTGGCAGCAATCCTCTCTTCTTCAGTGGCTCCAGAGTTGGAAAGGCGCTGGGCCTCGGCAAGATTATGGCGGACGGCCTATCACGCAACATTGGGAAGGGGGGGTTGGTACAACGAGCAGGCAATGAAAATAAAAGGTTTATCGAAATCATATGTAACGTACCTCGGAACTGAAGTCCTCAACGGGAAAAGCCTCAATGGCGTTGATGTTAAGGCTGGAGTCAGGGTTCATGGTAGCAAAGCCCCCAGAGACTAATGGAATGAAAACATTACAATAGCAGAAAAAAAAAATCAGCGCAGAACTCCAAATATGTTTGCATCCTTAGATCCTTTCTGACGTTATAGATTGTCTGGTCGAGTGGGTTCCATGAAGCAGCATCCAATTGTTTAAGTATGGTCATATAGGCTCTGTGACTACCCGGCGGAATCAAGATTGTCTGTTTATCCGAATGCTATCTAGGTGTAGTAAAATTGAATTACCAAAGAATTTCTTAGAGCCAGTAGCCTCGAGAACTTCAACAAGACCTGGGCGAAGCTGCTCAATGGATGGCACGTGGCTAGCAAGGATACCCATGTCGCCGGAGACAGCAGCAATGTTGACTTGAGTAACCGAGACATCCTTGTAAATGGTCTGTGATGTACATTTCGCAGTGTTTCTGGTTAATTTAGTTGAATGAAAGGAACATTCTCCAGATTGATCTAAACCAGATGAATAAATGAATATTCTAAATGTCTAGAATTCATCCCGATTTAATTACCTGGTGAGGGACAGCAAAGGTCAAACGGAGGCCAGTAGCGGCAGCCTCAGTGGCATAGGAACGAACTGCAAAAAAAATACAAGCATGAATGCAGTATGTTAGATTTAAATGAAAGAATATTGTCCACGCGAGAACTTGTTAGTGATTAGTGCACGTAAAAAAAGAAATAATGCAAAAAATGAAGCTAATGTAGATTTGAAGAATAGAATGGTCTAAGAAATCGCTTGGCGTCATAATGTCAAGAATACAATGTTTGAATGTGTGGCGTTTGTCGAAAAGCTTTTTTCTTTTTTTGAAGAATAACAGTGAGGAGGAGTGATTGAGGAGTGATCACAGGCAGGAAGAAGAAATAGAAAAGGGATTATCAAGCTAAAGCATACCCATACGCACAGGGCGGACAGCACGAGCAGTGCGGGCAAGGAAGTTCATGATGTAGGAATTGATTTGAAGAGTGGAGAAGAGGCGAATGTAATGTGATGGGATTATTGAACTAATTATGATCCTCTTTCTCATACTTTCTCTAAATGCAGTCCGTAGATGCCCGGTGTGGAAAATCAATGTTAAGCCACATTATTTATTATTCAACAAACGCACAGACATTTATAAGTTGGTCGCGAACTCTTATATTTTTTGAATACTCTCCCAATTGTATTGACAGCCAATTGACTCGCTTGTTGCAAACATCACGTAGTGAGATACCACCAAACCAATTCAATTATCGTTTTTGGATTAAAAATATATGGGGCTGTGACCAAAATGAAATGGGCGCTGTATTTTTGATCCGGTGGCATGAATACACGGGTTCTGACTCAGCCCTCTCTCTCTTCATATTTACTGCATATATTCTGTTGGGATCCATCTTAGCCCTCTCTCTCTTTCTTCATTTATACTGCATTTATTCTGTCGGGATGTAGGTCCTCAGCCCAATAATTCTGCCTAAACCTTGGATTCCACAGCCCAATAATTCTGGTTGTTAAATTTCCCTTTTAGAGTTTGTGGACCGTTTTTTAACCCTTTGTTTTTCGTATTAAGGCTCTCTCTTCCTTTCTCTCTTTCTCTTTCTCCAAGTCTTTCATTCGTCTCCATTCACACATTCAAACAATCAATGTCTTCATTCTCATCTCGCTCTGCAACTCCTCCTCAGGCCACTAGTATTGTCGCTGCCAAGGGCTGGACACCTACATCGTGGCAATCAAAACCTGTCAAACAAGATGTTGACTACCCGGATCAGGAACATTTGCGCCGAGTTTTGGAGAAGATCGGGCGACTTCCTCCTATGGTTGTCCCCAGTGAGGTATTCACATACTCTTTTTTTTTCCTCACTTTTATTTTTTCTCTAAAGGTGTCTCTTTCCCCATTCAGAAGGAATTGACCAGCCTAGTAAAGGCAATAAAAAAGTCAGCTTTTTAACTTTCATGTGATTTATTACTATTTTGATCCAGATCCTTCGCTTACGCCGGCAATTAGCCGATGTAGCCATGGGAAAGGCTTTCTTGCTTCAGGGAGGGGACTGTGCTGAGCTCTTTGATTACTGCGCTCAGGTTAGTTTATACCCAATCATCATATTGCGTGCTTCGATGCTTTAAGTTTAATGACTCGTTTTGGTCACAAAATTTAAAATATGCATTATTTTATCAATCAATCGCCTTTTAACTGACAAGGCTGCGCCTCATCATTGTTTATCATGATTTGACATGTGTCATAAATAGAGCCCTATAGAAGCAAAGCTGAAAGTACTGCTCCAAATGTCCTTGGTATTGGTCTGGGGCGCACGTATGCCTGTCGTTCGTATTGCACGTATGGCTGGCCAGTATGCAAAGCCTCGCTCAAAACCTACAGAAGTGCATGAAGGAAAGACCATTTTAAGCTATCGTGGCGATAATGTTAATGGATATGACCCTTCTGACCGTACTCCTGATCCCGAACGTCTTCTTGGGTAAGCAATAAAGCTACGGAACTGTATCTTACCTCGTATATTTCCTGACTCTGACGCTGGCTCTCTTGTATAGGGCTTACTTCCATTCGGCTGCAACTTTGAATTACGTGAGATCCATCCTCTCAGGTAAGAAGTAACACTGTACTGATAATAAGATTGACTCTAGAGATCATGTGCTAGAGCTATAGGATTTTAATGGAGTTATTTTATTGGTACTCGTCATCATTAGAGGGTTTCGCCGATCTCCATCATCCATCTAATTGGAACCTGCACCACGTCAAATCACCCGCTCTTCGACAGGAATATCAGGGTATAGTCGATAGGTTGACCGATGCTTTGGATTTCATGAAGACCATTGGCGCTGATCCCAATAATGGACGCTCTCCGACTGGAATTTCCCCCAGTACCCTCAATACTGTTGACATATTCGCCTCACATGAGGGCCTTTTGTTGGAGTACGAGCAAGCTTTGACTCGCCTCTTGGCTGATCCTGAGAATCCAACTCAAATGAAATACTACAATGTCGGAACTCATTTTATTTGGATTGGCGACCGCACGAGACAACTAGATGGTGCTCATATTGAATATTTCCGAGGAATTGAGAACCCTATTGGTGTCAAGTGTGGTCCCAGTATGACACCAGACGAACTTATAGACCTTTTGAACATCTTGGATGCGGACAAGCAGCCCGGTAAAGTGACACTTATCACACGCTACGGTGCTGAACACATTGACAAACATCTGCCTGGACATATCAGAGCCGTACAAGACTCAGGGCATATTGTTGTTTGGGCTTGTGACCCTATGCACGGAAAGTAAGTCTTATAATTCAAAGCATTACCTTAAGTATTTTGATTTTTTGGTGCTTGATTTTTTGGTGCTGACAGCTCCTTCCTGAATCCAATACACGAAACTTAGCACAAAGCAATCAGTATCCGGCGTCAAAACAAGGCACTTAGTTGATATCACTAGAGAGCTATCAGTGGCAATCCGTATTCATAAACAGCTAGGATCTCATCTTGGAGGCGTTCACTTTGAGCTTACAGGAGACCGCGTTACAGAGTGTGTGGGCGGTTCCATGGAATTGTCGGACGCTGAGTTGCTGGGGCGTTATGAGACACAATGCGATCCTCGTCTCAACTACGAACAAGCACTGGATATGGCATTTTTGATCGCAAGATATCAAGAAAACCAGCGCGGCTTTAGTGGTATGATGTCTTTATAAAGTGCGCTGATCTTAACAGTATCTTAACATTGGATGGCTTTCGACTTTGGACTGCGTTTTACATGAACTTTATTTGCAAAGATAGTGACGTTAAAGTTAAAAAAATGAATAAATGCGTCAAACTCAATTAAGTGCACATATACATGTCATATGGCAATGTTATTTCGCCGTCGACTTTTCGAAGCGGCGGTAATTACATTTAAGTTGTCACACCAACAAATATAAATAAGCTATTTTGCTTTCTTTTTTTTTTGCGATCCTCTTCACTTCACACGAAACAAGCTTGATATTCTACCACATTATGGCTATCTTAGATTTCGACAAGGACAACGATAAGTCCATCTCGTTTCATTTCCACTCACCGGAAATGGGGCCTGAGAACCAACCTCTTTATTATTCCACACCAGAACAGCCTGCAGGTAAGGTGAAAATCTTATACTCTGAATTTCCATCGGCTCCTTTCTTAATGTCTAATTTGTGATATTGCCGTCTATCATCAAATTTGCTTATATTACAAAAATAATTATAACATCATATTCGTAGTTATCACTGGTCATGTTGAGTTTCGTTCTGTCAAGCCAACTAATGGAAGCGACATCACCATATCATTCGAAGCAAGAGCAGAGTCAAAATGGACAGGTGTGTGCATGGTTAAAAAGCAGTATGGACCTTGACTTTGTGTTATATTCTCGCTCGTGTATCATGCGTAATACAAAAACTGATACTCATTCTGGACATAACATATCTCATTGTCACATAAAGAGCACTATGGTCAATCATCCGCGAGCTTCCATCAGATTTCACGCTTCCAAGAAAAGACTTGGAACGCTCCATTGAACCGAACCAATCCAAAGACTATTGCCCCTGGCGTAACACGCTATGACTTTGAAGTACAACTCGACCCAGGATTACCGCCTTCCATTCATGGTCAACGGGGTTGGTTCCATTATCGCTTCAAAGCACACATTAAACGCGACTTTCCTCGGCGGGACATGGCGGTAAAACAGCTGGCCTGGGTCTATAGTAGTTCAATTAGAGCTGATGAGCAACCCCAACCTAGACTCTATAGGGAGGTCTTTAATGATGTGATGCCATTTAGCTGTACTCTACCATCCAATGTTTTATACCAAGAGCAATATGTTCCCTTGACAATTCAGTTTGAGCCTTTCCGAGACAATAGCATTTTCAAAGATCAGAAGCTGATAGTGATGAGCGCTTGTGTAAAGCTGAAACAATATACGACTTTGATGGAGAGGCATAAGCTGTTCACAAAAAAGAGAAAGGAAAAAAAGGACATATTCAGTCTTTCAATCCCAACTACAGAATGGCCACAGACAAGCCAAGGATTCACAAAGACTATCACAGTAAAGCTACCCGGTGCAAGGCAACTTGCAGCTTCGATCGAAAGTGATCCCCTAATCAAGAGACATTGCCTAAAGTTGATCATGATGGTACGGACGAATACAATAGCGGAAAGGGATGCTAAGGAGCTCCGGATAGAAAGTAAGTTGATGGACACCACCAGTCAATGATGCTTTTAATAATATACTATGTATAAGGCAACTGAGATTTGTTTTTCCGTCTTAATCATCTTCGTTTAGTGGATGTTAAGGTTACCTCGCCTCGACCAGAGCATCTCCAAGATACAAGACAGCATGACGACTCGACATTTATAGCCCCACCACCTTATCAGGATCTGGATAGTGACGATGATGTTCAGAGTGATTCGAAGCCACCTCCTTTCCGTCGCTCCTCATCTTCGTCAAGTGACTCTCGATCATTCAAAGATTTTAGCGCAGATATCAAGGATCCTTCTGGCCTTTAAAGTTTTTTATAGGATAACAACGTAGATGACCCTTGATTTTAGAAGCATCGAAAACAGCACAATCTTGGCCCAATCATCACCGAAGGAGCAATCTGGTGCTTGGGAATACATATATATCTATGTAAACTCTAGTCTAACTATTCTAACTATTAAATTTTCTTGCGCCCTCCCTATACTACTGGCTTCTTGTTGCTCTGGCCACGGGTCGACGCTGTATTCTGATTAAGACTCGACCCTGTGCCTGTCCTAATACTTGTGTCTATGTCTGGTCTTGTGCTTGTGTCTGTCGCTGATATTGCTCTTTGATGTATCCAAGGAGACTGTTCCTCCGCATCCACAGGCTGAAAGTGATGCAGCCGTTCTTGTCTGAGTGACCACGAATAGTATTATATACATTATGCGCCGCCATTACATTGCGATGAAAATATGTTTGACACAATACAAGCAACTTGTCCAACAAAGTCTTCACAGGATGGATGATTTCTTGGGCGTATAAACTCCTTGACCGCCATCCATATAGTCAAATAAACGCCTCCAAAGAAAGATCGATCCAGCCAGAGAAAGCAATCTTAGATGTTGAAAAGAATAGGAGAATAGATCAGCAAACACTGAAGCTGCACAAATAAAATGATTATCATCACCACTGTAATTGAGGCTGCGAAATAGTATTGGTGTATATGCTTATGCCACCCTTGGTTTGTGAGTTCTGTTGCTCCTATATCTTGTTGCCTTCTCTTGATGTATGTATCCGGATTGGTAATTGCTGCTTAAAAATTGTGGGAGTAGGTTTCGCTTTGCTGGGTGCTGGGTCTGTTGAAATTATTGGAGTGTGGTTTAAATTAATTCTCTTGTGTGAGAATGTGTTGAGGGGATGTAACGTGGTGATGAGAAAAAATCAAGTCCTTGGTAACACAGCATGACCGATAAATTCATCTGAATATATTGTTAGAGTCTATGCGTCCAGGAAGCACTTGTGATCACAGATTGGTTTCGGAGAGTCCATACGGGGCCCTATCTTCCATGTATGCTAAACTATCATGCGACTTGTCTTTTTCTGGTGTGTTTCCCTTTGTCGAATGAAAAGATGAATGTGTGAACTGAGCCCTCAATTCCTTTTTAGTTCCTCAAACAACTGATCGACAGAAGACATATTCGCCGGTAATGAACCACATCATTGAAATTAAGAGATTTGCTTTCACAAAAATATTTGACTGACTACAAACACGACACAAAACAAAAAAAATGATGCCATAAATATATACAACCCTGTAATGTTTTGTAACTATGGATGACAAGGAGATTATAGATTATTTTTATTATTGTTGCCAGGCGAAAGACTCTTATTAAGGCCCCACCATATAATGTCCTGACCCATGAATAAAAATGGACGTGGCCTTAAGGTGCTCTCTTAAGCTTCGGTAATATGTAGCAGTAGGGCTATGCGCGTGATGAGGAACCTACGGAAGAGACACCCATCCCAAACTCCATCTTTGAGCTATTTATCATACGAAAGCCTATCGTCGCAGCGTAAGCGCCAGAATCGTGGGAACCAGCAAGCCTATATTCCTTTGGTGAGCGATCACAACTACGGTTACATACACAATGACAACCGAACAATCATCTTTAATATTTAAACAGAGAGAGTGGAACCGTTCGCTATAGGCCACAGGAGTAAAAGCAAATTTAGACTAGTTTGCAGTCACAAGGTAGCTTAATGCTACACGATGCCACCGCTGCATCGTCGTATCATCGTATCATCGCCATCATCCCCACCAAAGCGCGTACCGAAAAGAAAACGCGCTAACAAGAAGGTCCATCGGAGACAAGGAGAAAGTATATAAAGGGAAGATATCCGAAGGGTAACACTAGTAAGATATGTCTTCATATGTCGCCTTAAAAGCAACTCAAAGGGTCTGAATCCGTCGCGGCAGTAACAGGGTTACAAAGGGGTTTCTTAGTAGTGTCTGCAAAGCGCCCGAGACAGCAATGGTAGGGGAGATTGACGAGTCTAGGAGAAAGAAGTTAAATCCCGTGGTCAATCCACAGCTGGCTAGATTGATTTAGAAAGGTAGAGTCCATGGCTTAGAAATAGCTACTGTTCCTTTACTGTAGAGTCAGATAGAGAGCAGAATAAAGTTCTGCTATTTTGAGTAGCTTAATTCGTGATCTACCCTTTTAGTTATGTTCTGCGAGACTCCTGATGTAGGGATTGCCTTTCCCTTCAATAATAGCTTCTTCAAGGCTATCCATGGCTGCATCATAAGTATCAGAATTATTTTCCAGAGAATCTGACGAAAAATACATAGATGGTAAAAAAATACCGTGATATATACAATGTCTATGGACTAAATTATAATTGCAGACCTATAAAAAAGAGTAGGAAAATTGTTTAAGATGTGGAGCCGGTCATTGTTTTTGAGGCGTAGTTGTTCTGGAGTAACGGAAGGATGTTATATGCAAGCCCCAGTGGCAGAGCCGAGGAATGAAGTCCACACTCACTCTTTAAGCATGGAGTACAGCACAATCTTGGCCGTGTGACGTGTTTTCCACTGATATTCGGATCATTTGTGAAGGAACAATTACCCAACAGTTCTCCCCACACTTTATTCTTTCATTATTTTACCATCAATTAAAGTACTAACCTTCCCATTTAGCATCTTGCGCGTTCACTAGTCATGAAGCAATTAAAAGTATCGGTTCCCGAAGCCGCTTCCAGTGGTGGAACTATAACATTTAAGATTCTTGTTACCACGGCAACTCATGATTCGGTAATGGCAATGTCAGTACCATGGTATTATGAATACATGACCTTATGTAAAAGTGCATTAAGAAAAATGCAAATTTCCTTGAGATACCTATTCCTGTTTTACTATTTTTACGTATAATATTAATTTTATGGTTCTACCCAACAGACATATCCAATTTTTCGAACATTTCCTCAGGTCCGCTGGCTACATCATAAACTGCAGAGTACTTTTGTCGACTGCGTAATTCCACCTCTACCCGAACCACTGAGCGAAAGGCTGTCTGAAGATGTGGATCAGGTGGAGCAAAAGAGAGTTCAGATCGAAAGATTTCTACAGCGGGTTTGCCACCGGACAGAATTTGCTACAAGCGAAGCCTTGCTGTGGTTTGTTGGAACAGAAATGGTATGGTATCGCGAACAATTACTGTTTAGTCTTAGCATATTACAATCTATTGATCGTTCAACTTATTTTTAATATGGGGTCGGCATGTTTTATTAAAAAAAAAAAAAAAAAAAAAAAGACCCATTTAGACTCTGTAGACTCAAGGAGAACCACGCTAGGATTTTTACGGCTCGATAATATCATCAAACCTAGCTATGACCGTGGACTGAGAATATATAGACCAGCGGAAAATGTAGAAGAGGTGGGTGAGCTTGCTTTTTTTTTTTTTTTTTTTTTTTTTTTAAAAAAAAAAAAAAAAAAAAAAAAAAAAAAAAAAAAAGAAAAGAAAAGAAATGAACAAGTAACTTATACTGCGGACTAACTTGATTTCGCTTTAATCGCTATTTGATTTCATTTACGATGTAGAATGACCAAGGCGAATTTCAGAGAAGACAGGTATACATCCTTGCAATGGAGCAGTCATTTACGGGTCTTTTAGATGCTGGGCTACGTCTCACCAAAGAAAGAGAGAGTAAATAGAAGCCTTCTATTTGTTTATTCATTTCACGCCAAAACTACTATAATTGGTCATGAATGAATTTCTAACTCGGCCTCTTTCTGCCTTAATAATCATTTCAGAGCTTGGCGACACATGTTCACAACTCGGTGATGCTACCATGGAAGTACTTAGTAGTAAACATCGCCTTGGAGACGGTCAGCGAATTGATAATCGAGAGCGGCATCAAGTATTGGATGAAGAAATGCAGATTTTTGGCGTGCTTACAGATGAGCTCCGCTTGAGCACACGACGCCAAGTGAAGGCCGAGACTTTCCATTTTATGGACCTAGTACAAGAATATAAAAGCATGTTGCAAGGCTTGAAGGTAAAGGTTCTATGTTACTTGGACTTTTTTTTGTTGACTACCAAGCTTCCTCTCATGTAAAGTATAGCATAATGTAGTTTTTTCCCAACGCTGAAGATTTAGTTTCCCTATTAGGACGTGATGAATGCAAGGACAGATCGATTGTCGGAATATGTATCAGCGTCAAAAAAAGTTGCAAAAAGACAAGCTCAAGTTGAACAGGCTATTCAGAAAACTTCAGCTGCTCCCTCAGCTGATCTCGTTGATAAAGCAAAATTGAGTTTGGAGGGCGCTAATGTGACCTTGAATGAGGCTCGTAATGAATTTAAGCAGAGTCAAGAGGTGGTTACACGTGAGTTGCTGCGATATGAAAAAGATAAAGCGAAAGAATGGCAGATGGCAGTTCAAGATTATGCTCGACAGCAAATTCATTATGAACAAGAGAAATTACAGGCCCTCGAAACGGCCTGGAGTTCCATCCAGGATCTTATGAGCAACGCTGGAAGTACCTTGAACTCAACTGGAGGTGACAGCGGTCGAGGATATGGACTACTGCCAAGTGGTCGTTCGAGGTCATATTGGCCTTCAGGACTTGGATCACCATTTGCGCCTGATCTAATCCAAGAGGATCAGGCAAAGGTTCGGCAGAGCGATAATGCTGGAGCAAGTCCGAATCTTTTCGCGACTGAGTCTGATAAGAGCAGAGCACCCGAACGGTTGCCGCATAATGCTGAGCTTGGGAGTGGCGATGTTGGTGGCTACAACAATGGCTATAATAGCGGCTACAACAGCGGCTACAATAGTGGCTACAATAGTGACTACAACAGTGGTGACCAGGATGAAGGACGCTCTAGTTTAGGATATTTCCCAGCCACGAAACTTAGTCGATCAGGAAGCGGAGTCCGAACCAACATGACTGGCGAGACTGAAAGTACAGGAAAGTCTAGTTCGCGAAAAGGATCATCAGCAGGCTTGCCTTCAAGTTGTAGTATACCGACAATGACCGCTTTAACTACGGCAACTGATGCATCCTCTGGTCCTCTTGGGAGCAATTCATCTCCAGTTGACTCATTAAAGACTGAGATGCTGTCAACCGAGCGTGATGACAAGAACAATGATGGGTATGATCCTCTAATGGTTCAGCCTGGATTTACTGATTAAACCGAGGGCCAGGCTATATGCCCTGCATTAAAAGTGTATATTATTCCTGCCTTTTTTTTTCTATTATTATTTGCACTATAATTATTGTCATAATAAATCTATTCTTCCAGACCACTGCCACTTAGTATGTCACGCTCTATCAGAGCTTCTATAAACTGCATGTCTGGCTTTGCCAACAAATACGTCGTATGGTACACATACTGGGCTACATGGGTTAAGAAGAATTCAAGTTCGCGCACGTTCTGAATCGATCGCATTGTCAGCATCGGGCGCTTGAGTGCTCGCGCAGATGTAGATGTTGACAATGAAGACGGTATCAACAAGCCTTTAGCAGATTGCTGCTGTTGCTCTGATCCTTGAAATGTCAGTGATGCTGTTGCATAGGGGTTGGAAAGGGATAATGGGAGTACAGCCCCTGTTGAATCTGTAAGAGGATTCAATGAACCGAATGACATTTTCTCTAGGACATCGTTGTCTGACAGCCAACGATCTTCTTCAGAAAGTGCGGTTGCCTGTTGCGTACGATTTTGATCATTCACAGCTGCAACAGTGTTTATAGAGACCCCAGAGCTATCAGGCGCGATGACTGTGGAATTGGAACTGGCATACCCGTCAACTGGGCCTTCCTCAAAGAGTTTTTTGCCTAGTCGATCCATGAGGGCATGGGGCATGGCTTCGCCCATAGGTGAAGCCATCACCGTGTTGCGAATAGCATCTGAAATAAATATCCATTGATGACTGAAACAGACCAAAAAAAATCAATTAGTATATACAAAAACAAAGATGGTAGTGGCTAAACGGAAGCGTTTTGAGCACCTACATGAAATATTGGCCATCTTCCAGAACGAACAATAAATCCAAGAATTTGCACGCAGACAATAAAAGACTGACTTGTTCTGGTCGATCGTTTTCATCCATCAAGAAAACGTTAAAAATTTGGATCTAGTAAGGCAAAGAAGAGGATAATAAGCTTTCTTATTTAAAATCTAGCTGCCCAGATTACAGTACAGCAACCGGAACAAGAATGGCGCCACTCACCAGTTCAGTCAGAAGTACTGGCCAAAAGTTGTTCAAGTGCTGATTCGAAATTCGGCAGAGCAACACACGGAGACACAAATAGATCTTTTAACAATAGAGACAAAAAAATAGTGAGTGAACACAAGATAAGAACCAAGACGACACGATTTCTTTCATTGGTGCTTGTTTTTACCTCTGGATGCACTTGCTCCGTAGAGCTGAGCTTGAGTAATTCCACGAGTTTTTCTTGAATGTTGGGTAATTGGGGGAGATATTGGTCCACTGCACCGCACCATATTACAAATGTCAGTCGACGCAGCATCAGCGCTCTATTAAGTGATTCTTGGTCACGGCTGGTGAATAACGCACTTGACGGCGACGTCGATATCCGACCCAATAACTCAACCAATCGTTCTTTTTCGGATGTCATAGCGGTCTGTATCAGTATGCGGTATTTTCTAGCCACAGCAGGGCCCATCACAAAGAACTTGTTGTCCAAAAAGACCTCCCAAACTTCCTTACGCCAAGTTCGATATACGAACGGGATTTTTGAGATCTCGCACAGTAGATCCACAGACGAGTCATTAATGCCGACTCGCGACTTTAACGATGGCGCTATCACATAGTACATCAGATTGCTGATTGCTTGCGTAATTCGATCCTGTTCCTGCAAAATTTTTCTCAAATTCGGAATAACCATCTGAACAAGACTCGTAAGGATTTGTTGAATCAGCACATCCTCTTTAGTCTTGCCGGTCCGTTTCGCCTGCTCTGCTTCGGAGGAACCAGACGAGAGAGGCTTAATAGATTCACGAGTTGAATCTGTATCGCTTTCTTCAAGGATCTCTAGATCTTGTGGATTCCTGTTTCGAAGCCAGATGCCATGATCAAACGAACGACCGGCGATGAGAACACACTGTTCTACAACACGTCCATACAGGTCTGAGGCATCACGGCGAATCTTTTTGTCTTCAAAGTAGGTTGTATTAGAGAGGCGATCGCAGAGTACAGTCATAACACGAAGCAAGGATGGAAAAGCATATTTATACGTCGTTGCCTGTGGAAAATAATCGCGGACAAAATTTAGACAAAGTGGCCATAGATCCACAAGGGAATCAACTTGTGGGAGATAGTTGCAGTAAATCTCCACAAAGCGCAGAAGGACGATATCCGATCTAGAATAAAATGGTTTCGTTCTTGGGCTATTAGCATCTGTTCTGAAGGGTGCAGAGAAATAATAATAAGAATAATAGTAGTAGTAGTAGTAGTAATAATAATAACAACTTACGCTTTGCTTATCCTAAGATTAGGACGCTTGGACCGTGTTGTTGCCATACCAGGAGTCCTCGCTCGGATACTTTCAATCAGAGTCAAAAAAATTGCCAAAGGAGACGCCCCAGGAACTACGCTCAGAATCTCCAGCGTTCTGTAATCTGGATCAAGTTTTTGGTTTTCCAAATCCAGGGCAACCGGATTCTCTGCCAAGAATAACTCCACGAACGCTTCTGTGACTTCAGATGGATAAGACTTGTACAGACCCGCCAAGATGCGCTTTAGCCTAGCTCGTACACGTTCGCCTACAAACTGAAGTGATACATCCTCTGCTTCAGAAGTAGCCGTAGAAATTTTGCTGTCAAAAACAGCCCAGAGCTCAATAAATATCTGTATAATGCCCACAATGTTGTGCAGAACAGTGTCTCGAGCTCTAGTCTCCTGGTATGCATCACTGGGGTGCACCTCGATACTCAAAACATTTGCGACAAGGCCTGGTGTGCCTCGTAGTCCGTCTTCCCATTCTTGCTTATGAACCAGGTCCACGTCCTCGCCCAGCCGGGCTTCAGCCAAACTGAATGTCAATAGTCTCTCCAATCCAGTCAAAAATATCATAAGGTCCTGGTCCGTCAGCATTGGTGAGGCTGTTGAAGGATTTTTAGCTTGGCTCAAGTAGGCTTCCTGCAGGCACGCCCTACTCCTCAGGATCTGATCGCACAAGCATTGAATCACAGGTAGTAAAACTTTTCTAAAATAATTCGTCAAGAATGGAAGCGCTAACATTAGGAAATCCATCCAATGCTGCAAAATTGGTCGATTCGAAGGAACTGAGAGTGCATCAAAGATGGTCTTGACGAAAAGTGGTGAAGATCCAACAACACGGAATAGGCTTTCGTTGGCATCGTTGCTAGCTGGGTTCGAGCTGATTGATGTGCCTTCGAATGTTGACATGGAGCTGTCCCGAGGTATAGGGACAGCTTGTGAAGAAGATATTCCCGCGATGTTATTGGCTTTCTTAACGGATGTGGTGCCCATTAAGATAGTGGCGTGAAGGAGGTGAAGTAGACGGCTCTGAAGATCAAGACGGCTGTGATTGATGCAATAAAGCATCTTATTGATGACTGTTTTATGGATCATTGCAAGAAGAGGAGGCTCAATATGATCAACTTTGGAAATGATGAAATGCAGAAAATCAGTCGCGACCATATGGATCTCTTCATTCAAGTTCAACATCGACTTGTAATCACTGGTGGGCTCGCTTTCAATGAATCTATTGTCGATAGGGCAAAAAAAAAAAAAAAAAAAAAAAAAAAAAGAATAGTATGAGCGATCTGGACAACAAGCTTTGGGTATAAAAGCAATATTAATATCATTACTTGCCTTAACGCTGACCGCACAAAGCACTCCAAGTATGTAGGCGGCAGGTTCGGATCTAAGAGTAATGTAAATAATGCGTGCACTGTCAGTGCTAGATCCCAGCATTTTCGCGATGTCTCATCATAATATCGCCCTATCATGCGAACTAACCGGTCGCTGATTATGCTTCATACCTGTGACTTCAACAATTTCTGATACAGAAGAAACAATATCAAGGTGAATAGTTGACTGGCGTAATGACCTCAAAAATCCAAGTCCTCCGAATCGAAACACAGTCAAAAGAGTATTGAAAACATAATGCACCTGTGCCTGATTAAAATCACGTATATAGTAATGTACCGGGAAGTGCTCGTTGTGGAATGTCTCCTCCATTTCATTACGAACAATTGTATGGTCGTAGAGAACAAGCAGAAGTGGATCGAGCAGTCGAGGGTACGATTTAAGGTTACTTCGGATCCATGTCTCCCCTGCTCTTCTATTGGATGGGTTGGTACTACTAAGCGAGTCAAGCATCAACATCATCGGGCGAACGAATGCTGCAGAGTTATGTTGGATGTCGTCTAGTCCATTGTTATGAGGAAGTGGCAGGTTAACTAGAATTAGGAGCTGAATAAAGTAGCCATCTCGAGCTATTGACTAGATCATAATATTATTACCTGACAATCGCCAGAAAACCCCGAATTTTTGGAATGCATCGATCCTCGTCTTGGTATTTTCCGAAACTAGGTAAGAGGCGATGGCCGTTTCGACTTCGTGGCTAACCGAGGTGATATCCTGTAGCATCCAGATCAACTGAGAAGCACGAAGGTGCAAATGCATGTATTCCTCTGCTAGGAAAGTCCAGACCCTGTCTACTATTGGTCTCATATGCACACGATTATCCAAGAAGGATGGATGAACCACCTTTAGCTCGACTGTAAGCTCCACCATTGTTGTTACCAACGCATCGATGACTGCGAAATCTGCCATCTATATTGATTCAACGGAAAATAAAGGTCAGCTAGAAGCACCATCAGTGTATTGTGGGCTTTAACTCTGTTGGGTTATAGTGATTACCTCACGAGATGCCGCACGCATTTTTTCAATCCAATCTCCAGTAAAGCAATCATCTACAGAGGTAGATGGTGCATGATATCTGGAGAGGATCAGCAGAATCTTGCAAGCTTTCTGGATCATGGTCCTTGATGTATGCGCGTGTGCCTTCATGCTGTCCTTCATGCAGGCATCAAGAATATTCTGAATGAAATTCTGGATAAATACCAATGCCTGCTGCGTCAACGCTTCGCCTCTAATTCCAGCATATTCTTTCGTGGTTGAAGCATCTTCAATATCATCCGACTTTTGAGGGCGGAGCATGTAGAACTCCTCAATGTAGTCCTTGACATCCATGCGCGAGTCAAATGTTATAATTTTTGGTTGTTGATTGCTGCTTGTGCTCTCTGATTTGGTATGGGCAGGGGTAGGTACAGGGGTGGAAGGCTTTGATTTTGGAGCACGTGTCGGCTGAGGTGCCTGCAGAGACTGCATAGTAGCCTGAGGTACAAAGACAGACGCAGGTATATGTCGAAATAGCATCAAGCACAGCAGAAGAGCATTGTTGACCTGTTCCGCATACATATTAAGATTATCCTTAGAGATGATATCCTAAAAGGGAATGAGAAAAGCTTGTTAGCTTGTCATTGTCCAAGTCCGAAAAGCAAAACCAATGCATCGACGATAGTTTATCCGAGCAGGATTCTAGGAAGGTCTTGACTGTGGTAAATATACCTGGATTCTTGTCAAGACGAAGAGTAGAAACATAGGCATATGCATATGCTGCATTTCCTCATCGCTCAACTTGAATGAGTTCAAAAAAAAGATGACTAAGTCTACAGCATATGTTTCCTTTCCGAGCTCCGCAGGAAAGTTATCGTATATAGCCTCGGAGAGCTTTTTCCAGATGAGGTAAGGGTCCGTCATATCGATCCACATGGTGGCTGTTTGAATAAGCTGCATTAATGAGAGCTATACATTAGGTACATTACTTCATATTTTTGGTGTGCTCAAAGCAATCGTCTGCACGACTATGTATGCATGTGGATGGTGATTGTAATACCTCTGTTCCATGATTATCTTGATCAACATGTCTTTTTAATGATATCACAGCATCAAGGAACACCGCCTGGATTACAGGATACCCGATGTCCCACTCATCTAATAAAGAGACAAACACGCGATAGGGTTTCTGATTCTCTTGAAGGTCTTTGCTGTCGGAAAGCAATATACTCTAGTATAAAAAAAGAGACATGCATTAGCTAAACAAAGAAACAATCAAAACTAAGTCCATGATCACCCAATCACTTTCTATGCTGACATTTCACGCCATACTGCTTACCCGAAGTCCAACGATCAAAGCAGTCTTTGCTGGTCCATTAAATACCTTCTTCTTCCTTTCTTGTGCACCTGTTTATAAAAAAAAAAAAAAAAAAAAAAAAGTCCAGTTATAAATCCGTAAATCCATACTCATGTCATTCATTGCACACAAGCTTGTTATTCATGACAACCAATAGGCGCTTACCTAGCAACCATGCATACAATCTTCTATTGAGTGACATATCCTTCCGCAACACTACGCCTACTGCCGCCTTAACGAGGACTACAAGATCATTATGCTCGATCAGCCTATTAAAAAGGAAATTAAAATAATAATAATAGTAATGATGAGCAATAGCAATCAAGCCAATAGTAACTAATATGTTGCCAACCTTCTACTACACATACCCGTTGCTGATGGGAAAGTGTACGACCATGAGATCCAACATGGCGCGCTGAACAAGAAGCTGGGTATCGCCCACTGTTGCTGAAAAGGCTCTCACCATTAGTCCCGCATCATCTCCTAGTACAAATGCCACATCTAATATCGAGGGAATATGAGTATCAAGGCTGTTAATTTTCATAATTATAATGCCAATGCTCAGAAGTCTATCCCTATGTACATCTGCCAAATACCTTCTGTGTTTGTCAGCAAAGGCATTCTCCTGCCAAGATAATGCAAAGCAGGTCCTCGATGCGGAGATGAAGTGATGAGGATCAACCACATGCACTGAAAGAAAAATGTTTCATCAACTGCCTTGCGAAGGCTGTCAATGATGTTAAGGACTCTGTCAAAAAATTCGCTACCCTCCTCGTCAAGCCCAGGGAGTAAACCGATCAAGAAACTCTTTAAACATGGCTTGAGCCGATCTTTAAGTGGCAGGTAATACTTTTCGTAGATGTCGAGTAGTTGTGGCTGTCCAAGATGCAACGTGGCACAAATCATACCTGTTATTTCTTCTTGTAATGACAATAAGAAATGGACGAGATGTAGCAGTAGAATCATGCTCCCGAAATTGCTTTTTTACTTACTTTGACGGACAAAGACGCATATTGAAGAAAAGGGAACAACCCATACGACCACAAAGTGATGTCCTCGGCTAGTTGATCCGGCTTTAGGTCAATAGTGAACATCAAAAAAAGAAATACTCATAATTAGCAGGATATTCGCCACGGATTCTAGAGATGTTGTAGCTTAATGGCCAGAGATATACATACTCCAATGGTTTCGAGGATGTATGCGTAGACCTCCAGCGTCTTTCCATGTACTCCTGCTGGTAAAGCCGGATTCAAGCACTGTGCTAGTCTCTTTGCTACAGTCAGGCCCCGTGGAATTACTGTATATTGCGGGTATGCTTGAAATGACTGGATTGATCCGTGCCAGAATGAAATGCAAATATAATAAAGACATTTACAAGCATAGGAGGAAGAATTCTATTAGTCCTTGGATTGAACATTCTTGTCATCATGAAGGCATCACATGGCTTCAGTATTATGCCAAGCAAAATACCAGGAGCTTACTCGCAATATCTTGAGTAGGAAAGGATTTACATCGGCCCATTCATTGACACTGTCAAACGATTGCAAGTTTCTTTCTACAAGCTGGACATACTTCTTATAACGAGGATCGCTATTGAGATCTGAAGTCAAATATCGTCATTGTAGTCAGAAATACGAATAGAAGAGAGGTTTAGTCTATTTTCAGCTACAAAAGGGCTTCCCGACGAACATGTTTCACAGATACACCTGCACTTGCCTCGGTTCTTGCTGTTAGAACCACCCCAAGTATAAGTTGGAGGCGTCTTTGGTGAAGGAGAAGGTGAGCGAAGTTGATTGGCGGCGACACTAATATTCTTTGGTAAAGAGTTGGGCTTCGGTGAAGATGTGACCATGATGGGCGAGGGTGGCCTCGGCGAGGATGACATGCCGGGCTCGGTCATGGTGAGTGATCCTACACAGTCGCGTGAGGAGGGGCTGATTTAAGACGAGACAAGAGACAAGAATACAAATGCGACTGAATCAGGGAGAGAGTGTATGAAATGTGAGTTTGGATAGAATGAAGTGGATGAGCGATAGGGTAAGGGTTGTCGTGGACGTGAAGTAATGTCGCCTTTGTGATGAAAAAAAAAAAAAAAAAAAATAGCCAATGTGAAAGAATGTGCACTGAAAAATGACAATCACTCTTAATGGATGGCTCTGACGCGCTTTTCCTTAGGTTAAGTTCCTATCTGTCTTTAGAGATTGGGGGCGCGTCATTACTAGATATTTAGAATGAAAGCATATCTTTGAACTGCTTTGCTTTGGCTGACAGTCTGTCATTGACTTTAGTCTTAAGCTTGTCCAACAACCTCAACATCTTGCTCCACAGTGTTGTATGCTTTGCTTTCGCAGCCATTTAGCACTTCCTTCTTGTCAAGCTGGCTCTCGCGGAAAGTTCGTCTTGATATCCTTGGAATCTTTGCACCCAATCTTGCACACAAAGTTGAAATCGATATTTCCTGCAATCGCCAAGTTTGAGACATCTAGTGTAAAGACCAGGCCAAGGACGCGAGCTCCTTTTAATGTTGGTATGGGCTCTTCGGTGGCGATCTTAGAGACCACTTTCACATCGGGCATTTGTCCTCGAAGACAGGACCACTTTTTTTTTTTAATAAAAGCAACTTCAGTTGTAACAGGAACTGGTATAGGTAAAAGTCAGCATGGATCATCTTTTCGACGCAGTCCTTGGAGAGCAGCCTACTCTTATCGATAGGATATTAATTAACAGATAAAGGATCCCTCTTGTCTTGTCAATATTGGATTAGACGGTAACAATCAGCAAAGTGATCTGCAGTCGCTTTGAGTACATTCAACAGATTGCAGTTGTGTTAGCATGGGTTGAAAGCGATATTTTTAATGCGCCTTAGAAACAACAATAGCAAATGCAGCTGAAAACAGGAAAATGGACATCATTCCAATATGTGTTTCACTTTGAATGAGAATACGTAGAAAGTTGATAAATCAAAAAAGCGAAAACTTTTATCGTCTGCTTTGTATTTTGAGCCTCGCAACTAATCGACTAATCAAAAACATATTGAAGCTTGATCCTAATGACCTTGAGCTAATAAGTAGCTACTTCGCGTAGCAACACTACTCAAAGAAAAAGGCGCTTCCTCTTGAGCTAGATTCCGAGGCTGGTTAGATCCTCTTCGCCTTTCTTCGTTCGAAGATTAAAGAGATGGAGAACGTGTGTAATAGAAATATGTCCTAAAAATCGCGATACATTCGAATCTCAAAACCAGAAAGAGCAAGGAGGAAATAGAACGGCGACCAGGTAGCCTTGATCTGAACCGATTTGAAGCGCTGCTTCCTAAGTAGACGACGAAGAATTATCTTGGTTAATTAGCCTATCACGCACTAGATTAAAGTGCTTATTAGTAAACGGAGAATGTTCACGCCAACCCTACATGTCTACATGTTTTGTAAGCGCAGAACAGCGATCCTTTAAATATTGAGAGACGCTCCATGTCATTGACGCTTTGTGGTGTTTAAAAGGCTTGAATGGTGGTTGCAATTCATGCAGCTTGGTTCATATAAACAAAAGTAGATGAATGTGGACCACACTCTAACAGCCTGCTTTCATCGTAAGTATTAATTGAGATCGGTATTTGAGGCTTCATTAAACGCCTACAAACTGGCCTATCAATATCTATATTTCTGTTGCTTAAGCAATTCAAGACAATGGCTTTTTTTTAAAAAAAAAATAAAATAAAATAAAAAAAAATAAAGAACAAGATGGACATCATTTCATGCTGTATGCACTTGGATTGACGAGCATCTTTTCCTCAAGTAGAATCAGAATTTTTTGCTAACCTTTCCTAGTTATTCCAAAGATTTTAGTAGATAACTACTTCAACTAATATATTCTCTTATCAAACCTCAAAGCCATCCTTTCTCTATTCCTCTCTCACTTCTTGGTCATAATCTTTCATTTCGTCTCCAGTGCAAATCATTAAAAAAAAATGGATACATACAGATCACTTACAATTAGAACTACCAGTCGCCTCACACCTGCAGAAAAACAGGAGTTGCGAAATGAACCCGATAGTATAGATATTCCCGATGTTGATGAAAAGGACCTTACACAGAGAGCAGGATTAGCGGTGACAGAAGCTCGGAAAGCGGAAATGGCTGCAGCCCAAATAGCAACAAAACACATGTTAGCAGACGAACAGGGCATACAGGAGACAGCAAGAGGGCAACAACCGCAATCATTAGGAAAGATCCTCATTGCAGTCGTTGACGATGGCGCCGGAGACAAAAAATCTTCAAAGCCGCAAGCTCACGGCAACAACGGGAAGTTAAACCCATCACAAATTCAGGCATCAGCTAGCATGGACAACTTGGAGTTCGAGATAGAGACCATGCCACAAAAACATGATACCCATTGTAAGCAAGGAATAAAAGCCCAAATAGAGCCGATAACTGTAACTGTCAGGTCTCAATCTGCAGTGCTTGTACCTAATAAAGGATCCATCATCGTCTCCGCTCCCTCGGCGATGGGTTTAAGACCATCGCAACCAAGCCGGCTTTTGGTTGAGGCATCACAAGAAGAAAAAATTACTCCTTTCACACTCACGGCTCTGACGGCAGGATCGGTGGTTTCCTCTGACGCCTCAGTCCCTTCAACTCCTTCAAAATTGGCGTTGCCATCAGTTTATCGACAAAACATTCCTTCGGAAACATCGCGATGTAGCCAACGCCAACTATGGGAGCACCATAACCTCGGCTCGCCGGCTTTGCAGGCAGCTGGCCCCCCATCTTCAGTTGCCGGCCTTGATCTTGAGCATTTCAGAGTTGTCTTTCAGGAACTGGCAAAGCGCACGGAACGGCTGGAGCAGCTCAGTGATCAGATCATTGAGGCATTGACGCTTTACCAGCCGTCGCCCACGCTAGGCTCAAAGACAACAAGGCTAACAACTGCTGGAACGCCCTTGTCTCCAGAAGAGGTACAGGAACAGATGAAGGGAAAAAAAAAGGCGATTGATTTAGACGAAGAGCAGTTGTGGGTCGCTCAGTCATTTGCGGATCTAGTACTGGACACGTGGCCGAAAATCTACAAGACCCTACCTACACCTAGAACGACCAAAACGACTAAGGTGCGGGTTGAAATGGCAACGAAGCTCAAGGATTCTATTGTTGCATTCTGGAGTGTGCAGAACATGTTTCAAGAGATGACGCAATTTGTGCTGGATGTTTACCAGGTAACACAAAACTCAATAGCTATAGACCTCCAGCAATATCTAGTACGCTTTCTCTCTTCTTATTTTATCATTCGGTCCGCTTATACATACAGGATCCTATTCATTTCGAGCAAGAAGGAAGGACCAGGATCCTCAAGAGTCGACACCTGAATAGCCTGCTTATGCAGGAACCTCTGGATTCACTTGCTATTCAATATCTGATACAGAAGCATGAGCGACAACAAGATAAGCTGTTAATGCTTTCTGAGCCACTTCAAAACATTTGGCTGGGAGTACTGATGCTTCTAGACGATTCAAGCCAAAATCAATCGTCGAAAATCAATCGTCACTTGGGTATCAGCTCCATCCAGTTACACACGTTCGCATCATCCTCGTCATCATACTACCTCGAACAAGGTAATCCGCCTCTGGAAAGAAGACATGTATTCCATCTAAGTCGAAATAAGCAACTAAGTTTAAAGGTGATAGCGCTTTTAGCCATTGGTGCGGGTATGATTACAATGGCTCTGGTATTCCCTTCCAAAAATTTACAATAAATATCATTCGTACGCTTTTTCCTTCCTTCACAAAATACTTTTTATTATGATCTAAGAGGCTTTAAAGATATGAACAAGCAAAACAATAGTCAACCTTCAGCTTTGTAGACAGGTTGGATGCAAACAGTTGAAAGCTTACTTGAGTTATAAGTCACAATATTAAGATCCCAAAATGTCCACTAGTTTCTCCAATGCAGTAGCCATGCGGGCAACATTCGTATCCAACGACTCAATTCGCTTTTCCAGACTTGCCATACTACTCAAAAAGGTTGCAGTATCCAATGAACTTGTCACCTTAACCACTTCCGAGATTGCAGCAGCGACAGATGAAGAAGCTGCGGTTGCAATAGCAATGGCAGGCTCCTTTTTACCATCGACATCATCATCGACATCATCATCTACCATAATTGCAGGGACTTCTTGGGATTCAAGATCTGGAAAGGTGGATTTCTCATCCGCATATCTAATAGGCCTTTCTTCAATTGCAACTCCATCTTCTTCACCATAAAGTGGACATAATGCATACCCGAGTGCAGCGGCCACCTTCTTAGACCTAGAGTATCCTTCAGATAGAAGAATCTTGAACGCATACACTCGTCGACAGCTCAAATCAACTAGTGCCCAAGCATCCCATTTGTATTCTTCAGAACTCCGTCCGCAATCCAGAAGCACCTCTGTGATGCCATCCTTTTCAGCCTTGTACACAATTCTGTTCAACTCTGCGATTGTGTATTTAGTCCCATTGACATCGACAACGGTGTCCGAGTCATTGGGTTTAGAAACACGGATGGCGCTGCGGGTTCCTTCAAGCATATTGTCGATATACAGAAAAAGCAGGTCCTTTTCTTCATTTTTGACTGCCATATGAAGCGAAGGCTGATGAATATACTCTTGGATGAACGAGCATTCTTCACCCTCGATGTCCGTAAACGTCAAGCGGATACGAATGGGACTATGGAGCGCAACCAAGGCCCAGTCCCAGCAACTTAGCATCAAAGCCGCTTGCTCTTGTGTGCGGAGTACAATAGCCTCAAATGAAATATCAGCTGATTGCATAGGCCCAATGGAGACTGGAAATTTAATACCGCCCAGATCCAACCCATTGACCTCCTTATATTCTTTTTCGCCTATAATACGATATTCGGCTTTGCAAGAGGCCAACGTGACATATGTTTGGCTACTGGGCGGAGTCTTGTTAAAGATACGAATCATACTTTTGAACTTGTCTGCGTCTCTGCGAACAAACCCTCCATCCCCGTTTGCCTTCATCTTGCCTTCAGGGATCATAACGATCGGCAATTTTGTCCTGACTTTGAACTGACGAACCTCTCGAAGAGGAGTCATGGGTAAAGTGTGGCCAACATAGCGGATCTCTGGCAGTTTGTAAGGCTCCGCAGGCCTGTAGACCTTGAAGGTCACTTTGGACAGGGTCTGAATCTCACCCGATGGAGAGACTGTCTCGATGTCCAGAGGGACTAGCTTAGTGGTTGCAGACTCGCTGGTAGCAACTTTGCAGGAAATCTTAATTCCATTGATCATTCCGGACGGATCTATAACCCATTCAGCCATTGCATACGCATCATTATCTAGGGTCGTTCTAAAAATCAGGGATGTGCCCGTCTTACGGATAGACGCATTGGTCGCCTTGATGTCATCGACTCCGAAGGCCTGGAAGTAGTAAGGATTATCATAGCTGACACGACCAACATGAATGATCATCATTGGTTTCTTGATCCGTTCGTGGTGACTGCGCCAACGCAGCAGCTTACTCACACACGCCTTCTGAACCGTACCAGTCAACATATCTTCCTCTTCTATCTCTGCCCACTCTTCCTTCGTGTCGGTGTAGCCCGAGATTGCAAAGGCAAAATCGTAGAAAGCTGTGTAAGGGTACTCGCAATGGTGAGCTGAGCGATGGGAGGAATAAGTACAAGGCGACTTCTTGCCACAGCAAGAGTATGAACCACCCTGCTCCATGCTCTTGTGAAATGAGCACGCCGCAGGGCCGTTTGCTGATTCTTGATACTCCTTGTCGCACTGAACGCATGTCAACCGCTGTTCTGCGTCGTTTCCACGTATCTGAGTGGCCAAGACTTTAATGGTCTCTGCAACAACATTGGATGAATTCTCTTTGAGAAGCGCTTCGATTTTGGTCTGATTTTCATCCATGAGATCCTCCATGTTGGACTGCATTTGCTCCATAACCTGATCACTCATGGTCAAGTGCATCTTTTTTGCAAACTCTTCTACTAGCTCTGGGCTATTCTACAAAACGGTTTACATTAAGTGGCAACATGCGTTAAAGTCCATAGCTATCCTCATCCCCATTCTCTGTTTCATAAAAACAAAGGTATAATGTGAATAAGGTAGTGTTCAAAAAGAAGAAAAGCTTACAATGACAACAGAATGACCACCGTGCTGTTGAACAAACAGTCTTGCTTCATCATCCTTAGTATCAGAAGGAACCGCTCTAGTGAGAACAGAAAGATCCCCTGTCTGCTGGATCTGCAGACTCAGCATCAGATCTTGTGTACAAGTTGTAATATCGACTGCCATCTGAATGAAGTTCTGACTATTGCTCATGTTCAAGCGCCTTGCAATGGTACCTTGCTTGCGATATGTCTGAATGAGCGACGCAGCCTGCTTCAACGTATTGTTCGTCTTGTCAATTACAACTTTGATGGAGTCATTAATCGGGATCTTTTCCAGTACAGTGAGATTGCTAACCATGAAATTGATCCGCTCCAGAAGATCTGTACACTTTGCATCAACATCCCTGGCCTTTTGCTCGACATCAATGATGATCTAAACAAAGTTTTCAAACGGTTTTTATGAAACTGTCAGCGAGCGAAGATGAAAGAAAAGGCTTTGTATAGTCCATTAATATTTCAATGGGTAACCAGCTTTACCTTTAAGATGACAAAAGCTGGTGCAATAAAAGGAACCACCTTGCCAACATCCACAAGTTTGTCTGCCAATTGAATCAGATGGCTCAAGGCTGGATTCTTTTCAATGTTGACAACAAGTTCGTTCGCCTTGCTGTCTAACACCTTACTGGCAGCTGCAACACCTTGGCTAAATGCCGTAGACCCCACGGTTGCTACAGCTGCAGCCACAACAGTCATGTCAAGGCCCTTGTTGTAGGGCCTTTGATGTGAGGTGCCCTCTATTTCGCTCTGTAATTTGTCAATATGCTGTTTGACCTCGTCAATGCTTACAGGCTTGGATGGATCGTAGTCAGAATCACTATCGCTACTGTTGCTGCTGGCATCCCTTCTAGTATTGCTGGCAGTAGTGTGAGCAGTATCAAGATCCGTAGGGACGGGGGGCAACTTGCGGGTAGGAGGTTGTGTCTGTGTTGGACTCATGAGAGAGACAGGGCTGCTACTACCGCTGGATGTTCGGACTGGAAAGACATCCCGACCATGAATTACGTTATGAAATGGAGGAGCCGCTGGTCGTTGATGAAACTGTTGGTGATGCTGATGGTGTATATTATGGAATTGGTGGGGCTGGTGCACCGCAGGAGGCGCGCCTTGTATAGGCCGGTTACCGGGGTTTACAAATTGATGCGGCTGGTATACTGGTGGTTGCTGACCTGGAAATCTGCTAGGTGATATAGGATGTCCTCCAGAAGATACTTGAAAGGTACCGTGAACTTGACCTGATAAAGGATGACCTGGGATGGGCGGGCGAAATGATGAATTCTGTTGGAATGAGCGATTCTGATTGAACCGGGGGTCATTTCTATTACTGTCATTACTTGACATTCTTTCAAATCTTCAGTGATTTCAAAATATTGGACTTCTTGGGCTGGAGTTCTTCTTGAAAAGGATGAAGTTCACTTTCAAACTTTTCTTTTTTACCCAAGTTAGGGAAAGTACTCTTTTATATTCACAACATTGGCAAGAGCCCTCCTTGAGAATTACAATTAAGATCTGTCGTCCTGATAAATCTAACCATTGATGGAATATTAAAATCGAGGCTAGACCCTCAATGCTTCGGCTGCGGCACATCGTCCCAAGCATTGAGTGCATCGCCACTGTTCCATACAACATTCCAGTGGCAAATAAAATAATGGGCTCCATTTTCATTTATTATTGGACAAAGTGCACCATGGCAACAGAACTGTCAAAAAAGTAATTTTATTTTTCAAGTTCCCCCAAGGCACTGAGCACCGTCAAGGTACATGCCATTATGATCGACTAGATTGTTGTTCCGGTATCTGTTGATCTGTACGGTTTTTAAAGTTAGTCCAGAAATTCAGGGGCAAAAGATTAGAGAGGATACAGGAGACGAAAATAAACAGAACTTACAAATTTTTTGTGGGTGTGCCGGCACCCAAATACTTGTGTCTAGCGTCGTGCGCGCTTTACAGCCGGAGCAGGCGACTCTTCCGTGGGCTTGTACTTTGCAAGCCTCTCTTGCCTCTCAATTTGAGCAAGGCCGATTCTTGCGATGTTTTCCGCCCCTACTGCGTCACGGTCGAAGAATACCTTACATGCCCGGCAATATTTAGAGCGAGGTACACCGTCTCTAAAAAGCTATCGCAGAGGGGTCGGGGTCGGGGACAGCGGGCGCTGGTGTAAAATTCGTGCGCTCCTACAGCGAAGTGTCCTCGTGCTTTGACCTAAGCGTTTCAAATGGCAGTCGTTTATTAGCAAGGGTTCTTTGGCTTTCCAGCTTTTCTTACTTTTTTAAAAAAAGCCATACCTGTGTTACAAGGTGTCTCGTTATAGCAGTGTGCTTGCTGGGAACTCCTTTACTACTTTCAAAGGACCCTAGGCCGACGACAAGCACTCCTTTTTTCCCCGAGCATCTTCAACACTCGCTGTACCGCGTAGTCGAACGTAGCTCGTTGAGCCTTTCGTAGGTCCCATTTTTTTTTCAGGTGCCATCTGGACTCGTAGAATTCTTGAAGCACATCCAAATTCTTTGATCCTATCTGTGTCTAAGACTCCTCGTTCATCCATTGAAAGTACTCATTGTACGTATCCCTTCCAAACACAGGGATGACGTTCTCAACCTCAATCATTCCTTTTTCACGCTTCCTTTTGTTCAACAGGTGATTGAAGCGGAGGGCGGGGAAGTACAAGAACCTGCTTCTCACCTTTACCGTTTGCCGCAAGTTAGGGTTGTGAGGATCCAGGGAGGAGAACATAAGGGCATTAACAATACCAGGATCGCATCCGACGATAGTTGTGGTGTTTGCGGATGGGCACCGCCCTGGTTTGTTGAATGTGAGCTCAACGTTTTCAAGCAGTTTGGAGCTCCTCTTCCAGTTTATGTTTGCGTAGTCTTCATCTGTCAGGTCTTCACCGGCTGCCTTTGAACACGTCGTGTTGAAAAATCCATGAGAAAGCTCCAGTTCTTGGCTGGGGTCTTCTTCATCTATGTCAGACTGCTGCTGTCTCTTCGTCTGGGTTGTGTCATAGGCAAGTAGATTCAGAACTAGACCGTTGGTAGAAATCGTTCCTTTGAGTTTGAACCGAGTTAGATCTTTGTCCTGTGACTGCAGGGATACTTTGTCTTGATATCCAAGAACCATGCGATCGCCTCCAATGTCACAAAAGAGAGCCTGAATCAAAACCCTTTTGTTCCCTGTACACACTCAAACATTGCAGTCTTGGAAGGATTGTCGAGAGGCAGAATACGCTCCAGTAGCTGCTTGATATCTTCGTTCGCCCAGAGGATGTCAACTAGGGCGTGTTCAGACAGATACACATACCCGGGTGACCAGGAGAGCGTAGGAAAGTCTGAGTATTTTTTCACTTTTTTGTTCTCCCGCAAAAAAAAACTCAATGTCGCTCATATCTTCGTTTGTCTTCTCGACATCAAACTAGAAAAAAAAAAAAAAAAAAAAAAAAAAAAAGAGTCTGAATAAAGAGCATCTGATTGCAGAATATGCATGAAAATACCTTACACAAGCTACACCATTGCGTTCCTGTAGTGCTGCCTTAATGATGTCTGTACTTGGCCCATTAGTAGCTCTGACGCTCTTGGAAATGAGATCTTTTTGGGATCAAAGCCTTGCGCGTCCCCCAATGTGATGTCTATTTCCTTTATTGGGGAAAGTTCAGTGGTGGCCTTGAAATGTTCATAAGCGAGGAGATAATGGGGCGTTTCTACCGCCTTTCCTTGTTTTTTTGCCCTCGCGTAAGCTGAATTGGGGCCACCTTGACCACTTAAAAGAAGGGTGGCGAGACGGAAGGAATAATCATTGCTATCAAAGACCTCGTCCAGTGCCTTTTCCTCGACCTTGCTGCCCCTGGTAACCGCATGATCCTCTCAATGTCCAAGGCAATCGCTCAGTGTGCATAGCGGCGTAGTCGGTTGAGGGCAACAACAGCCCCTCGGATCTGGCTTGCAATACTATCCCTTTCATCTGCGTCCAGTCCGCCTTTCCTTGCCATGGAGGCCTTAAGGGACCCAATTGTTAAGGCCTTGATAAGGTGCTTACTGCTGTAGCTGTGATCAACCTTCGTAGCATCCTTCAAGTCCCTAATTGGTGCACCTTCTTTTTTAGCCCTGTGGGGCTTCTTGCCTTTGTGCTTCCGCTTTTGTTTTTTCTGTTGCTTCTTTTTTGCCTTTTTCCGACGTGGTGGATGCTTAAGGCCCGGCCTATCGTGCTGATGGCAGTTACTGATATCAACTGTGCGCCCATTCAATATGCTCGCCTTGTCAGAAAAGATGGGCCGGAACTGGTTCCTATGTGACCCTTTCACTATATAGAATGATGGTGTGTCTCTACATTATCCAAGAAAAGGACTAACGATTAGTATTGGGGACGTTTGGTTTCAAGGTCAAAACTATAGCTTGAGCTTCCTTACGTTCTGCGACGCTGCGCTCGCCTTTGCTGAGTCATTCTATGACGAAGATCCTTTCCATTGAGTAGACGCTGCTTGAAGTTATCGAACTCATTGTTCAATGGTAGCGCTTGGGCCGACGTTTGATGGTCGGAAGTAAAAATGCGGAGAGCTACTCTGAAACGGCCTTCTTCAGAGGCTGCGTTCCTTCCCAACACCTTACTAGCTTCCCTTAGGTAGTCCCGAAGCATTTTATTGTAGTTCTCGTTCCACGCAACGTTTCGAATTAATCGAAGATTATTAACCGGGCCTAACGTCTCGAGGTTCCTTGAGTAGTCATTGCCTGCGATGGCACAGAATAACACCAGATGCGCGTGTGATGGCAGTCTTAGTGCTTGGATAACGTTGTCTACATCGTAAACCCCAAACTTCCGTCTACGGCGCGGAAGGGGTCCCACTAGGAAGCAGACTCATTCGTACGCAAAAAAATCAGAGTCTTGGGACATCACGATCCTATCATTCTCCTCATTATGGCACCCTATACATGGGTCCGCTTCATATGCACACAGACAGACATCGAAGACAGAGTTAAGGCCTGTTGCCAGCTGATCCTTGTCCTGGATTGTGGAGTGGCCGCCAAAATAAAGTTTGTTTGGAAGCACCAATGGAAAACGCTTGTGTTTTGAACAAAAAAAGACGCCACGATGTAAAATGTGTTTATACATGTACAGAAACTAAAGAGATGCTTCAGCTGCACACAGTGATTGACGAACAAAAAAGGAAACAAGATTTGCGAAACAATAAAAAAAAAGCCCGCGATGAAAGAAGGCATGTGCAGACAACAAATAAACACAGCAACTGTTTGCTCACATACATTTTTTTCACCGTTGTGTCTGTATCTCTTCTAAGCTTTCTGTCTGGCTGTTTAACACAAGGAACCCTCAGAAAGAGAAATACCTCGCATGATTGGTGCCAGGTCTGAAAACAACAATAATGCCATGCTGTACGTGGAAGATAGGGTCTAGAAACTATACCATTGTTATGCGGACTCACCGAAATCAACTCGTGATCACAACTGCTATTCATACTCTCTTGCCAAAGACTTGAACAGGCATAGCAACCCCTTCTTCCTTGCTCTCATAACCGCTCACATCCTTTCGATGCATTCTTTCGCCGTTTATGTCCACTACATCTGAACCACACACAGTTCACCACTCACTCCAACAGAGATATTTGTATCACCTTGGGTATGATATGTTGCTGTGGCTCCCTCTGGTTTCAACAGGCCCAACAAACTCTACTAGCAGTGTTTACCAACCCAGATACATCAAGGGAACGCAAGAAGACGAGCAAGTAAATGATGTGACAAATCAAGTCTTGCCGAGCTGTACAGGAAAAGATCACTACTATCATTCATCTATCACCACATGGTTAAGTGGTCGTTCTCCCTTCTCTTGTGAGCTCTTTAATGATAGGCATGGTTGTAGAAAGATTCATAGGCTTCAAGCTTTCAAGCGTGAGCCTATTTAATAGATTATGTAAGTTTAGGATACCTCTTTATCTTGCAACATTACGATAATTGTATGGCAAGCTGTACCAAATACAAAGTCTTGCTTAAGAATTTAGGGAAACTAATGCATCACTGCAATGGTTGTGTGCACAAAAATGAATAATAAATATAACGAGTTAGAAATTACCTACTTTCGCTTATTCATGAGTCATTCATTCCATTAATGCCATCAAGACCAGGGCTTAACTGCGTGTCGTCATAAGCTTGTCTTTTCTTACTTGGATGTATGTAACATAATACTATTATACAATTTTAATCTAAAAGGTCATTGACGAGGAATACACCTGGATGAAACACGGCACCAGTTTGTTACTTCTGAATTAGGACAGATACACCTCTCTTGTAATGAGGTAAAGATCAGCCCTTCTTCAGACAAATGTAGCCTATTTCGTTAAGAACTTGCTTTCCTCCTTCATAGGCCTGGCGCTTCTCTTTCTAGTACTAATAAAGGAAGAGGCAAATTCAGACAAAATTCTTCCCATCTCTAGTTTTACTGCTTTATTGTTATACTCTAAATCTAACGTTCATTATTAAGACAGCTGCCGTTTACTTTTTTTTTTTTTTTTTTTTTTTTTTTTTGCATATAAAGTGATTTGCCAATTTAGGTAGCTACACGACTTGCCTTCTAGCAACTCACTCTAAAATGACTATTCTGTTTGCTGAAGGCCCTTTCGCACGGCCAAGACGCAGTCGACAATTACAGCATCAACTCCATGTCGTCGTTGAAGTTTAGCGTTCTCCACATCATTGTTATCTATTCCATAAGTGAACACCAGCAAACCTGTTTCTTTAATAGCCTTGACCAGGTTGGGTGCTTCAATGATTGGTGCACTGTTGGTAACAATTCCCAACAGGTCAATTGATGTTGCGAAACGGACAGCTCCTTGAATAGAATTGCATCTACGATCGGCTACTACGCTTGTACCTCCATCCGTCAGAAAGAACACTGGATAATTTGGCTGTTTCATATTGAGCAAAAGACAAATATCAGGGTGAAAGGATGAAAAGATGATGTTGCGGTTGGGATGTGTTTGGTCGTGGTCGTAGACCTCTTTTAAAATCCGATCCACAAATCGGTTAATCTCAAAAGCATATAAAGGGATGTTGGCATCCTCTGCTTCGTCCAGCATGGGATACTTGACTTCGATATTGAATCCAATATTCGTTGGAACAGTCTAAACATGAAAATGTGTAAAGTCATGAGCTCGAACTGTACATATCAAATTATGAATAAATCCTGCATTTGTCATCGTCAATGTTAATAGATATCCTACCTCAAACGTATCTTTCAATGTAGCGAATGGCGCCTGAATTGTTCCCAGACCATTGCCCTTCATCTTGGCTCCGGGCTTAGCAGGCTCAGATACTGCTGTCTGAGCCCTCATCTTGGCCATTGCGCCCAAACTGTTAGATCGAACAAGTCGCGGTTGGTTTTCCTTATGGGGGTCTGATTCAGAATCATGAGTGGACCTCCTCACAAGCTCAGGTTTCACTACAGTTAGACTAACTGAAGATGGTGAAGCAGGAGTAGCTTGTTTCGGGGCACCAGGTCTGGGTGAGACTGGCTGAGAACTGTTACCATGACTACGTGATTTTGATTTGGAGAGATTCTGGAACTGTTCTACCGTTATGGAGCTAACAGGAATATCCAATCCAGTCTCGGTTACTGTCCAGTCATGGTATAAAACAGGCACCATATCCTTCGTCATCTGAACATCTATTACAAGGAATAAACCTTTTCAGGTCAGCAATTCCATAGCCCTCATCGACTGGCGAATGACACACATACAATACCACGACGAGCGGGGACATACCAAACTCCACATATTCTGCCCCAAGAGAAGCGGCTGTAACAAAAGAAAGCAGGGTATTCTCGCCGAGCTGAAGATTTGATACCTTACGGTTCATTCCAAGGCCGCGATGACCAATGACCTATTCGGGATTGGGTATTTTTGTCGGATTAGATGTCAACAATATACATAAAAAATAAAAAATAAAAAAATAAAAAAAAATAAAAAGCTTTATATTCTGTAATACATTCGAGTATCACTTACTGTTGTAGTCAAGCTCTTCCAATATGTGTGCTTGCTTCCGACTTTGAGGTTCTCATGTTTGAAAGGACGCACAACTGTAAATTCAACTCTAACACGTCCAATAATATTCATCTTTTCCACACCAAAGATAGGTACTGTCATATTCATCCCTTGGAGGGAAGTCATCTCTGGATGCTGGTTCCTGACGTCTTTGCGAAGATTATCCAAGCTGGAGAGAATTGCTGTGCCGCGTCCGACCAGCTTGTTGCTTGAAGGTCCAAAGGTGGGGTAAACTGAAAAGTTAAGGATAGTGTCTTCAGGCTTTGGTGCATAAAAAACGATCTGATCGTGATAACTTGAATCCTTAAGAGGCAAGTCAATGATGGCTTTCTCGCCTGCTGTAGCATTCTCCGCCGTAATTTCCAATGAAAATGCTGTACTGGCTGTCAAAAACGAATGACTGTCACCGCTTATATAGAGCTCAACAGGCTCCACGGTACTGCGAGCGTCATTAGAGCCCAGCGTAACAACAATTAGTGATTCATCTTCTAGATACTTATGTCCGTATACGCGCTGAGCTGTCTTCAATGATTTGCTGCTGCTCTTTCCAGCTGACGTTGGCGGTGACTCGCCTTTTTCGAGTTTCTGTGAGTTTGGTGAGCTTGATCCAGAGGTCCCTGCAGAAGGACTAGAGAGCATGGGCTGCGAAACCGAGATGGGGCTTGCATGCGCTGCGTCACTTCCGGCGTTCTGCTTTTGCAGGCGTAGACGCTCGTCCAGACTGAGAGTCACAGGACGAAGAAGAGCAGCACAAGCATTATTGGCAGCAAAGACAGCATACTCATGTGGGCTCCATGATGAAAAATCGTAAACATTGGGATTGGCTCCAGCTGCAAGCAAAACCTTAATAACCTCAGGATGATTCTCGATTGCTACAAGTTTCAATTATCAAACTTCAGTATCAAAGCTAGTTTCCTTATAACAATAGGCACGAAAAAAAAAAAAAAAAAAAGAAAGCATTTTCTGCTTTCCTGTTTGAAAATGCATTACGAACCTGCGAGGTGAAGAGCTGTCCATCCGTAATAACGTTCCCTGAGCTCAAGATTAGCGCCTTTCGCATACCCGTTCCCAGTAATTAGTAGCTTCACGCATTCAACATGACCATTCTTTGCAGCAATGATCAAGCATGACTCCCCATCCTCGTCCTGAGCATCCAGGTTAGCACCATTGTGGATAAGCAATTTAGCTACCTCAACATGTCCCAAACGACAAGCAATCGATAACGGTGTATAGGTAAAAACCGCATGCAAGTTGACCTCTGATCCAACAAACGGGTTTAATACAGTCTTGACGGTTGAGGGAAGAATCTTTGGTATCGAAGGATGTGACACATAAGCTAAAAACAACGGATCCAAATGTACTGTCAATTGGGTTAAAAAAAAAAAAAAAAAAAAAAAAAAAAAAGGACATATCGAGAGACTTTTACCATTTGTGACAGCATCAACATCGCGGATGTCACCCTCCTCTATTAAGACTTTCAGAACCTCAGCCTGGCCCCGCGATACGGCGTAAATGAGTGGCGTGAACCCATCTGTATCAAACCAGTAAGGATCTGAAAAGTCTACAAATTCGCCAGAGCCTTTGAGATCCTGAAGGAGTGCTCTTGCAATGTTAGGGAAGCCATGCATGGCTGCGTAATGCAATGGCCGGCGACCGAAGATATCCGCCGTCGATTTTAAAGTACATAAAGAATTCTGTTGAGCGCATGAGGAAAGCTGTTGAAGGATAAACGTGATCGTCGTTGGATCATCTCGAACTACAGATATTTCTTTATGCTCATGTTGCTTCGACATAGACTGATCGTCTTCTATGTCAGAAGCCTTAGTGAAGGTCCCTCCTTCAATTGTCAGTCTATGCAAGACAGTCTGTTCGTTAACATTGACCATTAAAGATCCTGCCCCAAACGACATTATTAAAGCGATACATTGAAATGCCTTCTCTTCGCATGCTTTCTTGAATAGAGATCTTGGAAGCTATAGTATAGTAATAGTGAGGTACCGGATACCGTGTAAGTTAGATGGATGTATCACCTGAACATGCTATCTTACAGGAACAAGTTTTGTTTCTACCTGTCCAAGCCGGCTAGATTGAGCGGCTGAAAAAAGCTTGTCTTCCAGTTCAGGCATTTCATTCAACTTGGTGTCAATTATGGCCTTGAGTGCAATAGCATCATCATGTTCAATGGCATTGATTGCATCTTTTAGCTGCTGTTCACTCAGACCAAATCGGGCTTCAGTACTAGTGCGAGTTGGCGATATTCCTCTGTGGAAAGGGGGATACTCCGCCACGACTGCATTCATATCCCGGATGAGGACGTCAATAGTAATGGTCATCTCCAAGAGTTGCCCATCAATGACAAAAGGTAACAGGCTAACTTTTGTCGCCATGTAGTCTTCACGACTGAAAAGAGCCATGCGCTTATCAAATCTAGTATGACGAGAAGTAAATTTAGCGTCCGTGTCAGCCAGTGGCTATTTCTTCGTGGTTCAGTGCTGAACACTTCTAGAGGAGAGCAGATTTTCAAAGTTTAAAAGGCTCGTCCAGCCATTCAAGCCAATAGTGTGAAAAATTTTAAATCATGTCACCATTTTAGGATGAAATGAAAGAAGGATAATTATCGTAAGCAACCGCGTGAACGAAGATACACACGCGCAGTACACATGTGTGAATACCTATGCCAGATAATAGGACCTTCTTCTCATCCTAAGAAACCACATCAACATGCACATTATACAAACAATCATCCCCGCACTTATCGGAAAAAATCGAGTCAAATTAGATCCTCTCCAATGATGATGATGACTGAATGAAATGTCCAATTGTCCTGCGTATAGTAATGCCTTTGATGAATAAGCATTATCAATACTACTTGAGAAAGAGAAAAGGACTTTGTTCGACCTATTCTTCCTCTCATTTCATTTTAAGAGAAAAGAAGCACATGCAAGTGTAAGCGCGACATATTACGCTAAACTACTTACTTTTTGAGAATCTTTTCAACGGCCCTGCGATTCATCTCTGCGAACCAAGAGAGCTTGGACAGCATCTCCTTAGTTTCAACCATGGCCTGCAAACACTCTCTGTCAGCCTCGGGATCATTGATGAAGGGCGATGGCGGAACTAAAGATGCATTGGTGGATACGGTTGTGGGTGGTATTGGAGAAGACGGCGCAGGTGCCGTCACAATGGATAAGTCCAAACGTGGACTAACACCGGCTTTGGATGTCTTCCGTGAACTGGTCGGTGAATTTGTAGTGACAGGTGAGTTGATAGCTCCATTGCCTAATATGCTATTGTTGGGATAAAGACGTCTAGCCTTTTCAGACAGGATGCGGAGACGTCGTTCTAACTCTGATCGTTTGTAAACGAAGAAGTTATTGACCTTCTCAACTTCTCTGTCCAAATGAAAAATGAAGGCTAGAAGCATAAAAAAATGAAGAGATAAATGAATAATCATGGGAACAACAGCGACTTCTTTTGCTCTGATCCATGCATGACGCATCTCATGAAATTGCCATGACACATGACAATATGTTTAAAAGAAAAGTTACCGGTGATAACGTCGTCCATGGAGGATTGTTCACTCTCCAGAGCCTCTTGCCCATTTTTGATCTCCTTTTTAAGACCCTTATAAGAGACATAATGGCGGCTCCATTCTGGGATCTAAGTACATACGCATTCCATGGCAAAATGAGCCAAATGAGGATTCAGCAGGAGATCATTTGTCGCTGTGAATGCTTCATTCAGAACCATTCAAATTTTCAGAGGGTGAGGGAGAGGGTGTGGGAGGGGGTGTGAGAGGGGAATGAGAGGGAGTTTTCTTTAATTCGAACAAGCCTATTTATAACTATTTATTTCAATGAAAGAATAAAGTGTAACGGTGAAGAACGAAGGATGTACCTGGTTTCTTATTAGGATCTTGCCAAATTTCATAGTGGTGTGTGAGACGTTATGCTAACCCTACTAGGAAAGAGATAGAAGACAAGAGAAGAGGGGTGGAGTGGAGTGGAAGCTAGGAGTAGAGAAGGGGAAGGGAGGAAGAGCAAATCAATGGAAGAAAAGAAGAGAAAGGGGATATTTAAAGATGCATTTGCTCTTATGCAATCCACCTTCCACGCGCTCATGAATATTACCCTATTGCTCAGGTGTCACATTCAGAATCGTCTGATAAATAAACGTATACAAATATACTTTTGCGCATTCACCTGAAGCAACGAATAACCTTATTTGAGGCGTTGCTTGCAATTTTAGGCTTGAATGGCAGTAAGTGGTTTTCCTGAGGTATAGAAGCAAATGAAAAATAATTACTCAACACCTTTTATCTCTCGTACCAATGTAAATTATCTTAGGCTTTTCTCTTTATTCCTTGGATTGGAAAGACGGTTCGCATCACACGATTTCTGTTCTACTCTCAAGACTAAACTACACCCATTCTTCTTTGATAAACCCATATCCAAAAATCTATCATGGATACAGGTAACTTCATATCATAGAACAGTATACAATGGCATTCTATCGCGCTTTGAAATACTTTAAGTTGGAATGATTGGCGATTAGGCGAGTCAATGATTCAGGAGGGAACCTACTAGTGGCTACGCGAAGGCACGATGGACGTTTGATCCTCAGCTCGCTCGCTCATATTTATTACTTCTAGATCGCTCTTCCTCTCTCTTCCCCACTGCAACAAAGTGCATGGTGGGCGAGTGTAGTGAAGGCCTTGAACAGTGATGCGCAATCACTACATACCCTTTTTTTATAACAAGGACCCAGAGGCTATTATTTCAGATCTACTTTTTCCCAGCTGGGGCCAAAAATTAGTGAATATAGATATATATGTATACATGTAAGGGTGATTTAGATCCTTTGCATTAGAATTTTAATAAATCTTGCACGTAAACATTTTTGCACTCATGGGAATTAGTATTGTAGAGTTGAATTTAAGAATACGGCGCTTTTAATTATTTTATCAGCTTAAAATAAGTTTTATCTGTCTTCTTTTATGTTGCTCCAACGAATAAAAAATTGTCCAAAGGTAAAAATGAGAAATTTATTCGAACGTTTGCAAATTTTATCCAGGTGGCCATGGGATTTAGTGGGACATGTAATGACATGATGTTTGGATATTTGTGATAGTCGATTTGGTTATCACGTTTGAACAATTTTTCAGGCACATCATATAACTTTTAGGATAATTATGTTAGCTTAAATCGGAGATAGCATATTTCTCATCGGAACAATGCAAATTGAAAATGGATATAACAATTAAAAGCACTGTAGCAATGATAAACAAAATGCTGCTTAAGAACTGAGGAATGTTAGTAACGACCGCAACAAGGCACAAATATACTGACCACACTAAAGTGTTATACTGAAGTGCTATGCCAAGGATAAGGCTTTATTAGTCTCTACGAAGCGATGCTGTGCAAGCAACTACTGCTGAAGTGAATGGTGCCGCTAAATTCCTGAAGTTTTATACCAAGGATAAAGTAAGGGACACTTCAGGAGGGGAAGGTTTACTTTTTTTTTTTATAACAAGGACCCACAAGATCATGTAGGATTTTTTTAGATGTGAGCTCTATAAAGCCTTCGCCCTCGGTCCTAGTGGCGTTTTGGTCTTCTGATTATGGCAAATAACTTTGCTCACTGTCCCCTCAGATTACGTTCCCATGGCTGCTCTGCGTACCTCTTTCATGACAGCTTCTCGTCCCTTCTTCCACTCCTTTTGCTGAGCCAGAATCCATTCCATTCCATTTGTTGGTTCAGCAGCTTGGTTGGCCGGTGATACTGTCAAGATTCCGTTCGCTGTCGCATTCTTTATGAATTGGTTGGGCGCACGAATTGGATCTTGATCTCCGTCTTTAGTGCCCTGTCTACCGAGCTGTCTTTTTTTTTTTTTTTTTTTTTTTTTGATAACAAGGGCCCTCAGAACAGGAACCCCCGAAGGTCATGCGAAGGATCCTTAGGACGTCTAAGAGCTCCAGTTTCCTCCTGTTCCACCCCCTTGCCTGCCTACCCACATAACCACTGTCGGAGCAAAAGTTTTGAAGTTGGTTGAACCAGAGTGGCGATACTTCAGGCCCTCCGTAACGTGTTTTTTTTTCTGAAACAAGGGTCCTCACCCTCCGTAGCGGGTTCTGCATGCGTGCTTACGGCTACATCAAGGACTCACCCACCCTCTTTTGGGGCATGCAGCTTTTTTTTTATAACAATTTGCCCTCTAAACGAACAACGCTATAAAACTGAAGAACTATCTAGCTCAGAATGTACTTGATGTCCCATCCTCCGGAGAGGATCGCTTCACAGCCGCTATAAGCCTAGCCACGTTCCCTCAGTAAGCCCTTCGGGCGTCGCGCGACTATTGCACGGCTCACCACCGTGCTTTACATCGAAAACATACTGATTCAGGAAAGGAATTGCCCCCATCCTTTCCATGGTTGTCAACCCGCTGTCCTAACAAACTCTGCAACAGAACCTTGTCTGTGGCGGGTGGGTACAACGTAGGTCCTGGACAGCGCCTGCCACGATGCACATCCATTACCGCACCACAAGGGCAAAAGCCTTCTCCTGTCATAAGACCATATCCGTTGCTCCAGTCACCTCTTAGTCCGGTGTGTGGCGCACACTTCTGCCTCGGCGATGCTTTTCTTACAGCGTGGCTCAAGGTAAGCCTGTGAATCACTTTACGAGCGATAGATCGCGCTGTGCAGAACAGAGGGTCCCATTTGCTTACCAAATTAAGTGGTGTAATACCTCGGTAGAGGCCGCTGAGGCTCCATTTGAGATCAGGAGGACGATCGGTTTTGTTGCCTGCGCTTAAAATCGCACGTACTCTACTAATGCATGAGAGCCCTTGCAAGCGTACATCTCGATCAGGGCTGACCCATCTCAGGTTCGTGCTCTTGTGGACTTGATTGTATTTGGTAGTGGCTGCACGACCCCAGCGATCTATGCGTGACAGAGCTTCCCCCCAAAAGTTACTGTGGGCCTGACCTGGCCCATACATGGCTGTTGCCTTCGTCTTCAACCCACAGGCATAGTAGACTCAATCTGGATAAAGGACAGGTTGCCTAGCTTGCAAGACATTGAGGGTAGGTAGTATGCTATGCAGCTTCTTGATGTGGTGGCATCTAGCCGCAGTATCCTTGGCATTGCTGTAGTAAGAGTGCACAGGGCGTTTATTATGGATATGGTCTAGCCTTGGCCGCCACTCCACATCGTGCACAACAGATGGTTTTCCTACATATTATGTGTGCAGAACAGATGAGGGGCGCAACTTTTTTTTTTTTTTTTTTTTTTTTAATTCTACTAATGCCTCTGAGATTTTTAGCCATTTAGGATCCTTCTCTATCGCGCATTTCTGAGCAGGGACAATATTGTGTTTGAACTATAATACTAGCGTAGATGGTGAGGATTAATGTCTGTTTTGTCTAGCGTTCGGCCATTGCTTCAGACATTCCGAGAGGCTCATCATCTCTAGACTATGGAGCAGGTCCTATTGCTCGACTTCCTCTCTCGAGATATTGGCTCAATTTTTTAGTGTAGTAAACTTGCTCTCTGTTGCGGTTAGCAGTCATTTATATGGGTTCTTACTATAGCTAAGATTTTACCCCTTTTTATTTAACGAAGATGATAAAGACATCGTTACTTATTATGATCCTGGCATATTTCACTCCCCGCCGGGATTTTTTTTTTTTTTTTTTTTTTTTTTTTTGATAACAAGGACCCTCAACGCTCTATGAACAGAATGCTCCAGAAACTATGGTCAATAAACAGTTATTACTGCACAAACGGCGAGAGCCGCTGCATCCATGATTTCATAAACCCTGACCGCCGTGGTTGGTACTCAAAGTCCACCTTTCCGGCGTGGCCCGTTGCGTAACGCGACAAATTATCCGCTATCCATAGTCATCAAAAACTTCATTCCACCTAGCCGCTCCATCACGTCCAGTTTGGCTTTCCCAAGGTAAATGTCCCGGACTCGGTTATCCGCGATTTTGTAGATCTCTTTTACATTCAGCTTCTGTCTTTGTCTGAGGGAAGGGGCAAGGAAATCATTGCTACTACGTCTGTGCTCCCCAACACAGTTGCGTCCTCTAGCGCGTTTGCTCATAGCAGTGATTCCACGAGCCTTTTCCCATTCAACAGTGACTTTACACCGTTTGTTCCAGATTTCTGTACGACCGAATTCTTCTATGGCCTTGACGAAGCGCCCTGCCATATATGTAGCTATCCTTGTTGTTGTCTTGAAGCCAACTTTCCAACTCTGAGCAATGGACTTGGGCGTAAGTCCATGGTAAATGTCCTGCACAGACCAATCTGGTGTGTGCTCTATCTCTTCCACATCCTCATCATCGCCGTTCCCATCACCACTGCGTCGTACTTCTCGCACGCCATCGATATGCATCTCCAGAGTTCCCCAAATGTAGTCCTCCTCTGCCGCAGTAAAAGTTGGCTCTTTTGTCCTTGGTGGGTCTACACCTCTCTCTCTGGCCCTTTGTGCTTGCTCCTGCGCTGCTTTCAACTCTTTCCTCCATGTCCCCTCCCCTATCACATTCACATTTTGGATTATCTCCTTCCACTTATCGGCCTGAGTCTCCATCGTCCTTGGACATCTCCAGATGTGCGAATCCGATGGTGTACGGAGAAGAGTTTTTTTTTTTTTTTTTTTTTTTTTTGATAACAAGGACCCACGAGGTCATGTAGGATTTATTTAGATGTTAGCTCTATAAATGGGTTGCCCCATTACCGGGGTCGCAAATAAAGCGGTATCCAATAATCGACCGAAGCCGCATCGTCATACTGCCACAGTACTACATCCTGTTCATAAACCACGTCAGCATTGAGTAGACTTCCTTGGTCCCAGAGGACCTGTGGCACGGCTCTACTCCCTACTTGGCCTGTTGTGCGCGAAGGTCATCCTTTAGCCGCTGTCCTCAATCATCAAAAATTTACAGCTTTCCAGGCGCTCCATAATCGCCAATTCCACCTGCTGCCGGTAGCTTGCCGCCACTCGCCGGTCTGCCTCAGTTCTGATCGCCT